TATTAACTAGGGCAGGAACTATAAGCTAGGCTATTATTTCCTTTTAGAAAAAGAAGAGGGGGACTATATCTTTATAGTATATAAGCTTTATCTTATATACTAGCGCCTAGGAGTTTTACCAGGCGTTTTTATTATAGATAAAGAGCTAGCACTTAAAAATACGCTGGCTAAGTTCTTTCCTACTATTTCTTAACTCCTGTGTAAATAGCACGTGCAGAAGAATATCGCTAGCAAGGCTATAGCTATCTAGAAGAATAATAAGCAAGCAGTAACTAATATTATAGATCTATAGAATATAGTATATACCTCTTAAAATCTAATAATAGCTAAAATTAAGGCTATATAGAAAAATTAAAAGAAATTTATTAATAAGCTTAACTTCTGCCTAGTAAAACCTATAGAAGATAAGTTTATAGCCGCTTAGAATAAGATAAAATTAGATTATATATATAAATAACTCCTAATTAATTACCTTACTAAAGAGTAGTAGCTATATAAAAAAGAGATTGCTATATATTATACTAGCCTTCTGCCGCACTTTAGCAATACTATAACCTTATAACTTAAAGGTTTAAACAGCAGTATTAAATTATATCTTTAGATTTTAACAAGTAACTTATATAATATAGTTATACTACTATCTTAATATATTCACCGCTAAGGTATAGAGCTAAAGAACCAGCTTAGCCGATAATATAGAGCTCTTTAGCACGAGGTAAAGCTGCCTAAATTTAGTAAAGTTATTGGAAAAGTTACTAAGCAGGGCCTTTAATTAATCGCCAAGCAGATTAAAAAGGCTAAGGATAATAATTTTAACCTAATATATAATAGAATATTTAGAGGAATATACAGTATACTATGCTATTATAAAATATATAGAAAACTGCACGCTATATTAATAGCTAAGTATAAAGTTATACTAAAGGATATTTATTAATACTAGTAGTTTAATCGTCCTATTCTAAATAAAGTAGACCTTCCTATAAATCCTTTCCTTTTTATTAAGGCTCTAGTAATTATACAGCGTTATAAAGGCCGGCTAATAGGCTTTACTACACCTTATTAAATAATAGCAGGCTGTGGCCGTAGTAGTAGCTGTGGCAGTAGCAGTAGTAGTAGCAGTGGCCGTGGCTGTAGCCGTAGCCGTGTATCTATATCTATTAACTTAACTTAATATAATTAATCTTAATTCGAAATTAATACTTAATAAGATCTAGTAAGCGTAGTGCAGTAAGTATAACAGCGTAGTAGAGGACTAGGATTACGTAAAGGAATATTATATCTCCGGCGAACTTATAAAACTACTGCTTGTATATAATAAAAGCAGAGTATTATAAGTAGATAGGAACTAATATAATTAATGCAGATTATAATACCAGCTAGCTAAATTACTATAGCAGGTGTTTCTATAAACACGCCGGCGGTCGAGAGAACTATTATAGTATTTAATAATTCTATATAGTTTATAAATATAGTACTAAACCTTTCTGCTAGATAAGTAGACACCCTAACAGCGGCCTAGGGCTCTATTTCCTTAGTTCCTAACAGTTAAACAGCGCTTAAAAATAGCCTTTTATATACTTCTAAGAAAGAGGCTATTTATAGTAAAGGAGAATTTTTAGGTATAAGACCTTAGTATAATAGTATATACGGCGTTCCTTTTAATTAGCAATTAAAAGGCGGCTATCTAGGCGCTTTCTACTTCTAGACTAGCTAGAGTAGATAGAGTAAATAGACTGTTATTATTATATATATATATATTCTATGCGATTCGTATATACATTTTTTCCGATTTATATAGCCTTACCGTTTTACGTATCTAATAAGCGAGTAAATATAATTAGTAGAATAATATTAATACGGGCCGGCGCTAGGCTAGATATAGGGGGGGTGGCAGGAAAAGAAAAAAGGGGTAATACGGAGAAAATAGGGGGGTAGTAATTAAGCTCGTCCTAGATTAGATTATATCTGGCGGGGTATTAGTATTAGTATTATTTTTTAGAACGTAAAAGCTAAGCTTAGTTACACCTATTAATTCTAAAATATTGCCTTTAATTATAGGGGAGAGATAAATATATACCCCCTAATTACTCTATATATATTCCCTTTTTACTCTATATACAACCTCTACCCCTCTATTACTTTACTACCTTCTAATTAGCTCGGAGCACTAGAGCCTCTAATTCGCTCGCTTAACTTATTTACTAATTCCGAATACTTTTTCTAAATACAACAGCTAATACAGCCGTATATAAGCTTTTATATAAGCTTATATATAAACTTATATATAAGGCTATATATAAGGCTAGACAAATCGGTATAGCTATATATCCTCTCCGTTTTACAGCTTATTCTTTCTAATTTATATAGCTGTATATACAGCCGTACGTAAGCCCGTACGTAAGCTTATACGTAAGGCTATATAAATCGGTATAGCTATATAGCCGTATATAAGCTCGTACGTAAGCTTATACGTAAGGCTACACAAATTGGAAAGGATGCACTGTAAAACGGAGAGGCTGTATAGCCATGCCGATTTATAGCCATGCCGATTTGTATAGCCTCACGTACGAGCTCACGTACGCTAAGTGAATGAGAAAGGCTACACGTGCGGATGCACGTGAGAATAGAGCTCGGGACGAAGCTCCGAGCCGCTCTAGCCGATCAAAAGATCGGACGAGAAGGGGGGTGTGCGTGGAGTGAAAAGAGGGTGTGCGTTTATCGGGGGCTAGTAATCAGTAGTCGCACACCCCCATTTTAGTAAACGCACACCCCCCCCCCCCCCCCTCTCCCCCCCCCCCCCTCTCCGGTCCAATCTCCTAATTGGCTAGAGCGGCGCGGAACTTCGTCCGGAGCTCTATTCTCACGTGCATCCGCACGTGTATTCTTTCTAATTTACTTAGCCATACATAAGGCCGTATGCAGGCCGTACGCGGGCTGTATTTAAAGCTGTATATAAAGCTGTATAAAAGAGGTTGTATGTATAGCTGTACGAGAGAGGCCGTATGCGAGGCTGTATATAATGCCGTACTTAAGAGGCTGTACGCGAGGCTGTACGTAATACCGTATGTAAGAGGCCGTACCTATAGCTGCACGTGCAGCCTCTCTGTTTTATTGTATTGCGACCTGCCGTGCCTCTGTGCCTAGAAGGATACTAAAACTTTTAAAACCTTACCTTATAGAGGCTCCTTTCCATCAAGCCTAGCCGGCCTGCATCGCCACCTGAATTGCTGTCTGCATTACTGTCTGCATCGCCGTCTACGCTCGCTCACCTATCATCGCGTCGATCGAAATAGCGTGGTCGATGCCACAGCAGTGAGGAGGGTAGAGGGACTCGGTCTGCAAGGCCCGTTCGAAAACTCCTTCGCACGTGAAGTACACACCACGTGGTCTTTGCATGGCCTGTGATGCGCTTCTTCTCGCGAGAGGCGGTCGCGGCAGAACACGCATTCTTCTGAGAGAAGTTCCATTGCGGAATGGTGGAGGGTCTCGCTGGCTATTCTTCCGTAGTAGAGTGGTGGCGTAGAGGTCGCGCGTGATAATTCAAGATATGAAATGCTGTGATGCGCAGAGAGCCGATAGGTTGGCAGCGGCTTTGAATTGGCTGATTTGGACTTCAGAATCGGATAGGTACTGCGCTTCGTAGACGGTGCCGTGCTTGCTTTGCTGTTGCGGTGGTGACATTGATGTGTGGAGGCGACCCAGTGGCCTTTAGAATTATTGCAAGTTGTTGCAAATTGCAGAGCGGGAGGGTTATCAAATAGCAATTTCTCCTCTTAGTGTCCGTCAAGCGAGTTCTTGCTACCATGGGACGTTGGTCCGGAATCCGGGAATTGGTACTGTAGTCGCACAGCCATGGCTCACCTGCCGCCTCGACAAGACGCAAATTTCTGGGCCTAGTCTAGACTCGATGTCAACACCTCTTAACGATTGAGCAATCTACAGTGGCATGGTAAAATATTTGCCGGTGCGATTCATTGGGGATAGGGATTTTAGGGTCCATCATTACTCTTCAAGCTCGCCTACGGAGTTTGCCGGTTCGGCGAGCGAGCTCAAGAGAGAATTTGAAGTTCGAACGCTTGCCATTACAGTTCCAGCACACTCCACTATGATAGAGGTGGTAGAAACGTGCGCAGGTGATGATCTGGACGCGATGGCGTTGCTCAGCGAGTTGGATTCCAAGCCTCCAAGCGGCGAGGCAGGACAACGAGGACAGCCTATAATGCTGCCGTACTGTCTCTAGGCCATGCAGTTTCTGGCATGCCGAATCGTTAGCGTCGCGTGTCGATATGAGATGGCAACATCACAGGGAGCGATGAAGTTGAGGTTGGAGAAGCTGGGAAGCACGAACACGGGAAGCCAAGAGGAGCCGCCGCCCCGTCTCAAACAGCCAAGCATCTCCGCTTTCTTGGCTTTCCGCCCTTCCACCTGAGCAACCACAGCTACCCTCTCCGTGATTTCTGAGATTCAGTCACGTGATCAGATCTGACCAAATCTCCTCAACAGTGGTACGAAAGAACTCCGCCACCCATCCTGGCGGACAAGGCACGCGTTGCTGCTAGGCATCCCCGCCCATCGCTCGAAAGGACGCGTCGTCTTGCCACCAGAGGCCAACACGCTGCCGTTCAGAGACGCCAATTCCGTCTAGTGGCCTCAGGGGGCTTATATGGAGGCCACGACCTCAAGAGTTACAGGACCGTATGTACCGTTCCTGTGACCTTCGCGCCTTCAGCCAGCTTCTTGCCGCCAAAACGGCTTGTTGCTGACTTCATACGATGCCGATTTGTCATCCGCTATCCGTATCATCCACATCGAAAACATTCCTATTTTCCCACCTCACCGCTTGCCTGCAGGGAAGTTGTGCATGTCGCACACAAGCCCGTATTTTCAGGCTAAATCACATACACATTCTGCAATGATCCGACATAATAATGCCACCAAGTCATCCTTCCGAGCAGCCCGCAACGAACTCGGTCCAGGTAGGCCGAAGCCTCGAGGCTATGATTCCGTGTCTAATCGTTAATTATTCAGGTGGTCAATTTCATTTCATTTCCATCCAAAGTCCAGATGACGCGACCGACCGCAAAGCGAGGCGCCTGGCCCGGTCGCATGCTGTTGCGCGGGGCCTCGAGAAAAAGCGAAAGCTTCAGCAAGAGTCGGGTCATAATTTCCGTGCAGTAGTAGTGTCTTTGAAAGATGATCCTAGCCGACCCGCGCGCGAAAGAAAACGATGCCAGACTCTTGTCGCATCACCACCCTCTCTCTTTGCAGATGCGCCCGACGGCCCCGATCCGTTCCAATCGCTTGCTGCAGAGTCGCCAAGACTGCAAGCATTGCATAGTCAGCGTAAGATCTTCGCAACACTCAGAACTACCCGGCAAATGCTTACATGGGATGCTTCAGACAAGGCCCAGCGGGCGGCGGAGCCTGCCTTTAGCATGTTAGATGAGCTTGTGCTCCAGAACTTCCGCTCCGTTCTTCGAAAAAGGCCGGATGATGACGCTCTTCTAAGTGCCTTCATGCTCACATTCGCATTTGCCGTCACTGCTAGCAGCATCGCCACGGAGTATCTCAGGTTCCAGAGCGAGGCTCTGAGTTCCATTCGACAGAGGATGAATTCTCCGGATAGAGCTACTTCGGAATCAACACTAGGGGCCATTCTGCTGCTCGCCGGTATAGATGTCTGAAACACTTCTCTTTTTAATATCCCCAAATTTGACTACGCATGCGGCCGCAAAAGCTGACGTTTCAATGTTACAGGCTCGGCTTGGAATGCCGCGTCAAGTTCAACTTCACATGGGCGCAATACACCAGCTTCTTGACATATGCCGAAGAAAGGGGGTGTATCTAAGTGACGGGATCAAACGTGCCATCTTCTGGTGAGCGACAATACAGCGTTTCTTAGCCGCTCATTCTTACATTGATTAACAGGTCAGACTTAAATGCCTCGGTGTTGACAGGGTCAAGTCGAATTGTCGATCACACAACCTTTTCCGAGCTTCAGTGGCGCAGAGATCCTTTCTCCCCAGATTTCTTTATCCTGCCGCCTGGATTCCGGGCCCAGTCCTACCTACTGGGCGAAGAGTTCGTTGAGGTGCTCAAGGACATCTCTGCCTTGCAATGTATTCGAGACTCTACCTTTTTCGGCAGAGAGGATGTAATATCGATGGCACATATTGATAACCACCAAGCATCTATCCAGTCGCGGCTAGTGAGCTTACCGAATCAATCTTCAATCTCGGAGTGTTGCCATTTAGCAGCATATCTATGCTCGGCAATGCTGCGTTGCAAACTTTGGCGTGCTTCAACCATTCCCGTAAGCCAACCGCATGACAGCCTAGTGCCTTATCGGTTGCACTGACTGTGAATGGAGTAGTCCCACCTTTCATTACAGCTACTCTGCAAATTACAACAAGCGAATAACGATCTCGTATGGGATGACCGGCCTGATTTACTGGCTTGGCTCCTGCACATCGGCGGGGCTTTTGCCCCTACAGGACCTATTCGATCAGAGTACGTGGTATTGTTGCACTTGAACCGCAGCACCAGGCTTAGAGGGTTGTATACATCATGGCCGGAATTGCTCGCAATTCTGAAGCAGTTCATTTGGTCAGAAAAGGCATTCATGTCGCAAGTTAAGGCGTTCTGGGAAGAAGTTCCCGGCTACACTATATCTTAGTCCGGCGGGGAGGTCTTCCTCTGTGCCGGAATGTTTAGTTTTCGCATTTGTAATCGCCTGCTTATTGCACTAATGAAACAAATCTTAGCGTAGATATTAGCGGGCAGCTAAGTGTTGATTGGTCAGAGATGCAGAACCATACTCGGAACGGGTAAGTAAAGTCGCCATTTTCCTCGAATGGAAGTATCTCTGTTCCCTATTAGGCTTTTGGGGGCCTTCTTAATTCCGTTTTGGGATCTATCTCTGTTCCCTTTTTGGAGCTATCTCTCTGCCCAAGTTGGTTAGACCGCTCGTTAAAGAGACATCACATTCATCCGACAACTGCGGTAATTCTACTAAGAAACGAAGAGTATAAATACTTGGATGTGCTCGAATTCATATTATCAATACCTTCATCGTCCTGCCACACTCGAGAACGAGCGTCCAGAAATCTTTGACCATGCCTCCTCAATCACGTCTTTTCAAGCCACTCAAGATAGGCGATGTGGAAGTTCAACATCGAATCGGGATGGCTCCACTTACTCGCTTCCGTGCAACTGATGATCGAGCACCGACGCCCCTGATGAAGGAGTACTACGGCCAACGGGCCGCTGTGCCTGGCACCATGATTATCACCGAGGGAACCTTCATATCGGCATCCTCCTGTGGCGGCTTCGCCAATGCACCGGGACTTTGGCGAGAAGACCAAGTTGCTGCCTGGAGAACCATCACCGACGACGTTCACAGCAAAGGATGCTTCATCTTTTGTCAGCTATTCGCCATGGGCCGTGCTGCAAATGTCGAAACGGCCGAAAAGGAGGGCTTTCCCATCGTGGCACCTAGTGCCATTCCGATCGAAGAAGGCGCTGCGGTGCCACAGGCCATGACCATCGGAGAGATCCGGCAGACAGTCGGAGAATTTGTAGAGGCTTCAAAGAATGCCATCCGGGCGGGCTTCGATGGCGTGGAAATCCATGGTGCTAACGGCTATCTCCTCGACCAATTCCTCCAAGACGTCAGCAACACACGCCATGACGCATATGGTGGGAGCGTGGAGAACCGGTCCCGCCTCCTCGACGACGTGCTCACGGCTGTCACCAACGCCATAGGCCCACAACGCGTCGGGCTCCGTCTGAGCCCCTGGAGCACGTTCCAGGGCATGCGCATGGCAGATCCGATCCCGCAGTTCACAGATGTCATCGCCAAAGCCCGTCGCTCAGACATTGCGTATCTCCACCTCGTCGAGTCGCGCATCTCCGGCAGCGACGACTACGAGGGCCATGAGCAACTCGAGTTTGCCTACAAGCTCTGGGACGGCCCGCTGCTTGTCGCCGGCGGGTATACGCCGCAGGAAGCAAGGGAACTTGTCGACGTGACGTACCCGGATAAGGAGATCTTAGTCTTGTTTGGCCGGCACTTCATTGCGAATCCCGATCTTGTGTTTAGGATTAGGCAGGGGCTTGACCTTCATGCGTATGATAGAAGCACGTTTTATGTCGCCGGGTCGCCGGCGGGATATGTGGATTACGCCTTTAGCGACGAATTTTTGACAGAGGAGCGCGAAAAGTCGGATTGACTTGGTCTTGAGGACGCATTAGAAGACGGAGTGCTGGTTTAGTGGCAATGTGATGTTAATTATAGGAACAGCCGGAAGGAGCTTCATGAGGCACAGGTCAGGCGCGGTGGTAGCGATGAAGATTGAGATGAGCAAGTAACGTGCTCTATATTCATAATACAACCAGTGCGTTACTTTAGATCTTCTCCATCCTCCGTATAGTGCCTATACACGTGACGAGTTGGTGGATAGAGGCGCAAGGTTTCTTTCACGATCTCATTAGCACAAAACCTGGGAATACTAGATGCGATAGGATTTCCTCGGACGTTATTCCTTGAAGGCCCCGGACGCCCTTGGGTGCCGATGGCCATGGCTGCTGGAGATTGAGGACGCTGTCGCCCACCAGACCGTAATGCAGCGTAACTCCCCTCTCGATGTAGTTCTCATGCCACAAAAATTGGTCATCTCTGGGCCAGTTTTTATTGCATCTTTTACCGCGACACGCGTGGGAAGAGTCACAATGCCTGCGCGGTAGGTGTCGCGAGACGAATTTCGAAAGCAGGGTCAGAACCAGGAGTAGAAATGGCTTTTCGGGGGGGCTACCAGTCGATGACGTCGATGATCGTGGACTATTGGATAGTCTTTAGACCTATTGTGGTTCCCGGGTCACCGATATAGCAAAAGTACGAAAAGAATGAGTATAGCCGTACTTGTCTAGGAAGCGTGCCGTGAAAACAAAGGTAGAGTTGACGACCGCCGTAGGTGGTCCCATAAGAGGACATATCTCGTCACTCTGGTCTGCGCGCGGGCTGCGTTATCTTTAGAATTTGTTGAAATCTCTTCCACGAGCTGCCAACTATGTCGCGGCCAAGCACGGTTGACCGATAAGGGATCTGGCAGCTTGTCAGCCTTAGTGGGCCCCATTCTCACTTATGATGTCGACATTCTCAACGCCCATGCTCTTCAAACCTCCTCCACCTCTTGCTCCACCTCTTTACCCGGCCTCCTAAACACACAAGCAGTCTCTCCTACGTCTAAAGCAAGCTCGCTCTCAGCATACGGCAATACGACCTCAAAGACCCTCGGCGTTTTGACCTCCTTGACTCCCTCCATCAGCCTACTCTCCAATTGTAGCCACTGGTTCTGCCAAACCGTATCCACGAGCCTGATGCGCAAGTCCTTCAACCCCCTCATCTGCGCCAGTGCTCGCCACGACTGCTGCCAGTACTCCGTGTCCTCCCGAAACGTAAAGTGGTACCCGCCAGGTCTGATGTAGTAAGGAAGCCCACGGATAGCCCAACGGATACGTAGGATACGGATGGCATTCAGACGCGCGGGCAGGAGGAGTGTTGATAGGTGTATGAGATGATTTGAATACAAAAGAGAAAACGTGTTTGCGGAATACAGATACTCGATCGCTTCGGAATATCTACGTCTCATCAGCATCACTATACAGACATGATAATTCAGCCACATCAGCTTTTATTCGTCTCGAATTTACACTCTTTCAGATGGAGGCAAGATCGGGGTCGTGAAAGAAAGGGAATGGACTTCTCACATCTGCCGGCACGTGACCAATACGCTCAAGACTTTGGGTGCCATCTTCCCATAACTCCTGAATTCGTTGATCCGACACCCACACATCACCTTCTCGGGTGCTGAACATACAAAGTGGGACAACACACGCATAGGTATGATGAAATGAATTACGTAGCCCCCGAGCACCTCGGCCCAGATTTGGCGTCTGATCTCCAGCGGCAGACGAAACAAAATAGAACTTTGGTCAATCGTATAAGGGATAGAGGTCGACGGAGAGCGCGGGATAGTAAGGGCGCGTTTTCGCGGTTTTGGGGGCAAGGGTGGGTCGAGTTGGGAGGATTTGCGCCGTTTGGGGAGCGAAGAGATAGAGGAGCGCCGATGGGGAAGGTGGAGATGGATGCAGAAGAAGGGGCTGCGGTGGGAATGAGGCATTTTCGTTTTTTGCTTTTGTCTTTGGGGAGTAGAGAGTGGAAGAGGGATGGGATGTAGGCGCGATGGAGTTGGTGTGATGATGATGGGTGTGATAGAATGCATCGGGACAAGGGTGTGCGGGGAAGCGGGTGGCGCAGTCCGGGGTGTGGCGTCTATCCCCGGGGACACGTGAGACGTGTTGGAAGCAACTAATTCTATCCGGCTTTATGAACTGGGGGTTTGTAAAGGTGGTTCCATTATACAGTTGGCGAAGCTTGCACGCCAACCGACATTATGTCCAGCTGGATCATAGCCCTCTCCATCAATCAAATAGACCAGAAGGACCAACCCGTTTGACCGGATATACCCGTGCTCCAATCTTGATTTGCGCCACAGGCTCACCTGGAAGATCGGCCACACCTTCGGGGTCCGGCAGGTTCAGATGGAACGAGTTCAACGACATGTCCTCCGCATGCTGCTCCGCTATTCGAAGCAACCCCTTCTCCTGCCGAAACCAACCTCGCCATGAGCTCGGTAAAGGATGCCACATATCTACGTGAAAGCGCAGGTGACGGAGGCCCTTCATTGACGCTATGGTCTCCCAAACGAGGCTCCAGGGCCACTCTGGCTCAGACGTTGCGAATGATACACCATCGGTGCTCCAGCGAATACAGAGCGATCTGATGCCTTGGAAGGACTCAGGGTGGAGAAGACGAGGTAGATGGATTAGTGCCGGGGCGATGTCTTTGTTGATCAATGTGACGAAGGTGTTGGTGGAGTAGAGTATGGGGATGGCTTCGTGGTGGCTAGTACGCGTGTTAGGTGGGAGTCAGCGTCAAGTCTTAGAGGATTTGACAGAATTATTGGGGTTCATAGCCATTTATAGTGGTGTGTATATACGTACAAAGCCTGTCGCGAACTTGATCGAAACGGACACTTGGGGGTACTCACATTTGTCGACATGTCAAAGGCAACGATAACCTCCTCGCGATCCTGGAATCTGGTCCTGCGCCAACATGTCCGCACCTACACTTCTGCCCATCCGGCCTGTAACAGTCATAAGCGCGTAATCCATCCTGGAGTTTGTACAAATGAATGACTGAACCGCTGATGACTTCTCGATAGATCATTTCGCGAAGTTCCAGTGGAAGCCGTGCTAGAAAGGAAGACCGAGATGGATCTTGCCGTTGCGCGAGATATGGTAGGCCTAGAGACCACGCTGCATCATCGATCAGATCTTTGTTTGAAGGAGGCTCATCCTTCGGTGGTTCCTCGAGAGTCAGAGGGTGCTCGGAACCTTCGACACCAGTTGCGGTTGCGATAGATTGATCTAGTGGTTGTCTCTCATGGCATTGCGGCTGAGGCTGCCGGTTTTCTTCACGAATTGAAGCACGACTAGCATCTTTAGTAGCCTGAGCCTGACGTCTTCCGCGTTTCACTCTTCGGATCCAGCTGACGACACGAGGAATTGCGGCAGTTCGAGAGCGCTTTGATGGCTTGCTCTCAGCAGGAGGAGCCATATTATTAGTTGAGGTGATAGTCGTACCCTCAGACTTCTCCGAAAAGAGAGTCAGTCAGTAGTTGCAGGATGGAAGAAGATCGCTCCAAGGCGCGGCTGAAGAACGGCGGGCGGGTGATGCCTGAAGTCCCTGAGGCTGCAGGTGGGGCGCTGATCAAGCCACAGGCTGCGCCACACAAACCACGTGCAGTCTTCCAATTGGTCCTGATAACCTGCAAGCTGAAGAAGCAGAAACGTGACCTATAGAGGCAATTCTGGATACATGGAAGAAGACGGACCTTTGCTTTGTCGCGATACACAAAACATGGTAGAAACAACGACGCGGCGATTTCCAGAGCCGGTCATCTCCCGAGGTCTGTTTACCACCACGAGCAATCTGCAGGCACCGCCCCGCCTCGCGACAACACATCCTCGTCAGCTCCATTCGAAGCCATCCATGGCCCCCTCCGACGAGTTCCTTGACGCGCTCACCTCCGTCATCTGCGTCCCGTTCCACTGCGCCAGAGGCATCAAAGATGGCCAAAAGCCCCGTCAAAAGGGTCCCAAAGGCGCATGGCATCGCCCCCAAGCGTCAAACTCTCTTCTACTCCCTCTTCGACCGCAGGATCCAGATGCAATCGTGCCCCAAATCACCCAGTCGGAGTCTGCTTTCTTTAGGCTTCCTGCCGAACTCCGCGACGCCATCTATCGAGCCATGGCAAGCGATCATGTTGTCCATCTGAAAGCGCCGAAGAAATCACGTTTCGCTTCCCTTGATGGCGTCTTAGAGGCCTATGAGTGTAGATACGTAGGAGCTGATGGGATTGGCGGTGCGGATGTGATCATGTTGCCCCATTCCGAGGAGTGACCAGCTTTTTGGCAATGCTGATCGCTTGTAGGCAGACGTAAGTACAATATTTTCTCGTGCTCGGGTATGCTGCTTCGGCGAATGTTTGTGCGCAGTTGCTTCACACCGCTTGGGGTGCTTCAATGTAGTAATATTGGTCGGGTTCAGTGATCAACAGTTCGACTTGGTGGACGTCTTTCAGCCGCTCTCTGAGGTAGCCCGGCAATGTTGGGGCCTCTTCAGAGCATGCAGCTAACTCACGGCAGCTACTTCGAAGCAATATCCATTCTATATTCTACCGCCACCTTCTCCCCGGAACTGGACCTGTTGATGCCATCACTACCGCGTACTTACATGCCCAACGTCCTTCCAGAGGTTTTCAACGCCATCAAATCTTTGAAAGTTCTCCATCGCATCACCGAGGTGCCACCAGACCGCAACTGTACCTCCCACGACTGGACCTCCCGCGACTGGATCTCCCGCGATTGGCCTTCCGCATGGCGGACCATCGTATCCATGAAAGGCCTACAGCATCTGCAGGTCAATATCATGGTGGAACGTTATGAGGATTTTTGGAGAAGACAGGAAGTAAGGGAGGAATGGTTGATAAGGGAAGCGAAGATCATACGGGTGGCGGAGGCCCAGATGCTGAATATAAAATTGCAGAGCTTTGAGATCAGGGCACCGGCTATAGACATACGGGATTCGTATGGCTTAGAAGCTTCCGGAGCTGAACGTGCGACCGAAATCAAAATCGGAGGGGCCGTTTATCCGATTTGGAGAGTACCAGATTGAACAGGCATGCGTTGGGGGCTTCCAATCAGAAACGTTTTGTACAAATGGCATGAATTCCGTCCGAGGAATCGGGGAAGGAGTTTTGGTATCGGCATATGCCGTTACAGATACTTCTGGCTTGTAGGTAGATGTGAGTTTGCCGATATCGCGCCCGTCGTTTTACTCATGATACCCAAACCCAAGGAATTTTGTGTGGCAATCAGCTAATTTGTCAACGCTATCAGGAGAATGTCCTACTTCTGTACTTCACCAACATCGTTTGCATGAGAATAGAAGCGTTCGAAGTCAACGCTTCACCCATAAAAGTCTGCCTAGCCGAGATTCTACAACCGTACGCTTTCAATACTATCAGATCACGACAGCTAGTGCGATATATTACTCTAGATGTGCCCTCAGCTATACCCCATGGTTTGGATACGCCTCCAGCTGCACCCGATGGTACACGAAATTAGACTGAGAATAATCGCACATGGGGCTTTGTATGGAAGGCAATCGCCTCGATGACCAGCCTGCAGCATGTGTGCGTAGACATCACATCGAATCACCGCGAAGATTTAGCCGGCGAGCAACTGAAACGTGGATAGCTCGAGAACGAAGCCGTGGTCGTGCAATTAATGGAGGAGCAGGACGAGAGAATGAATCGCAAGACGTTCGAGATATTAATACCGTGTCGCGAAAGTCTCCCAGAGATAAGAATTGCAGAACGCGTCTGGTTGGTTGGGAACCCGCCTATTCCCTAGAGATCAACCGCAATATGCACCATAATTTTGACTTTTCATACTGCAGCCAGTGTTCTGTCGAATAGCACCTGTACACTAATGTCTTGATGTCTTCCATTCAAGAATCGAAATATAATACGTTACATATTATCCTACTATGTACACTATTGAACGTCAGGGGTCCCCGTGCCCCCAGCTCAATTCACGACAGTGGTCGGTATCCGTCGTAATATATCTCCCAAAATCACGCTTGATTTTCCAGTCTCACCATGAAGATGGACCTGGAACAGGACACCTAGCCAAGATGAGCACTAGGAACGTTGCTAGCGTGCTCCGGGCTCGAAACCGCTTCTCCGCCTGATCAACCACACCCTCGCTTCGCTTGAAGGACGGCGTATCTGGCACACCTAGTCCTTTCATCATCATCTTCAATTGACTCATGTTATACGGCGGATACCGCCCACTCATGAGGCGATCCATCCACGTCGGTAACGCCACCACGATGCGCAGGTGGCTGAAAGCGTTCACGCGGTAGACGTCGTGGTAGGCGCCGTGGCCGCTTTCGCCGACGCCGCCAATTAGAGCGTTGGCGAGGGAGACGTGTATCATGGCATCGTTGATGCTGGCGCCGCCGGAAAGCGTGATGTTGAGAATGTGTTTCGATACGGACGAGAAATTAGTGGAGGCGTAGAAGGCAAGAGGGGGCGGTTTGGTATAGATGTGGGCGACGGCATCGGGTACCGAAGCAGTGATGATCAGGAGAACGGGAGCGAAGAGTTCGGTTGAGAGGAGAGGATCTAAAGGCCGTCAGTACGAGGGGACTATCTAATTTTGGAGTCCGACAATATGACCACGTACCTCAGGCAGTCGCAGGGAAGTTTACAAGTATGAGAAGACATAGAAGAGCTAGCTTACCTTTGATAGCCAAATCTGCAACTACCGTTGGCTCAAGGAACCTCGTTGCTCTGATTCTCTTCCCGCCATACACCATTTTCACCTTTGCATTCTCCAGCAAGCTTACGACCCTATCGTAGTGCCTCTCGCTTACAATCCGATACATGTCCTCCCACTCCTCTCCGCCATCATTGAACCGATCAAACAAATACCACAAAAACATGGATTTCCGCTCAATAATGGATTGGACAAATCCGGAAACCCGAGCGAGTTCGCCACCACAATGCATTGCGCAAGCTACCACGCAAGATGGCACAACGTCCCCTGATCATTGCCAGAGCGGCGTAATCTGCCCCATTGCTGTGTCCGGTGGGTCGGTGGGTCGGTGGGTTGATATGCACATTACCGGTCGGTCCAATATCGAAGCATGTAGTCGCATCAAAAAGCTCCACCGTCCCTGTTGCCGGCTAAATATCGATTCTGTTCTCTGGTTTAGGCTCAAAACATCAGTTCTATCTGCAGATTGGTATACCAACCCTCTTCGACCTACCTGCGATCTATTCAAAATTTTGACTAGACTTTCTTCGCTTCGCTGCAGCTGATCCAAGATCACAGTCATCCTCGCCTCGCTCGGCCAAATGAGTACAAAGATGTACAGAACGTGGGATCAAAAGTTGTACTAGTGATTGATGGAACTCAGAGAGATGGCAGAACAAATTGCATCGCCATTTACGTAGTGACAATTCTGAAGTAGTCGGTTCGATACGTGGCTAGTAGCTATCAGAACTATCCTTCTTAACTATTGGCAAAATCTGGATGACATCACATCACTCTACCGGGACGACGTCAAGCCGCTAATGACAAGCGATCGGATACATCTGAATGAACCCATGACGAGTCTACGTGACGCCGCTGAAGTAAAACCTTGTTTACTTTCACACATTTGACCGTTTGTCGGAACGATACGGCTTTATCGATTGTGTCCCAATTTCTCATTCAGATTTGTCGCTCAAAAATCTATGACATGAGATTATGTGCTCCTTCTCGCCGCTGATCGTCTTTTCAGTGAATTTCCTCATGTTCGCCATACCACTCTTAAGTTTGTCAAGATCTAGCATATTCATCCTCGCCGATCCAAGTGTATTCTGTAAAATGCAGAAGGGCATGTTCCCTCGACACGGTGTGAATGGGTCCATCCCCAGTGAATTTCACTGAGGAAGAACATGATTTTGATATCCAGTAACCGTCTCTTTCTCCAGCTTTTAGAGCTCTCCTCATAATCCATCTGTGATGCCAATCTTCATAGCCATCGATGCTGAGTAGTCGTTTAGCTAGTTTAGCTCGCTTCTTGCCAGTCGAGTTAATCTTAAAGTCTGACCAAGACTTCAAGGTCACGAAGAACGTGGAAGTGATATGGTGTATCATCTCTTTTAATGCGTTTGCTGATCTCAAGTCAGGTGCCAGAATATCGACGAGATAGTTTGCGTCGTAACAGAGTTTTGCGGCGAAGGCATGTGGGTAGGGGGTCCAGAACATTGACAACTGGTCTCCATGTCCGACAAATTGAGCAATCCGGCTTAGCTTGGCAGTATACGGGAACATTCTCAGCATGAGGAGGAGTGCGACCGGTGGTGAGATTCCGAGCACGCGACAGGGTTCAATATTTGCTAGCGTGAGTGCGCTCATGGAGCGACGGTCCGCAGCTTCGAAGTACGGCCAAGCTAGGAAGAGCAACCGGTGAATATCAACAGGCATAAAAAAAGTTGATAGTCGAGATTGAAGTTTATGTAACCGCAGCTAGGCCTGGTGATTTTGAATGTCATGCCGAAGTATGTTCTTGTGGTGTGCCCGGCTGCTGTAAGTGAGGAGTAGGCACACATAGAAGAAGTCTTTGAGCGCTTCGACTGCATCCGTGGCGGTTCCGGGGGATAGCTGGACGTCACAATTGGTTGCTTGCTTGGATGGCCATACTCTGTTGAAGAGTGAGATGGGCGGTGAGTTTGGTAGCGAAACGTGCCCACTTTCACCTTTCCGGGCTCTTTGAGAACCTCCTCAATCCATTCAGGATCGTCAAGGTCTTCGACTGGGGGCACATCGAGGTGTTCTAAGAGTCTTGTGTATTCACAAGGAATCTTCGCCGGTGGGCGTTGCTGAAGGGTACTTACAAGGTTTTGCAAAGCCGCCACGTTGCTTTCCAGCTCTTGTATCCGGTCTGGGGCGTCGTAAGGGGGTGGTTGCTGCGTCCCGATATGATTCGGTGATTGAGGTTCTGCCATTTGGGAAGAATTGAGTATGTGAAGGTCTTAGGTGAATTATCGGCGCTTTCTGTAGCAGTAATGGGAAGACCAGTAGTGTCAAGACTCGTTTCGGTGGCGCTGCAGTCAGGATATGACGCTAGCGTACCATGGTAAGGGCAATCAAATCGGGAGGGTGTACCACGAGTCTTTCTCCCAGCGAACCATGGAAGTAGAAATCTTGAGGAAGCACCCACCACAAATCGACCTTCAATTTTCATTCCCCCTCGCAAGTTTCCGCTCACGAGCTCCAGTCCGCCAACATCTCATAACCTCGAGACTACTCCGACCAAGATGAAGCACGCTTTCGCCGGTAGCGATATGCCAAAGAAATATAAGTGCGTATCACCCTTTATATCAACCCAGCAACGAGATGGATTTTGACAGACTATGCAGGCGGCGATCCGGAACCGCTGGCGCCTACGATGCCTCGCAAGACACCTTTCAGCATTACATTAACGATCCGTTCGAACACGTTTTCAACGTCTTTGGCACCACTTCCTTCAAGGATGGGGCCCATGGAGCAAGCCGTCGCGCAAAGTCTGGGATGCACATCTACGCACCTCCGCACTTGTCCTCAAATACGCACTTTTACACACATATGCATCACCACTTTTACGCACCTTTGGACTCCGACAAGAACGTTCCAAACGATGATTATACGAGCATCCCCACAGACGCAAGGAATCATAACAGCCGCGGGGATCCTTCCCACAACCGACAAAAAATCGTCAAGGCTGATCGCGAGTCGTTGGACATGGAACGCACAAAGCTGGAAGCTGAGCGGGACGCTCTCAGTCTCGCACAAAAGGCCTTGGAACTTGAGCGAACCCTTTTCGATGCCAAGCGAGAGGCTTTTGAGATTGGACGGGATACATTAGAGGCTATGTGTGTCGATATATCACAACACATTGCCGCTGAAGGGGAGGGAGATTGCCTCTGGATGAACTGTGTTATCCTTTTCTTGGTTTTGATTGTTATTTTCCTTGCCTTTATTCTTACAATCCTTGCGCAAAGATAGCGCCATAAGGGTTGTTGAGAAGGTGTAAGGCTATCATTACGCTATCCCACCTAGGACAATTCAACGATAATGTGGCACATCTCTATCGCAAAATCGAAAGACTTTCGGGTGACGATACGCCTAAACTCTAACTAGGGTTCGTCGAAGAGAACTTTGGTTCATAGCTTCTAAGATTACAAATAGTGTCAGCGTTGCATGGGAGTGATGATGAAAGTAAAGTACACGATTCCAGCGAAGGGCACTTCCAGCTTGCCCTCTAAGCTTACAACGTTCCCTACATCCCCATAATAACTCAAGCCCTCGCCAAGAGTCCTGTGAGAGTGTTTTCTTGCGCATGTCGCGGTTGCCCGGACAAACTTCCAAAGATCTGATCGAAACCTACGCTCATAGTTGGAGGGGACCCTAGACCCGCCTGTGATCGTAGAGGGCGTAATGAATGTGGACAAAAGATTTCACTTACGTGGTTGGGGAGACGGTTGCAGATGGAGACGTGCAAATGACGGAACCTAATCAGCAAGGAGGAATTAGCGAAATTGAGATGTATGAAGATCAGTCGGACGTCAGGGACCGAAGTTTGCGAGTCGGGGCACTTGATGCGCTTGGGACCAAGTTGGAAAACTTTTCGTTTTACACCAGGAAGTCAGAGGATGTAAGTTTCCCTGGACACTACAGAAGTAACGAGACTGAGAATGTAGAGGAGCTTTGTCTTAAGGTTAAGCCCACGAAGATGGAGGACAGCTGAAAGAACTAATTAGAGAAGGCGCCCCGTGGTTGATGGAATGTTTGTGGAGACGATAGGTTTTTGGGGTTTTAGTCAGATTTTAGGAGGAATCACCAAATCAGGTAAGACGTTTCAATCTAGGTTTCCTTGGATGAGCTTGTTTGGAGGCTGGTCATGCGTGCGCACCTGTCAACCGTGGATAAGACCTACCAATAAGGAGTTCGTAACATTTGCAACTTGCAAACAACTACAAGGATCTAAATGGGCTGCCAGCTGCCTGTCTATAAAGAAGCAGGTATTCGAATAGTGCCAATCATAGATTTATCAATTCGGCCTCCGTCTGGTCTTCTCGTCATCGTCTAGCAAGACACCTTCACAAGTAACAGTGCAGTCATCGCCGTGATGTACAACGACGATATTGTGGCTAAAATGATCCAAGAGCAGATTTTAAGCAAGCATCGCGCTTATAATAACGAGAGCTAGAAACTGACGCGACTAGACAAAATCAACTAGAACGCCTACTTTAAACGATATACATTTGGTGTAATGTTCTGTCAAGACCCGATTACGCCTATGCAGTCCTGATATTTCGCGAAAACATTGATCCTCTTCCAACATTAAGAAAGCACGCAGACGTTTTTCAGCATTTTGGGGTTATATTGCACGGAAAGGCCTCTAGATTTGAAAGGACCAAAAAGCATCCCGAAGTTGAGCCTGATGGCGATTTTTCGAAAATGGGGATAGATGGTGAGACCAACGAGAGCAACCATCCGGAAGGAAAAGCGCCCGACTGTGACTGGAACGAAGTGGCAATTCGGGAAGATCAAGTCCGACTAAACGCTGTTTTCGACCTCAAAAAGGTAGTCGGAAACTGGTACGATCTCACCAAGGATGTCCTAGTTGATGAGATTTGGATCGATGATGATGATGATAATGATGTTGGAGAAGAGAATGCGACTGAGATGGTAGGTGACTTAGGACATCATTTTACGCGTCTGCGAGTTGTCGAACAGGATTTCAACTCTTGATGGGCCTTGATCGTGCAAGGAAGGCTGGCACTATCAGTACTTGTGCAAAAGAGAGCGGGAGAGATGTAATCACAAGGGTGCTATCTATGTTTAAGCCTAGGTAACTCTCTTGCCAACAGTACAGACTCGCTTCAAGCCTAATTTTCTTTGTCTAGTTTGACTTGATTTGAGAATGAACATCGATGATCCTTGCTCCTTCTACTCAGCCACTTTCTCGGCGAGTCTGCGTACACCAGGGTGTAATTGCGTGAGGATGTTCGACGGGCTTATGAAAAACTGAACTCGACCAGTTGGGTCCACTCAGAACCTCACGACGGCCACGCATAAAGCGTCAAGAATTTGTTAACAAGCTCGTAGTCCTTTTCTGTTTCAGGGTGAAATTAGTGTCAGACTGGGTAGAGGGCATTCACGACGTTAGGGTGGATGTTATGAGCTAGGGTGTAAATCGTATTCATACAAAAACACCAATTTTTGATAGTCGACTCACTTGTGCACTGTATTGTCACCCTTCACTCACCGTACATTGGCTAACAGAGAGCGAATGTTATGCATATTCTAGGGGTTTTTTTTTTTTTTTTTTTTTTTTGCTATCTAGGTGCTGTTACTATGCTCGCTCAAATCTTTCAGCTGATGCGTCGTGCTCGAGAGCGTTTAAATCAGACACTTGCACTAAATGGCTACTAGGCGATCCACATCTTGTACGTCAGTAGTGGCTTTGAAATTTCGCGTTCTGGGAGATAAATAGAATGAGGATGGTTCCCCTGCATCGCGACTTATAGCTGGTGGACGTGACCCCCAATACGATCTGTTGTGAGAGTGCGTCTGCCGAACAGATGCTGCTGTATGAGGTACATAAGGACACTCAATTGAAAAAGGTTGAATGTTAAAATTCACAGGGCTCAAACCAGGCCTATCATGTCCGCACTCATTTTCCACATTAATGCCACTGCATGCGGTCTCCCAACACCGCGTTTAAATTTCGGATGGGATGTCAATTTTTCCAGCCCGTAAATCAGGAGTAACAGCTTCACAGCTGTTTGCAGCAATGATACGCCTGACCGAAGGAAGTCCTCCAACACTTTTCATTGAATCGCGATACGAGGTGTGTTTCCAAACCTTCTCAATAAGGACCAGCAATTTTTGGCTTCCCCGGGAACACATTCTGTTCAGCCAAAAGTCCTCCAACCCCCGCTGATAAATTTCTATTCGTAGGAGACACTTCAATTCCAACACGCTTCAGATCCGTCCTAGTTCTCACCTTTAAATCGGGTCCAAGAGGGCCATTACCGGGCCCATCGCATTTCCGTGCAATCCACCCCTAGCATATATAAATTTCGCCGATTTATTAGACCATCTCCAAAGCCCGTTAAATATGCTCTACCTTCATCGACTCTAAATTTCCAGGAACCCCATCACATAGTCCCCGCTACCGCCACCCGCAGCACGCTCGGGACTACAAGGAGTGATAGTCCACAAGTGCGCCTCTGAAAAACCGTGGAATTTTGCAGACTTGAAATGTAAACTCCGCTCTAAAGCTGGTTCATTGGTTCTGCACACCGTTCTGGCGCTGTTTGGGGTCCTTCAATTCACTTTCAGAGCTCTGTCCGGAATGGAAAGCGCCGATTTTGAGCAACCTAGAAACTATCTAGGCCACCTCAGACGGTGCTTCCATGGACTGTCACCTTTCGTGACACGGAGCATGTTCGACCATCGCACCGCAATCCAGCCAATCACAGCCCGTTCTCACCACCTCACGTGTCAACGCGAAAACGCAAAACCGAGATCCACGCGCCTCCCGCCATCAAACCCCAACACTATCGATCCCCATCCGCCTTGAATCACAGCATCAAACCTGCCCCCTTGCCAGCTACCACAATGACCGAAGCCACCCCCCGCATCCTGGCGCCCTACCTCTCGCAATTCCAGGGCCAAACGGTCCGCATCCTAGGAAAGGTGGTGCAGCTAGCGGGCGAGACCGCGTTCATCGATGCTGGCGGGAAGGTGACGCTGGACTTGAAGACGAATAGGGTAAGCTACCTCCCCGCATTCATCCTTTTCAGCCTCCGCGATTGAAGGACGCGATGACTGCTGCTGGGATGGCGTAGATAGAAGTTGGTGGAGGATGCGAGGGTAACGAGAGCACAGGACTGCCATCTCGCCGTCGGCAACGCGGTCGAGATTATTGGAAAGGTGGACTCGAATCTGGAGGTGAAGGTGTTTACGAGTACGGATATGGGGCAGGGAATTGGTATGTTTTCCCCGCATTGCTTTCGGGTTTAGATCAGTGTGAGTGGCACTGACAACCGTTCCGCAGACTTCGATGCTGCGAATGCGGTCGTTGATGCGACGCATAAGTACAAGGAGATTTTCTACGAGTAGGCCGGCGCGTCGGGGTCGGGTCACATGCCGCGACGAATTGGCAACATTGACTAGGCGTTGAGGCAAGTCCGGCGGTGGCGATGTTGATTCAAAGCGGACTAAAATGAACCGTTCACGGGTTGATATGACAATGCAAAAGAACATGACTTCATATTAGTAGTAAAAGCGTGAAGTTGTATCTACGGTATCGTGCTATCTGCCTGCCCAAACCCATCAACACCGTCCCCAGCCGGAATCCAAGCCCATCTCAAGAGCCCATCTCAAGTGTACACCGAAACTCAAACGCCCCAAAGAACTAACGCCTCTACCGCGCGCCCGAAATCGTAACGCGTGATCCCTCGCTATTCTTCCTATTAAAGTCTACTTCGTACCACCTCGAGCCTGAATTTCACGTCCCGCAGCGCCTTCGACTGCGGTTTCCACTCTTCGAACATATCTAGTAGCTCCTGTACCTCGTCTCCCAACTCGCGCTTCACAAACTCTTCCTCTAACAAACCCCGCATAGCCCAGGGTAAAAAGTATGGGTTCTGTTCTTTCCCCGCTGGGGACTCATAGTCCTTGAACTTCAGCGCCAGTGGATCCTCCTTCTCCCTACCCAGCCGTCCGAGGGGCTCAAACTTGCTCTTTTGCGAGGCAGTAGGGGTAGAAGGAGTGGCTAGGGGCAGCCCGGCCGACGTCGCAGGGCGTTGGGAAGAGGAGGGGTGATGGGGTAGAGATGTGGTCTCTAGAGCGTGCGAGACGGCAAGAGAATATACACGCGGATCCTCGTAAATGCGGGAGTGTCCTTCGCCGGAGTAGAGGGAGCCGGCTAGTGCGGGCGATAGCTCACGGATGAGACCCTGGTCGGGCAAGCCGAGATTGCGGAGCTTCATTGCGAAGCCGACAAGGTGGGTTAGGAAGTCTGGCGCGTGGATGCGACCGTCGACGAAAACGGCACGGTAGATGTAGGGATGTGAGAGAGGAGTGAAAGTCGATGACTGTAGAGCGTTAGTGGTCTAGGACGGAATAGGAATGGAGGGAGCATACCTCAAGCGATACAAGTTGGTCATCGATGCTGCCAACGTAGACAATTCGCACACCTGCTCTAAGCACCTCATCTAGTGCACCAAGATACATCTGACTAACCACGCTCTGCGGCCTCGAAAACTCGAACAACTCGGCTGCTGTACCCCCGAGATACCGTGTTCTATATTCGCCAAACGGACCTAGATTCACACCAGCCATGGCACAGATCCCGACTCTTGCCGCGTTAATGCATCCAAAATGGATTAGTTTGGCAACCAGCATAATGGCAACAGGCACGCCCTGGGAATGGCATGCGACGAGAATGAAATCTGCTTTCCGTATCTGCTCAGTCCAGTTCAGTAGGAGATTCCAGAGCGTGGTTACCCGATCGGCAATGAAACCTTCGCCTTCCAACGCCACTTTCTCAATCTCGCATTCGTATCCGCGCTGCTGTGTCCATTCTGCGATGGCGGCGGCCGCGGCGTTGGCGAAGCGGATCGAGGTCCCAGTAGGTTGACCGAGAACCTTTTGGAGGAGGGGAGCAGGGAAGTAGCCGTGAACACCGATGGCGATGGCGCGCTTGATGCGGGGAGGTGAGGGTGCGATATGTAGATGAGGTGTAGCAGATTCGTTTCCAAGGAAGTATTCGCGGATTTGTTGCCAGTAGGTGGGCTGGCGGAGAAGCCCATAAGTTTGGCTGAAAGCAGGAAGGAGTAAATTGGGAGGCTCCTGTTTTGCTTTCAAGGCTTGCTTTGGTGCAGATTGCGGTGCGGCTGCTGCTAAGACCCTAGAGGGGCTGTGAGAGGGTGTGGTCTTGGAGGGAGTCGAGGCGGAGGATGCGGATGTTTTGGTGTCTTTGGACAGGTCTTTTCCTCTCGGACGACCTCGAAGGGTCTTTGGAGTTTCCTTCTGCTGTGGCGTTTCCTGCTCGTTGAACTGAGCTGCTTCGGGACGGGATTGAGAGGGTGTATCTGCGACGGCCAATTCTCCGACTTGTTTGTGTGTGGACTTCGTATCCTCTTCACGGCCTTTTGGCTCGGCACGGGACCAAAATGCCCACCCAGCCGACTTTGGTGGTGTTGCTTTGGCTGCGGGGGTAGAATCTTGAGGCTCCGACATCTGAATATCCTTGTCTGGAGTAGCTTCAGATGGTGCCTCTTCAGTCGCCGTCGTCTTCGGCGGTGCTGGTGCCGCTTCTTGAGGGTTATTGGTCTGAGCATTCTGTGTACTGCTCCAAAATGTAAACCACGATCTGCTCTGTGTGCCTTTGTCGGTGCCGGTAGCCGTCGTCGCTTCGGCTTTATCGTCGGCTGGCTTCACATCCCCGTTCAGATCGGGCTTGTCGTCAGGCTTCAGGTCCGCGGCCTGTTCATTGGCAGTGCCCTCCAGTATCTTGTTCTGATTGACGGCATCCTCAGACGGGGTGGCTCCCGGAAGTGGTGTTGTCTGTGCCTCGATCGTGTCTCCAGCCTTCAGTTTGTCTGTCGCCTTCCCATCCGCCGGGTATCCGTCTGGTCTCGACCACCAACTCCTCCAATCTGTGATGTTGACCGACTGTCTCTTCGCGTCGGGTTCCTCCTTCCTCTCCGCCGCATCGGCCTTGGGTGGCTCGGGTGGTAATGGGGGATCCGGCTCCGTGTCCTTTGGCGGTTCCTTATCCTCCTTTGCCGTCTCCACCCCACCCGTGTCCACGACGCCCGAGTCGACTCCGCCTGTCTTGTCTACTGAATGTGTTGAGTTGACGTTGAACTTGGTCATGGACGCGGTCGGCACCCCTTTGCTCGACTTCCTCTTGGAGAGCAGCTTCGCAGGCGTGTTTGGCAGTGACTTCTTGTCCGCATCAGCAGGCACCTCAGACGTCGTCCCCGCAGCAGAGGCAATACTCGCCCTCGCAATCTGGGCTACGGGAGGAGCCTTTGACCGCCAGCTCCCCGTGGCCCCATACCACTTGCGGCCCGAGGGCTTGCCTTGGGATTGCCTGCCCGAGGCGTTGGTGGTGGTGGTGTTCGACGCGGTGCTGCTGGCGGTAGTTGAACTTTGTATCGTCGGCGCTGTGGACGGGGTGATCTCTGGACTCCCGCTGGATTCCGGGGCTTCCTGCTGCTGCTCTGGCGCAGGCGGCGATTCGGGTTCAGCTCCAGCTTGCTCGGGGTCGGCAGCTGGGGCCTGGGGGTTCGGCTTGGACTTCTTGCGTGGGCTCATAGAGAGGGCGTGGAGGACGCGGTCGGGGAGGTCGAGGCGGCGCTGGGGAGTGAGCTCGAGCTTAGCATAGAGGGAACGCAGGTGGGCGCTGAGTAGGGATACCTTGGTGGTGGTGGTGGTGGTGGTGTTGGCCTCCATGAACACCAGACAACAGCGTCATTCGCGCTTTGGCCAGAGTGAGGCTTTGGTCCTGCGCAGTAAACTGGCCAGGTTAGACACGCTAAGTGGGCAGTTTAGCCAAGAATAATTCGCCGACTGACCGTTCACTCTTCAGAACTCCTCAGAACTCTTCAGAACCTTGGCAGTATGCGCATCTTAGCAGTCTGATTCTAGAGACTGCGAATAGCTCAATAAATTCTGAGGTAGCCTAGAAAGCTGGTTGGACTGCTATAATGCTCTCTCTAGAGGTCCAATAATGTGCCACAGGACTTGTCAGGCACGTGAACGCCTTCAAATGGGGGAGTTTGGAATAGAACTCTAGACGCATTCGGGGACTAGTATGCTCATTGGAGCTTAGTAAACTGGTAAGAGCCATGAAGGACTCCTCAATGTGACACGATGAATACACAGTAGCTCGAATGTGATTCCTGCCCCTTATGCAGCTGGTTGTGCATGTGCATGCCAAGCTCTGTGCAGCTTCTCTGCCACCGCCTTCGAATTTCTTGCGTCCTCGAACTTTTCAAAAGTCCCCCTCATCAACACCACCACGTTTATTCGCAGCCATGGCGATCCAGAAGAAGGTGCGTTTTCCCTCTGGACGCATTATACTTCGCTGACCCTCCACAGCACGGCAAAGGCCGTCTCGACAAATGGTACAAGCTCGCAAAAGAAAAGGGCTACCGTGCTCGTGCCGCCTTCAAGCTCATCCAGCTCAACAAGCGATTCAATTTTCTCGAGAAGAGCAAGGTCTTGATAGATCTTTGCGCCGCGCCAGGAGTACGTTTTCTGCCTACTCCACATTGCGCAATTCTAACCTCCGCAGTCATGGTGTCAAGTCGCCGCAGAAGTCATGCCTGTGAACTCCCTCATCGTCGGCGTCGATCTCGCCCCAATCAAGTCCATTCCTCGCTGCATTACCTTCCAATCCGATATTACGACCGATAAATGTCGCGCGACGCTCCGCCAACATCTGAAGACCTGGAAGGCGGATACTGTGTTGCACGATGGTGCGCCCAACGTTGGTACCGCATGGGTGCAGGACTCCTTTAACCAGGCCGAGCTCGTGCTGCAGTCTCTGCGACTAGCGACAGACTTCTTGGTGGAGGGCGGCACATTTGTCACCAAGATTTTCAGGTCGAAAGATTACAATTCGCTGCTCTGGGTTTTCAATCAGCTTTTCACAAAAGTCGAAGCCACCAAACCTCCCTCCTCGCGATCCGTTTCCGCCGAAATCTTCGTCGTATGCCGTGGCTACAAAGCACCAAAATACCTCGATCCCAAGTTCCTCGACCCCCGCTCCGTTTTCGCCGAACTTGCTGCTCCCGCTCCGAATAACGAGGCCAAGGTTTTCAAGCCTGAGATCAAGAAGAGGAAGAGAGAGGGTTATGAGGAGGATGACTGGACACAGTTCAAGGAGGTCCCTGTATCCGATTTCATCCAGACGACAGATCCGATCGCCATGCTCGGAGGTCTCAATAAGCTCAGCTTCGACCAGAAGCCCAATGGAGATATCGCACTAGCTACCATAGACAAACTACCCGAAACCACAAAGGAGATTCGCGAATGCTGTGCCGATTTGAAAGTTCTGGGACGAGCTGACTTCAAGAGGCTGCTGAAGTGGCGGCTGAAGGTACGGGAGATATTCGGATTTCCTTCCAAAAAGTCCGAAAAGGAGAAAGCAGAGAAAGAGAAAGCTGCAGCTGAGGATGAAGAAGTCGCCCAGGTCGAGTCCATGGACGAAGGGTTGAAGATTCAAGCAGAGATGGAGAGACTCAAAGAACGCGACTCCAAGGTCAAGCGCAAAGAACGGCGGCGCGAAAATGAGCGCAAGCAGAAAGAATTATTTCGCCTGCAGATGCACATGACCACACCTATGGAGATAGGTATGGAGCAACATGGGCCTAACGGAGATGACTCCATGTTCATGCTGAAGACTGTGGACAAGGCTGGTGGACTTGGTCAGATTGCCAAGGGTAGGATGACGAAGGTCGTGGAAGAGGAGAAGCCGCAGGAAGAAAGCGAGGAAGAGTCAACCGATGACGAAGAGGATCGGTTAGAGCGTGAACTTGATGGAATGTACAATGAGTATCAAGAGCGAAAAGCTTCATCCGATGCAAAGTACCGCGCGAAGAAAGCGAGGAAGCAGCACGAAGATGCCGAGTGGCATGGCTTCTCGGATAAAGACGAGGGAAGTGATGGTGATGAAGATATGATTGAAGAAGAAGCGAGTGATTCCAGCGATAGCGATGAGGAGGAAGTGCGGAAATCTTTGGTCACCGATCTGAATCCAGAAAACCAGCCAGGAACTCTCACGATACGCGCAGAACGATTCTTCGACCAGGACATCTTCAAAGGTATCGATGGCTTGGACGACCTCGAAGAGAATGAGGACGAAGATAGTGGGATTGATATCGAGGCCGATGCAGAGGATATTCCCGTCCGGTCCTCGAAGCCTCTACCCTCCGAGAAAGTCACAAAACCCAAACTCGGGAAGAAGAACGCGAATGCTACGCCCCTGGGCGAAGTCACTTCAGAATCGAACGGAATCGCCAAAGAATTCGATGCCGACTCGGAAGACGAATGGTCCGACGAAGAAACTAAAGGCGGCTTCGAATCTGTCAAACGAACGGACTCTACCTGGGATGAAGACGCCGTCCCCATGAAGAACGGCCGCCCAGATATCGACATTATCACCGCCGAAGCCATGACCCTGGCGCAAGATCTCGCTTCCGGAAGGAAAACTAAGTACGACTTACTTGATGATGGGTTCAACAAGTATGCCCTCCGCGATACCGACGGCCTCCCGGATTGGTTTCTCGACGACGAGGGAAAGCACTCGAAGCCGCATCGACCCATCACGGCCGCCGGTGCCGCTGCTATCAAAGAAAAGACGCGAGCTCTGAATGCGCGGCCCATCAAGAAAGTCCGTGAAGCGAAAGATCGGAAGCGCTTTAAGGCTGCGCAACGGCTCGAAAAGCTGAAGAAGAAAAGCGCATTGCTCGCGGATGAGGAGGGTATGACGGAGAAAGAGAAGGCGCAGGGCATCGCGCGCTTGATGAGCAGAGCCGCCAAGAAGAAGCCGAAGCAAAAGGTGGCCGTTGTAGTTGCTAAAGGTGGGAATAGAGGTCTGAAGGGCAGGCCGAAGGGTACCAAGGGCAAGTATAAGATGGTTGATGCCAGGATGAAGAAGGATGCTAGGGCCGAAAAGCGATTGAAGGATAAGACGAAGAAGAGGTGATGAGATTGTTCCGAGCGCATCCGATAGATGCTCTTGGAATGTAGTTAGCTTTCATGAGATTTTAATGGGTCTTCACACTTGTCTGGCACCGTCAGGCGTTCTTCAACGCATTTTCAAAACATAAGCAAAGCGCAAGAACATTATTTTGACCAACAGGATAGAGCGTTGGTCTACTTCAGACGCCTCTGTACTATACTGCTTCAAACTCAGATGCCCATGCCTCCAACTTTCCCCGTCAGCCCCGTCCGCTCATTCGGATTTCTCCTCCTGTTCGCTGGCTCATTCGTACCGCCTCCGCTTCCGTCCATTTGATCACGCTGGGGCTGCTCAGCAGGCCCGGGATGCAACACCCCCCACGCCTGCTCTTCCATCATGTCCAATAACCTGGATAGCGCCTCATCTCTTGATTTTCCGTACGTAGGGCCACAAATGACTTCTCTGTTGCTCTCTTGCGCATTATCTTGACGACAAACAACTGCGGCGGAGTATTTTCGATCGTTTTTGTCGTCTGCGGTGGGATTGCGCGCGGCCATGATTGTCCCGGGTTTATATTTTGGGCTGATGTAGCTTCCCATGCCTAGTCTATCAGAAGTGTCTAGACGAGAAAAGGGTTTCCAAGCCGTACCTTCAATGTGGACGCGTAAGGAAAGTGTCGAAAGCCGCGGCGGGTCATTTGCACTAGCATCATCCGTGGAAAAGGGTTCTTTCAATCCTCTCGTCAAGGGCGCTTGAGGCACTGGTGCTCTTTGGGTAGTTGCTCATGATGGATAAGATGTCGGATGGATTACGTCGCTGATCTGATGGAGAAAACTGCCAAGAGGAACGGTTCTATAACTCAGACCAAAACAACGAAATAGTCGGTGCAGATTCCAGAACCGGTCTCACACTCGCCAAACAGCTTTCCTCGACAAACAGTATGGTGGCCTCCAGCTGCTTTTTTGGACTGTTGTCCTGCTGAAGAGAAGGAAGCAGTACGCAAACCCTAACCGCATCTTCTTTCATCGTCTAAGAAGGTTTCTTCATGCTTCCGACAGCACGCAAACTGTCTCAATTTGCGTCTAGGATACTCACACGGAGAGGATGCAAGGATTGCCCAATGGGTAATCGCCGGGCAGGGTCCATGGTACTGTACTAGGGCATAAACTTGGGTACACCGTGTTTCATATCTCTTCCCGATTTGCAACGATGCGCTGAAGCACCACAAACAAGCGGCCAAGCAGGCCAACTGTAAGCCTAGGAAACTTCCTAATTCAAGTTTTAAAGAAATTCTCATCTTGTGGAAATTTCATGGTAAGGGGGTAAAGCACCTGAAATAGTGATGGGTGAGCGTATTCATGACATTAGAAACGCGCTGTTTCCCCAGGCATGCTTTCATCATTTACTTCAGCAAGTCATTAAAGTTAGTGCATAGGATAACCACAGCCATGCCAACCCTCGTTCCGCAATTCATTCACAAACTCTGCGAAATATACGTGGTACCCGTATCTTCGTTCACCTTCTCCTTTCGCCGCGCCAGTCACATTTCCGTCAAGATCGATCAAACTCGTCCTCCGCCGGTCTGGGTCTGCTCTATGGGATGCAGAGCCTCCCACAGTCTGCCCTCCATCATGGTCAGCAATGCCAAAGAGCCTGTTCTCGCGATCCTCCATGTTTTGGCCCAAAGATGGTGTCCGCTGGCACGCCTGGGCCCACAACTCCTTGCTCTCGGCGGACGACGACGGTTGAATACCTCCTCCCTTCGCTGCTAGGATTCAGATCGCATGCAGTCATCGTCTAAATACTCGAGTAGTCGTGTCTGAGAAATGATGCGATGGCTATTCCGGAGCGTTAGCAACATCGAGTTAGAAAGCTTTGGTTAGGTTGAAAATCCTTCTACATACACTCGATGTGTAACTTCAACTCCGTCAACCCAGACAAAATGGATGTCGCTAGGGTTGTGCCGTTGTTATGAGAGTGGGGCGACATGATGTTTCTTAACGATCCAGCCGTGGAAGATTCTGGGGGCGAGGCTTATTGCAATGTTCATTACAGTGTGCCATGAGAGATGGAAAGGGGAATCCTGTGCGGTGTGTGATTCTGAGGGATTGAGCTTTCGGGAGCTCTTTTTATATTCACGAGCAGGAAACTTTCACAAACATTGAGTGTACACCACATGGCGAGAAGCAAATGGATGATTCGCGGTAAGTGCCGAAGTGTCTGGTTGTACCTCAGTCGATAACGCTGGGGGCGGGTCGTTTGTCGGAAGTGTAGCGCCATGTCCAGCCTGTCATCTCTCAATTCACGGAGTCATCGGTGAACAATGATCAACTCTGCGGAGTTTACATTCAACTCATCTTCTTCTTAGCTAAATCAAAGTCTCCTGTTTTCTGGTTGAACAAGAAGGCGAGGGGCCATAAATGCCGAGATTGGCCTTTAGAAGTTCGCTCCATGTATCTTTTCCAGAGCCCCTTCCCGCCAGTCCTATCAAGTCTCATCCATCCACCTTCTGCTTGATATCTAGCCGCTCGCTCGACGTTTCGTCCTCGCTCGACATTTCCTCCTCACTCGACGTTTCCTCCTCGCTTGCCTCTCAAGATCGATTCCAGTCTTCGCCTTCTCCTTCCCTCATCTCAGGATCATCCACGCTCTGGGTGTCCATCTCCCCTGCATCCACGTCTCCATCACCGATCTTCGTATCCCACGTCCTCCTCTCTGGGTGCAGCACATCCCATACCTTCTCTTCCATCTCTTCCAACAACACCCAAAGCGCCTCTTCTCTTGACTTCCCGTAATAAGGTTCGTAGAGGACGTTCACCCCCGTGCCGCTTGGGTCAGTCTTCTTCTTTCCGATCTGTTCAATGACTGCGGCAGTGTACTTTCGATTCGGAAGTTGGCCGTCGGTGACAGGGTCGTGTGCAGTCACGGTAAAGATCTTACTGTGATTGTGTCCCAGCGCCATCACGGTAGCTGTGTGCGTGTTGATCAGCATTAGTCATGCTCTATTAAAAAGCCAAATCTATCAGTTTAACTAGGCGGCTTAGCGTGATACGTACATTCGATGTGGTAATGGATGTGCATGTACATATAGTTCACTGGTGGTCTCACGATCCTACTCGTCGCTGAGCACTCGCTGATCTCTGAAATTACTAGGGAGGATGATGCGCGCAAAGTTCCTGACGATGATGTCGTGGTGCTTGATGGTGTACTCATTGCAGGCGGATTTGCGTTTTGTAAATGCTTGGAAACCGGCAAGAGATTGGAGAGCGGTGTTTTGATCCTGGGTAGCTAGGAAATTAGGGATGCTCTATATGCTGCTGACGGAGCAGCCACGTGCAAACATGACAGATGAAAGTACATTCTGGAGGTGGTTGGTAAGTTTCCTGGAAAGATATGTCTGGCTCAAATAATAAACACATCCCAGCCTTTCCATGGTTTTCGGTGATGCAACGTTATGTCTGAGTAAAACGAGCGTGCCGCCTCCCTGTGTAGATCTATAAATCGCCAAACAGGACTAGTGACTCTCTCTACTTCCCGCGGCTCTCTACTTCCCGCGGAATATGGGCCGCATTGGAAAGAAGGATCGAACGAGTTCACTTCAGATCGGGGCCTGTGTTACATGACGGCGTCATAAGTTTGGGTACACAGATATACCACTGCACAACTTCCAGTCTTGTTCGCTCGATATCACTATCAAGAGCACGTTAGCTAGCAGATATTTAAACTAGCCCAAAGGTAGTTTGATTTCCACTGCGTCCACCTTCACATCGTTTTGAAGTTTGAGAAGCCAATGGGAGTACCCCAACTTATCTCCCAGGCGTGTATGTACGTGAGATGCCTAGCATTAAATCGTTGATTTCAAATTGGTCAACCCGCCCCATGTGAATGAGAGGGGCCTATCTCTTAGCTCTGTCCCCTGATTTTGACCCCGTAGCCTCTTCTAGCTTTCTTCGCTTTGCAGAATTTGTTCGAGTCGCCCGATCTTCAACCGTCGTATCCTCCTTCATTTTATCCTCGTCAGTGGCGTCCTCATACAGTTCATGATCCCCCTCCCCCGCTTCCCTCTCACGAGTACGTTGTTGTGCCTCCCAGAGGTCCGCTTCCACTTTATACAGCAAATTTTTCAATGTCTCTTCTCTCGTTGCGCCAGGCACTGGCCGTTCGTAGAATACCAGCTCCTTCACTTCATCGTGGTTCATATCATCAGGATCGTATCGCACCACCGAGGCGGTGTATTCGCTGGTCAGCGGATTTCGCGCAGTTACGGCGAAAATGCAGTTCCAGTCGTTGCGTAGGGCGCCTACGATACCTAAATATTATCTGGGTCATGCAAGATCTTAAATTGGAGGAGGCGATGGAGTACGGACACGTACGTTCAATAAGGTCGATGATGCCGGAATTTGAGCCACCATTCAAATCTCCCGTGTGATGCTCTATCTTGCGGATGGCGGTGGACTGTATCAACGTGTTACTGGGTCAGGAAGTTGGTTGAGTCGTGATGGGCGTACACTGCCGCCTTTTTATGTCTGTAGAAGATGGCAAGGAAACGCTTACAAACATTGTAGAAGCATAAACTCCAGGGCAGGCTGATATGTATGTAGAGAGATCTGGTGTTTTCTTGAACCTATTTTCAATAGCTCGTAAGTGCTTGAGACTCCGAGTCGGCCGCGGGGCCGAGGGCTGGAGTGTTCCCACAAGCCTGCTTTCATCTCCAGGATTCCCGAACTAACGCGTATCTTCCACCACGTCGCACATTCGAGGAAGTTCTGTTACCATCGCTAACGACGAATGCCAATCAAGCAATCGATCCGTTTGCCTCGAGTAACTTTGCCATGCCGACCTGCTGCTGAAACCAATGTTCAAACCTTTGAGAATCGTCACGTGCACACAAAGGGATTGTCGTCTTGCCATTATCTTGGTACCCTGGACTCTTTATAGCTACAACTTCCTTCAGTAAAGTTGTAGAATACCGAATTCAAGGATATTGTCGACGAAACGAGTCAACCACGCTCACTAACAGAGCAAGAACTGGAACACCAGCTTTCGCTGGGGCATCAACTTCCAAGGGTTTGTTGACAATTCAATAGAGTTCTTGGTAAGACGCCATCAATCGATCATCGACACCGATAACATGGAAAAGTTCACTGTAGCTACAGTACCTTGCCATAGATAACCGTACGATTTCCTGCGACGGTTTGCGGGGCTTTAATGTACTAACATAAATCGGGGGCAGCGGATACACTTCCTATCTGCCTATACCGTGTTGTCGCTGTTGGGGTAGCCTCGCGAGGTTACTAGTTGTCCAAAGTGCCGAACTTCTCTCTTGCTAGGGATGCTGAAAATAATACGAAGCTTCTCACACAGCGGTAAAGGAGTTTACGGATGCTTATAACGAGGAATTGTACAATTACCAGTCGAGGATGAAATAATGCAAGTGTGGATGAGTCGAAAGGCTGCCCTCATCCAGATTGACAACCATTCTCACCGTTCCGAGTCGTGTCGTAACTCCTGTGGGCCGCCGTGCGCCGAAAAGACGGGGTCATGAGATGAGTTCCTTCTTGAACCAGTTGCTGAAGACCACATTCGAGATATGAGGCACTTGCCAACCCGCTAGAGATCTTGAAGATGAGTATCGTAATAATTTCGAAGACTAGCTCACGGAAAAGACGAATATCCTATGTGACGAGCAATAGTGAAGCGGCCCGAGTGTTTGGAACCCGATTTGAGTGCTAAGCAAAAAGTGAATGGCAATAAATTCAGCGATTCCGAGTATACCTCAGGGGGTCGGACGTAGCAGTATATTCAACGAAAAGTCTTGTTGGAGAACACAAGCATGCCGGGACTCTGCTTTTTCATAGACAACCATGTAAAGCTTTCGCTCACTGTGAAATCCGATTTGGTAAACTTTCGAGTAACCATTGCCCCATATCTGAATGAAAGTCAACCTAACCTAATCTCTTCGAGTCTACTACGATGCCCTAAGAGATGTTCTGGCTTGGATATAAGAAACTCATGCCCAAAGAAAAGCATCAAATGAAAGACTAATGAAACCATAGCACAGATTATGGCCCTGTCAGTGAGCTTATCGGCTCATGATAAAGCAGTTCTGAATGAAATTTATGGCAAAATACTTTGATTAGTTACTTAAGCGAGGAGTGATTTCAGGTTTGATCGAGTGAGCGTTCCAGATGACAAGACTCTTCATTCTTCAATAACTAGGCCTTCCTCCGTCGATCCCTGAATCAGGATCCGCTCCACGTCTTCTACAACAGCCTTATCATCCCATCGGCGAAACAAGTCCAAAGCAGTTTGTCCTTTGTCATTCTTAGCCTGGACATCCACGCCGTGTTTTATCAAAAGCCGAATCGTAGACTTAAGCGAACCGAGATGAAAGTGCGTATATACGGTTAACGCTGTTCCCATATTGTTACGTAGGCTGTGCAAGACCGTCGACCCATCTTCCATGAGTCTTTTCGGGGAAGCGCCATGTTCGAGTAGCATGGCAATTATCTCAACATCGACTTGACTGCAGGCGGCCATGAAGAGTGTTTCTCCCAATAAGGTTTCACAATCCGTCTCGGCGCCATGATCTGGAAGCAACTTTACTGTCTCTTTTTGGTGCCTAGTAATAGCCCAGAAGAGAGGCGTAGTTTTCCGCTTGGGAGACTTTTCGTTCACATTCAGTCCTTTCTGTATCAGGAGTTGAACTATGTCAATCAATCCGTTCCCAGCTGCATTCTCGAAAATGGAAAGATCGCCGCGCCTGGCTTTGAAATCCGCCCCGTGGCCGATGAGAAGTCGGGCGGTTGCCAATCTGGCAGTGGCAGGCTGATGGGAAATTTGCGAAAGGTGAACAAGACAACAAAGAGGTGTGTACCTGTCCGCATTCCTGGCATCGATCTGAACGTCATATTCGAGCAGAATCTTTACTACGTCTTCTTTAGCAAAGGACGCAGCACAATGTAAGGCAGTTTGCCCGTTGTTGGGCGTAGCTCTGGTGGGATTTTGGCCATCTTCCAGCAGCGCCCTCACTACCTCTGTGTAGCCCCAGCTGGAGGCTGAATGAACTATGTAGTTTGTGTCTGATGGATAAAACTCAAGCTCACGGGGATCGAAGAGAGCAATTACTTCTACGGATTCCACTAGTGTACTCAGGTTGCCACTACTAGCGTGTCAGTGGCGTTACATCCTTCCATATCCGTAACAAGGGGGAACAGGGGAGTAAACCCCCCCTTTTCAGGGGCTATATATACGGGCCTTATGCCTCTTCAAATCAACACAGAACTGCCTCTTCACAACCTGACAAGTGTCTTGTAAACCTCTGGAGAGTGCAAAAGATCCATGAAGAGTGATGTTAATCCCGGGCAGCTTTCTTGATGTCCGCGCACAATATGCCGGTTATCGCCCATGAGGTAGTTTGTTAGGTACGGTAAAAGGGGAAAGGATGAACTATGATTCATCCAGTCTCCGGGGGTTTTGATCAACCGGCACAGACTTCTGAGATAAGAAATCCCCGCTCGAGCTATGCATGCGTGAGCACACTGCTCAGTAATGCCGTATTTAACACTTCTTTCCGATAGTAGATACTCCTTGACAATGAAGTGTGCGAGGCGGATAACGGTCTTCTTTTCAGCGCTTTGGTCGAGCACAATTAGGCTTCCAAGTATCTCGCAAATATCCCCTTCTGGGTCTTGCAATCGGTTATCCAGATCAAAGGGCACATCTTGTGACGTCTCTACCACAGCTGCCTCGGCCAGTACCTCTAAAGTTAGATTATGCGAGTCTAACTTGAACGCTAGCCATGCCAACGCTCTTTGGGTAATTTCTCTGTCATCCTCATCCATGTTGTCTAGAATTCGGGTGTATGTTTCGTCCAGAGTCTGTGGAAGCGTTTGCAATGCTTTCTTCAGCTTGGCTGGTGATTTGCATTTACGAAGTTCGACGAGTTGGCAGTATACCCAACGAAACCTTCAATCAATAGAGCACATGTTAGTAAGCAACTCTTGGAATAGTCAGACACCTTGAAAGGATACTCACATGCCATTAGATTTCTCTACCAACGTTAACACAATTTCCCGTGCCAGTTTGCCCTCCCACTTTCTCAATTTGGGGTCATCAGAAATCTCGTGTTGCACATACAAGGCGACGTCAGATCGAACGTGGATCTCGTCAATTGAGAGAGGCTTGAATGTGAGTAACGGCTCCAGGGCTTTCTTGATATCGTGCTCCGGTCGACTTGCTACAAGAAGGTGCAAGCAATTGCAGTCGAACGCAGCCACGGAATTGAGGTGCCCAAGTACTGCATTCCTAGTGTCGCCTTTAGGGCACTCGTCCAAGCCATCTATGATGACGAAAACGTCCAAGCCGATACGTGAGAATGACTCCAATATGATTTTCAAAATTGGGACCAGATCTTTCGAGCTGGGAGCTGCGTTCCCGTCTTGTTTTCGACGATATAGTTGCCTCAGTTCTTCCGGAAACTGGTAATCTCTCGACTGGCTTAGCAGTTGTTGTATGAGAGACGCAAGGAAGTTCGTTCCGTCTCTTTTCGAACCAAAGCTGAAATAAAAGTAGGTCACGATTGGGATGTTCTGAGGCTCGTATTTTCCATTGAGGTCAGGGATGACTGTAGAACTCATAACAGTCTTTCCGCAACCAGGGATGCCATAAAGCCATAGAAAAGTACGCGGTGAACTTTTCCACTCACGATACTCCGGCGTCCCAAATAGCCAACTGCACGTTCCCTTGTGGTGTTGTTCTTGAGCCGCCTGATAATTCGAGGATGTATCAGCGCCCGGGAGCCATCTCAATATCTTTTCGCGAAATTCCATGGCTTGTTGTGTTACCGTATCGGCGCGCATGGCGAGGACGTGGGCCTCAGTGGATAACGTTACCGATCTAAAAATGTCAACTCAGGCTATCACGGGCCCAGTAATGCTCGACTTACAGTTGGTCTGAAGCTAATGCAAGTTGAATTGCATTACGATGCTTTTGTAGAGCCTCAATCTTCTCATCCATCTTCTTTTTGTTGAAAGGCCACTTGAGACACTTGCGGAGCTGTTCAGAGGATGCCTTGCTCGACACGGTAAAGCCATCGAGCTCCTTCATGATAGCTTCCATTGCAGTTTTGCACTGCGCGAATATTCCATCTTTCTCCATCAATCGAGCAAGGGCAGAGAGCTCTACAGTGTCCGCTGTGTCGTAGATATCTTTCAAATCTTCGAGGGCGTCGCGGAGTTCCGTCACTGCTTGTCGAAGACGCCGCAAATCGTCTTTCGCATTCTTAAAGTCTTCGCAGTATTCGATACAGGATTGCATCAGTAGTTTGGAAAGCTGGAATACAGCCACCACGCTTGCCGCGGCGCTGATGCCGTCCATGATCTCGGGTTATATTCGGCCCGTGAAGCGCTGAGACTGGGAGGAATAGATGTTTTTATTGACGCTTGCATGAAGGTGAAGCAGTCTGGAGGAGACGGTGTCTGGAGATTGGGAAATGAAGGGTACTTGTGTCAGGTTGACGTGCGCAGCTTGACATCGCACACTGTTCCACGAGACACTTCGATTGGTTGTGGGAGTCTTCAATAAGGTAGAAAGCCCGCGCACAAGACTAGAGGAATAGAGTCTGATTGACAGGCTCCCGCTTTTTACATTATGAGTTCACTTATTTCTATTTGGCCAGTGGTGCCTTGAGTGTGTGCACGCAACCCCAGAAATCACCGTCTATTCGCCTTGAAACACACTCTCATGTAGAGTTGGTCCGCTAGACTGCCTAATTTACAGCTTCCGGAATTTTACATCTTGAGTTTTGTTAAGTTCAATAGGCCAGAGGTGCTTCAACCTAATGCATTCGCCCCCAAATACACGCCACACAAGCCCTAGATCGCGTGCATAAGTTACCGCAGAACGCAAGTTCAATTTACAGGCTTCAGTCCTTTACATTCCGACTTTGTTAGGGTCTGATAGGCCTGGGGTGGCCCCCAGTATAGTGTACATCCTCCGAAAGTCACGGCCCAGACGCCCTGAAATAGGTGATCGAACTACGACAGTTCATAAGACTGATTTGAATGCTCGATTGTTTAACATCACGAGCTTTTGAACAGTGAATAGGCCGGGGGTGGCCCAGTGTAGTACACATGCCCCCAAAACCGCACTCAACATGCCGCAAACCAGGCGCTCACGTCGTGGTATCACAGTTCTAATTCGCAGGCTCCTAAATTTGACATCTTGCGTTCATCTAGAGTGAACAGGCCGGGAGTGACTGAGTATGATGTGTGTACTCCCAAAACTACAGCCCAAAAGTCCCAAATTAGGCTCTTAAGCCACAGCAGTAGAAGCGTCTAATCAGTTGACAGTATGCGTAGAAGAACTCCCAATAGTCACACTACACTCTATTAACAGAAGAACTCATAAAAACAACATTATAGATGATTGACAGAAGAAGAGCAAAGAGTGTCATTACGCCCTATTGGCAGAAGAACCATGAAAAGCCTGATGAGGCACTAGAATCGCCGCAAGTGTGCTCACTTGCCCACCCGCTCGCCCCCTACGCGGCCCCTCTCCGGCCCCTTCCACCCCTCCTTCCCCTCCCTCCCCTGCTCGCCTCCCGCTCCTCGCGGGCCCTCAGCCTGGCCTCCCGCGCCAGCTGGTTCTTCCTCTCCCTCCTCCTCTCCTTCTCCGCCGCCGCCTGCTCCTCCGCCTCCTTCGCCTGCTCCTCCACCTGCCTCGCCGCCTCCCTCTCCCGTTTCGCCGCCGCCTCCTCAGGGGCCGTTCTCCTCTCATGGGCCACCGCGAGGTGGTACATCGCCTTTAGAGCCTCACGCTCGCTCTGGAAGCCGTGCAGGTGCGGGGGCGCCGCGAACCTCTGCCCCCGCACCACCTCCTCGCCCTCCAGCACGCCGAGGGTGATTTCTCCCGGGCCAAGGCCCACCGGGAGGCCGTAAGCGGGGCCTGGGATGGTGCAAATGGGCTTCTGTTGGCCCACAGGGTGCGCAGAATCGGTCCTCGCGTCGCCGTCTGCGGTAGTGTTGGTGGTTGTTGGGGGCACAGCGCGGCCTCCTATGATAAGGTTCTCCCAGCTCCTTAGCTCCTCCTCCCAGCACTTCGCAACTACCCTGTCCCTATTGACCACCAAGCCTTGCTTTGCCCACCGCGCCTGGTCCAGCATGTCCTGTGTGGGGATTTCGGCCGTTACGATGGCCCGGACCTCCCACGCATTGCTCTCTACTTTAGCCACCGCGGGTAGTTGCCAGTCGGGGTCGTAGGTCAGCGGTGTTGGGGTCGAGAAGAACGGGGCCTCTAGGTCGCGATCGGCCCATGTCGTCTCGACAGTGACGTTGTAGTGGAAGCCGTCGCGCGATCGGAAGCCGAGCCGGTTGGCTTTGAAGTTGATGGTGTATTTCAGGCGGGCGGCGATGTCGTCGCGGAGGTTGGCGTTGGAGGGGCTGTCGACGGTTATGCGTTCCATGGCCGTGTCGGCAAAGATGTCAGGCATCTGGTATGACGGCTGCGTGTGGTTGCTGGACATGGCGGGTCCGGCAGTCTGGTTGTTCGACTGTCTGTGGTTCTTGGGCACCCCCGTGTTGCCCATGTTGCCCATGTTTGCACGGTTGTTAGAAAAGATGTCAGCGTCGAATCGGGGAGTGTACGTGGTGAGCTCAGGGCTGAGGGTTAGGAGAGGCCGACCGCTGGGAGTAGGAGTGGACATGGTGGTGGTGAGTCGTGCAGTGGTTCCGTGGTTGTGTTGTTGCTTGCGCCGTGGTTGAAGTGGCGGTGTCGTGAGCCAGACGTTCTACGACGCTTGGCGACGATGAAAAAAAGCTCAGTGATGCTTGTGTCTGTGGAATCCAAGGTTGACTGTAGGCCGGGTAGACTTCGCGGCGTGTCGTTGCGTAGATGAGTTGGAGACGACACTGGTGCTGGAAGTGCAACCAGGTTTCACTGATGTAGATGAATCGGAGCCCGAGGATATGGGATGCTCAGTGCTGATGATATGAAAAGCTGTGATGGTACCGTCTGTTGGACCCAAGGTTGGACGTGAGCGGGCAGGATCTCGCGGTGTGTTGTAGGGTAGCGACTAGAGTTGACCGTGTGGCTGGAAGTAGCAGCCGAGTTCTGCTCAAGACGATGAATAAGCAGAGCCTTGGATCTATTGGACCCCCAAAGATGAAGAAACACAATTCAGCTGACCTTCACTCGCCCTGTAGCTGCTTTTCGGGCAACTAGAAGATAAGATGGGAAAATCTTATCTGTGAAGGATTTCGGTCCTATGAACAACGGGTCGTCACTGCAACACCGCGCAGCCTACCCACAGTTCTAACCTCTCGTCCTATTGAATGTTGAGCGCCACGATGAGGACGCACCCGAGAGGCATTAGAACAGGCCCGAGTTGTTGTGCAGACACCCTCGAAATGGTATAAAGATGCACCTACCGTCTAGCCCTCTGATTGGCTGGAGCAGTCCAACAGGTGCTCCGTGGCCAACAAGCCTATTATCTCATGGAGTACGAGGTTAGTAGTTCTGGCACCTAGATATACCGCCGCACGCTTCTACTCTTGCCCGCTCAACGCCACTATGAGGAGTAGCTTAGATAGCAAGTACTCAACTGGTCAAATGCAAGCCTATTTTCGACTGTGTCAACCTGGAACATCGTTACGAATGTCTTCCATTTCAGAATATGGATTTAGTAATGCTTGAGCTCACCTTTTGCTCGCTCAACACCATTGTGAGGAGTGGCTCAGATGGAAAATAGCTGGCTAGTCAGAGGGCAGTCTGACTTCCACTGTGTCAACTTTTTGGCATCGTGTTCAGTTCTTGAAAAGGACCTGACGGCGCCCCAGGCAGTGGCAAACAGACGTGTCTAGTCCAATTTCTTTCCTGCTGATAGCCGTCCACCTCCAGAGTTCCTAGGTCGTAACGTTAGGCCATTGGGTATAACGCTCACGGGGCTTTCCTCTTGCTTACTCGGTACCGCTGTCAGGAGTACCCCATGTAACAGGCACTCAACCAGCCAAAAGGGAGCCTGTCATCACTGCACCAACCTTAGCAATGGTATTCTACGTCTTTAGGTTCGGCACATAGATACAGCAGTGCGTGAGTTCGGCTCTTGCTCGCTCAACACCACTGTGGGGAGTAGCCCACATCGCCGGTATTCAACCAGTCAAAAGATAGCCTAATCTCTACTGCACCACCCTTGACGTTGGTTTACCAGGTTTGAATTTTCAGCACATGGACACAGAAGTGCTCGACTTTAGCTCTTGCTTGCTCAACACCACCGTTAGGGGTAGCCCAGCCAGCAGGTACCCGGCCAGTCAAAAGCTAGCTCACTATACACGCATCGGCTATTACATCATCTTCGAGCTTGGAACAGTCCACGGGTGTGCCCCAAGCAGCGGCAAGAAAGAGCAACTTGAATGATGATTCGATGATGATAGATGGGGCGGGCTGACCTTTGCAGCACCAACACCGAAATATTCGAAATAGACAAATGAGATTCCTACATTCCCAACCTACAGATGAACGCTCCAACTCGCGTACCCCATAACAAATGCCGTCCATCCCCTTCAAGTTTGTCCCGACTGGTATAAACCGTCCACCCACACCCTTGCCATATCATCCCAGAAAGCCGCCCGCCCACCAATGCTACTCATAAAGCGCCAGGAAAATGCACACCACAGAACTCGCTCTTTACAAAAATTAGAAATTAGAACACACCGCTGCCTCTGCCTTCGAAACAGCGGCTAAGAATGACCGTGGCCCGGCAATCCATGCACAAGCTTCCCTAGCAAGAGCTTAGATTTCCTCTTTATCCTACTCTACATTAGATGCATTCGACACCACACGGAAAACGGCCATAACTCACGTGTCCTCGCTCTCATCGCCCCCCTCCCTCTCCTCCCTCGTGCCAGTCGTCCCGCCGCTCTTCACACTCATGCTCCTAATCCGCCCCGCCCCGCCCATGCCCATACCCGTGAGATGCCTGCTCAAATTCCCCCGCACGCCCGCCCGCTCCGGCTCCGTCTGATCCACCCGCCCCAGCTCGTCCGCAAAGTTCATGCCCTCGGCCTCGATACCCAGCGCGTTGACACTACGGCTGGATCCAGGCCGCCGCGCGAGGCTGTGCGCGGAGGAATCGTAGCTCTCCGCCTGGCTTGCGGACTGGCTTTTCACGCTGCCCCGACCAGAGGTGAAGCTGCGACGCGGGCCGTTGGTCTCGCCGCTGGCGTCGCTGATGTCATCGAGCATTGAATTGTTCTCAGAAGTGCCAGAGAGGTCGGGGGAGGTATTCAGGAGGGTACTGCTATTCGCGATTTGGCGGAGGCGGCTCTGCTGTTGGCGCGTGGGTTGATGGCGGCTGAACTTGTTCCCGATGATGGCGCCGGTATGAGAGATGAGGGCGCGGATGACATCTTTTTTAAGTTGGAGGGCGAGATCGAGGTTCGACCATGTCTTGTTGCGGTATTCGAGAGTTGGCATGCGGAACACAAGGTCGTGGACATCTTCGAAGTTGCGCTGGCCTTTGCCCTTGTAAGAGAGGCAGAGCACCATGCTGGGGATCTTGACGTAGGCTAGGGTCATGTAGGAAGACGCGCGCTCCATCATTTGTGTGATGTCGTCTGAGCGGGCAGCTTTGTCTTTGCTGCTGGCGGTTTTGCTGCTGGCGGTGGTGGAGCGGTGCAGCGTGAAGCGTTTTGGGGCGTGGTCGGATTCTGAGTTCGTGGCGACGGACATATTTGAGTTGCTGCGAATACTGCCCGGGCGAGAGGCCAAGGACAAGTTGTCCGAAGACATATCGCGGTTAGGGTGCCAGGATCTGCCCAAGTTCATTGCGGAGCCAGAACGCGCGCTTTCTCTGAAAAGACGGAGGTGATGGGGATTAGGGCGAGCGCCGTGGCCAGAAGACTTTGGTCGAGAGAAAGTAGTTTTGGCTGTCCTTGGTTTGGATGGTTCGAGGTTCAAGGTCGGCTGGAGGCGTAGCTCTAGAGACCCCGCACCGCCATCGCCGTTCTTCGTAAGTTCGGAACTGAGGCTCTGTGAGTTTGATGAGCGTTGCGAAGGTGCGCCGCGTCCGATCTCAGTCTCATCTTCTTCTTCTTGTGCGGGTAACATGTGTTTCACCAAGAATGGCGAGGCATCGTTCTTGCTGCCAGGGAAGATGTACTCGAAGAGCTTTTTGCCAATTTCATGCTCGAGCTGCAGCTTTAGAGGGAAGAGATTGACTTCGAAATGATCCATGACAGGTATGCCGGCGATAGCCTCGAGCATGAGCCAATGTACTCTTAACATCTTGGTGTCTCGGCCTTCGGCGAAAGGTCTGTTGTTGTCAATGTATGGCGCAATCATCTCGGGGTAAAGCGCATATGAGAGTAGGTTGAGTCCATGGATTCGTTCGATCTCCATGGAATTGAGGTTGGATCCGTCGTTATTGTCGGTCCGATCGTAGAGAGCATTCTTCAGCTGAAACTCCGCAAGAGACTCTTGGTTCTCCTTGAGAAGGTGCCAGACAATCTCGGAAGCTGATATGTACCACCGCAGAAGGCCATTAGACTGCTTACCTTGACTTCGATCATCCATCTTCCGCTGGGAAGTCGTTATGGCTTTCATCATGAAGAACAACTCGTCCTCACAGACGGCTAGATCCGCTTCCATGGTAATGCGATCTCTCCACCCTTGCCGGTCCAGGTACTTCTCGTTCACCTGGAAATGCATCTTGATCTCCTCGAGCTGGCGAATCCTCTCCTGCAAACTGATGACCATCTCGGGCGCTCCTTTGAGATCGCTGAAGTCCGAGGCAAGCATGATCTTTTCTAATCGTTCACTCCTCGTTTTTTCCAGAGGCTCACTATAGAGAAGAAGATCAAGAACGATGATGTACATGGCGTAATACTGCGTGGAGTTGCAGAGCGCACGCACATGGGGAAAGTCAATCCAGAGATGATCGATGCGCTGTTCAAGCGTGTCCGGGCTTTTCGCTGGGCCAGTATCACCACCCGAGACATCGTCATTGTACTTGAGACGCAGAGTGTTGTACTTGTCGAATCGCATACTTGCGGAAGTCCTCTGGACGACTCTTTGGAAGCCGTATGGATTAGTATTGAATTCGAACATGACTTCGAAGGGAACCCATGGTGGCCAGGACGACCCAGCTGGTGTGCCGTATGTGCTACCGGAATACATGTGGAGGTCCTCGGTGGTGAAGGTCTTCGCATTCGTAACAAAGATCTGCAAGCTATCCATGGCTGCCGAGAATCGACGCTGCACGAGCCCGCTGACATCGTCCGTGACTCGATCCTTGTCCATGATCTGGATGACCTTCAATTGCATTCCTTTGGCGGTAACTAGTACAGCGGCTTTCGTGTTCTTCTCGCTCTGAAGTTGAATTTGGGGCGCGATGAGACGAACGTGGTATGTATTCTGTGCGGTAAATTCAAGTGCAATATCGTCCCCCATATGGCCCCCGCTACCGGCTGGTTTGCTACCCTCTGCTGTGACTGGGTCGTTCGCGGCCACGAATTTCTTCCCATCTTGAAGGAGCTGGTCAACACGATCCTGGATGTTGAGGTCATCGTCCTCCTGGGGAGATAGAGGAAAACTGGAAGTAGTGCCGGGAGTGGTTGGTGCCCCTGCTGGTTGATTGAACTTCTTCTGCTCTTCTACGATGTCGAGAATAAACTTGACGGCTCTTCTAGACATGTAGTACACGAAACCTCTTCGCTGACTGACTTGGTGGATGTATCGCAGAATGATATTTCGAAGAGAGTTGCTCCATTTTAGGTGGGCATTGTGGATGATGAACCTGTTGTTGAAGTCACTGATATAATCTGCTAGTGGAGCGGAGTCAAGCCCTTTGGCGTCTGGATCCATGTCGTAGTAATCTTCTCGGGCCTCATAAAATTCTTCCTCTCCTGGATCATCTCTAGCATCAGCAGAAGCGCGTAGGTCATTCTCCTGGAGTCGTTGTACAAGGCTGTCATACATTGACTGCAACAAAGCTTGCTTCCTTTGGAGGGTAACGTTGTGCTCGCGCAATAGGTTGAGACGTCGTTGTGCTTCTTCTTGTTTCTCGTCAGGCTCCTTGACGATTCTCAACTCTTGATCGTCAAGAGCGCGCTGATTGTGTTCGAATTGCTCGCTGACCTTTTTGAGGCGCAGTTCAATCAGGCCGCACTGCACCCTCCGAGGGTCATTTCTCGCCGACATGACGCAGTGATGACTAGGTTCATGACCGAAGGGACTCGACCGATGTATGTCACCAGAGATGTGGTCTTGGTGGTCTGTTTGACGAAAGTACGTGAACCGTGGAGCAAATGCAAGAGGTAGGATTTTCGTTTCCGGGTTTCGGTCTGCTGGCAGTATCCAGCCGAGCTCTACGAAATCGTCCATATCAACCCAGCCCCAATCATTGTCAGGGATAGTGAATTTGGCAAGATCCGCGCTTGGGTGATCGTCTTGGTATGAGACAAGCATCTCTTCGGTGGCTGTATCCAGATCGGAATTGTTGGTGCCGTTGATGCTGGCCGAAACGGCTCTCACGTCAGCCGAAATGAAATCTAGCTGAGCTTGGTTAATCCTCATGCCAGTGGTCTGGTTCTGGTTCAAATTTTCCTGGTCTTTCGGCGCTTCGACTTGAGTGCGAAATTCTTCACGGCGTTGATGAAGATCAAGCATAAAGCTATCAAGACGCACTTTCAGTCCTGTCGCTGACACAACGCCAGAACCATAGTCCTCGGCATCCTTGTGCTTGTAGATGTGGCTCATGTACAGGGGAGACAGTAAGAGGCTATACTTGATCGTAGCGAGATGCCGACCAAACTTCTTGCTTGACTTTTCGACGCCTGGCCAGAGCTTGCCTTGTCGGATGGGCAGCGACATGACACCGGAAAACATAGACCACCAGCTGAAGAAGTGGGTGAAGAAGCGAGGGGTGAGATGCACGCTATTGTAATTTTTTGATGGCTCAAGATTCGACACGGTCCATTCGCGATCTTGTGGAGCTGATACCGCCACAGACATGTGGATATGTTGACTGCGGAATCCCCGGAAAGCGTCATATACCTGCGCGGGGTGAGTAGATATCACGATTAAAAGAGAACTAACAGGACTGACCTTTCCATTCGATGGCTTCGCATGATCAGGATGCTTCAGCACCACTTCGTAATGTGGTATGAAATCAAATGACCGTCCTCCCTCGTCCACATTTCTCTCGAAAACCAGGCCCGACATCCAGCGGACGTTTCCGCTTAGTTTCATCACAGTTTTCCTGAAAACAGCATTCTGCTTGTAGCTCGAGATGCTCGAAGCGCTTTCAGAACTTTGGCCATCCGGATTAGCTTCCTGCCTTGCATAATGGCCGAGGTCGGGAATAGCCAAGATGTAGGCACCGCTGTTGACGATCATGAAGTTCCTCGGATCTGGGTCTTGGCATATGCTCCAGCGGACATCGTTCTGCCAACACATCACAAAGCCAGCACCTTGGCCAGTGACCGAATAAGGATCTCGAGAGCCTTGAACAACAGTTAGCATATATTCACTCACTGAGCAATTCAACTTACCCTTGAGTATGAGATGAACGTCGCCATCTCCTTTCCAAACAACATTCATACGTGAATGGAACGTTAGCCTAATTTTATCCCAGAAGCCGACTCGCTCTGAGGGATCAATTGCTTGCTTGGTGAACCCTTCAATGACTTGCATCATATCCTGGATTGCTGGCTGATATGACGTGCCCCACGTAATACGGGTGGGATAGCCGGAGTTGATCTCGATATTCATGTCGGAGTATGTTTTGACGGGAGCCACAGTACGCCTGACATTGACCGCAAAGCCACCCGTGTCTTCGCCATTGTCATCCTTTTCTGGAGGGACAACCACAATTCGGAGGGTTCGAGAGGATTCAACGTCCCTGTATTCTTCTGCGATGACGAAGTCCGTTTCCATAAACAAGCTCGGCAACCTTGGAGATTGTCCAGATCGAATCGCGGGAACATGCAGAAATGGCAGCGGGTAATCTCTCAGCGTCACCCTTGCCTCCCCCATGCTGATTTTGACGTGCGTTGGTATCAGGAGTGAGTACTGCATGTCGAATGGCATCCCCTTTCCGATTCGATTAAGGAACTTGGGATATTCTTGTACAGGGAAAGAAGGCTTATCGAGAGTAATTTCCACGTCGCTGATTATGAGTGCCATCAAAGCGGGACGTTGAGGTATAGCCATGATAGTCTCCTTTTGCTCAATATCATCCGGCAGTTCGTCGAGACCCCAGAATATCGAACGAATGTCTTGCATGGCCCTGTTTTGGCTGCTCATACCATGGTCGACCCTCTTCTTCCATGTCTGGGCGTTCAATCGATCCAGCCTCTCTCGCGCATGCTGGGCCGTAGTTTTCGATTTGCCAGAGAGTCCAGCAAGAGCTTCGTTGTTGTAGCGCATGAATCGATCTTTTCCTTTGGATTCCTCCGGTGATTCACGGTCGCTACGACCTTCGCTTTGATGGCGAACGGTGGACTCTTTTTCTTTTCGAAGCTTACTCCTCCCACGGGCTTGATGGGCCGACTTTGCTCGACGCCGAGAATTTTCTGATCTTTCATCCTCAGCTTGGAGTTTCTTGAGCTTCAGGCAGAAGGCTTCTTCTCTGGCAAGTCTTTGCTTCTGCTCTAGCAGCCCAAGCCGGTAGATGACTCCTAATTTCCAGTCAAATGAGCCGTCCTCGATTTCAAAAAGAAGGGCTTGACTTCGAAGTGAGACTTTTGGCACATGCTTAGGGCCTTGTGGAGGCTTGTCAAGCATGTAGTCGCTGCTACCCGTCTGGAATCGATGGTGAAGCTGTTCCGTTGTCTTTACAATATTCGTGATATTGTCAAATACCTCGTGAAGCACTAACTGATGTGGGACTGCAAGTCGGATTGCATCGGTAACGATATCAAACGACTTGTCTTCTGATACAGTGGTGCCGTATTTGCGTTTCTGTTGTCGGTAATCTAGTCGTAGGGTCTTGATGCTGACGAAGCGGCTCCACACCTTCTTGATGTTCGGAGTTTCGGTATAGAGCCGCACAAGACGTGAACTCAGAAACGGGTTCGCCCACCGGTGTCTACCTGCCTCGAGGCTATGTATTTGAAGCATGAGTGGTGGATCAGATGGCATGTCGGCCTTCACTTGGACAAACGTGGCCTTGAAATCCAAGGCGACAATCTCGGGCCTTTTTCCAGTGGCTGGATCAACGGCGTCGCCATCTACCGACGGCACAGCAAGATGTCTAACGGCCCCCGGGGTAGTTGGCAAACCATTCGAGTGCGCTGGTTGGCGGAAGAAAGTTCTCCGAAGGACAAGACCTGCCACTCCCACGGAGAAATGACGATAGAGTGAGTAGTGAAGGTAGAGGCTTTTGGCGAAGGAGTTGACGTGGAATACGGGGCCTTGTTTGTCGGTCGATGTCGTGAATGCAACCTCCATCCGAGGCAACGAAAGAAATGGTTCCACTTCCCAAGTATCTGCCCCCTCCATGACAAACCCTTCTAAGCCATGCCAATGCAGAGCAAGACGTCTACCGTCGGTGCTGTCGCCAACCTTTCTGCGCGGGGACGAAGGTGCCGACGGTCTGAGTAGGTAGTCGTCGCGATTGATGGTTCGGCTCGGAGCTCGTCGTCTCTGGGGTCGAGCATCGGTATCGTCTGCCTTGTTTTGTTTGTACTCTGCAGTCCATGATTCGAGGTGCAGGGCGAATCCTCGTGCATGCTTGGAGACTTCTGGGTCTACCCCGGCGACTTCGAAGTTGAAGTCTGAGCCTTGGAAGCTTGCGTGGAGCAGCCAGGCAGGCCACCTGCGTAGGAAGTTTGCTTGTTTGTGCCGGATTGGGGCCCTTCGTTTCCGAACCATATCGCTTTGGAGTTGCGCGACGATTTGATGAAGCCCTTCGCTGATCTCTGGCCTTACCATATAGAGCGAAAAGGTCTGTAGATTGCCGTTTATCACCACCACGACCTCGGGAGATGCGCTGAGCTGGAGTTTTAACTCAAGACCGTCAATCAAGAGCAGATTGTGCTTCTCGCTGCAAGCGGTCTGGTAGTATAGCTGGTTTGAGTTGACCCGGAAGGTGGACAGGAGCGAGTAATGGAGGTCTCCATCTGCTGAATGGGATGACTCAACGTCGAGAGATGCCGAAGACATGGCGAAGATTAAGAGATCAAATTCGTCGGTGCCTTTCTTCTCAGGTTCCATTGGTGGGAGCGTGACACGAATCACAGGTTCATGAATGGATATCTTGATGTTAGCTTTCGGGAGGAGACGAGAAAGAAGGTGACGTTTGTGGTGCCGCGCAGGAGGCCTCGGTCGATGTTTCGAGCCGTGCAAGAATGCGGTAAGGAGGGGAAGATGTTTCGGATCAAAGTCGAAAGAAGGCGAAGTGACGACAAGGTTGGCAAAAAGAATGTTAGTGTTCCTCTCGGCGACATTCTTTTCGTTTGAGAATTGAAGCGTCTTAGAAGGCAGGGTGGTGTTGACGGTAGTAGTTGCCATGGGCACGTACAGCAGACGTTCGGGATGCTTTCCATCATCGATGCCAACCGAGATAGAAATAGCAGCAATGAGCGCCTGGTGAGCGATGTCGTTGCGGGAAAAATACATTAGATGGGCTGGGCTTCGGGGGTCGAGGCGCAACAAGTCCATGCCGACTTCCTTCATAGAAATATTCATCCACATTGGAGAATCGTCGTCACATTGGAGCGGCTGAATTTCCTTGGTTAAGCCGAAGAAGCTGACGGCAAATTGGATTTCCTGGATGCCACGGAGAATTGAAGCCGCGAATTCCTTGGAATCAGAAACAGTGCGCACGATATTTTCTTCCCGACTTCCAGGCTGGTCCAGCTCTTCCATGACATCAACAAAGGAAATGTCCGGTTCAACAGAGTGTGCATGTCCGTGATTGATGCGGCAGACCTTTGCTCGATCCATGCTGTTTTTGATGTCATCGTATGGGAGACTGAGGCGGCCTAGCTTCAGGGCGATTGAGGCATCTCGGAGGCCATCGAGCTCTTGATACAACAGGCCGTGGACGTTCAGGGTGCAGTGATCCAGGACCTCGGTCGAGTCTTTGCCTTCCGGTGTAAAGAGAATGCTCCGAACAGTAAAAATCCATTCGGCAGGGCTTTGGCCCTTGGTGCCAGACTTCTGGTGTTGGAATAGTCGAGTCCGATCCACCGTCTTGCGTCGTGTGTCCACTGCCATTGTGAAGTTCCCCACTTGTATAGACCCCACGTCGACGATAACGAGGGTAGACGTCGACGCGACCAAATCGACCAGCCGTATCCATTTGATCTTCCGGTGCAGGCGCTTTATCTTCTCCTTGGCCTTGGTCAAAGTCTCCCAGGTCCTACTCCTCTGACTGTCCAATTCCCCGGGGTCGTCCTGAGTGTCTTCCTCTGTGGACGGCTCGGACGAGGACGAGGTGTTCCCGCCGTCCTTCTCCGCAGAGCCATTGGACCAATGCGTCCACCCGTTGTGCCGCTTTCTCGGCTTGTCCCCCAATGGTCTCAAGTCCACGGTGACTTTCAGCTCGGTCAGAACCACGCTGAGCCATGTTGGTTGTGCGAAGGTCGGGCGGTGGAGGGTAAGCTTGATGCCGCGAAGCTCGATTCGGAGGCCGTCCTTGGGAGTGAAGGCAATGCGTCGCAGGCCGGCGTAGCCCAATCGCTGGATGGAGACGCCGGTGACGACGCGGATAAAGGCGAAGAGCACGAAGGAGGACAGGTAGGCCAGCAGGAGCAGCCCCGCGACGAAGGACAGAGACGGCAGGCCCATGTTCGGTCAGTCGCCATGGGCTGCAATGGCTGAGGGGCTCGAGACTGCGCGGGACATGGGTGGTGTGCTCAGAGGAGGAGACTCGGATCGTCAGGGCGATTCAGGCGATTTGGCGCACATTGCGGTCGATTAGGGAGCCATGGAGTGGCGAGTGCTGGAAGAGCGCGGGAGGGCGTCAGGCCCTTGTTGGGGATAGGTATGGATGGCGGAATTCCAGCGTCGCCTGTCGCCCAGTGACGGAGATAGCGGCACGGCGGCAGCGCCGGAGGGGGCAGATGCAGGACGCGCCCTGAGATGCCAGAGCAGACAAGGAAGGGGAAGATAGCTGGGCAATGGCGGGCACACGAGCAGCCTGCGAATAAATACGTATAGAGTCGTGTGGAGGACGGCCGTTGGCGATGCACGTCAGATTCCACCCAAGCGTTCGCAGCGTGCCAGCCCAGCCAGGTGTGCCAGTCCAGCCAGCCCAGCCAGCTCCCGCTCGCCTGCCCCTGCACCCGCGAGGTACCAAGTCCTCAACACCAAGCAGTCTATACAGAGGTACAGACCCGTGTCCATCAACTCACCATGCCACTCCTCGAAGCATGGCGTTTCCATCCCAAGCTTGCTTCTCCGTAAGCGCCCACGCTACCAGGCGCTGCTGCAGATGCCAAGCGCCCCGCTCCGCCTGCTTCCGTCTCCGATCGAGGCATCCCCGACCCGCCAAGTCCATCGTCACAACGTCCCTCATTCGCGTCAGGACCTCGTTTGGCCTGTTGCAGTGGAAAGGGCAACGACATTTGACACAACCACTTCACCACCGCCACTTCACCACCTTATCTACCCAAATCTCTAGTCACGTGATCTTCACGATCAAGAGTACCCACAGTGCTTCCGCCGTCTCTATAGACAGCTACTCGGCCCCTCACCGGTTCTTCGAAATTCGTAGAGGGCGCGATCCACAGCTCGGTAGCCGCATCATCAATGGCATGGAATCAGAGCTTGAAGGCTCCAGCCCGCCAACTGAGGCTCACAGCCTCATGCAAAACATGTCGTAAACCTGCTCTGCTGATCCATCGATTTACATCTCCCGTATCTGGCCGCCGAAACGCTGCTACCATTGCATGTACATCCAAGATCCGGCGCTCCAACGACATCAGACCGTTTGAGTACTCCCCGTTAGAGCCAGGGCATATCAGAGTCCTTACGCTCCTCCCACGACGCGCCGGGGAGAGATTTGCTATTGTGCGATGTACGATGCGGCATGTGTCTTTAGATACAATTCCTTCCGAAGCGCAGCTTGGAATTGCATTGTCATACGTCTGGGGGCCGACCACCCAAGAAATGCGGGACATCATCCTCAACGAGCGCACCTTCACCGTCAGCGCCAGCCTATGCGAAGCCATGGCATGTCAACGAGGCAGGATCGGTGATAGACCGCGCACGATATGGATCGATGCCATCTGTATCAACCAATCCGACACGGCCGAGCGAGCTTCTCAAGTTTCAATGATGCAACACATATACTCGCGAGCTGATGCTACCGTCGTCTGGCTTGGGCCACCGGAAAATGACAGCGAAAGCGCCTTGAATGCGATATTGAGGGACGATTCAGTGGCTCTCGAACAACTTGAAATCCAAATAGCCCTCCTGCACATGATTTTCCGAAAATGGTTTCAGAGAACATGGATCATCCAAGAAGTGGCACTTGCGAAAACTGTCCACGTCGCCTCAGGCCTTACCTGGGTATCTTGGGATAAATTCTTTGCCGCGACGCAGTCCGCGAGACATACCGACATATCTTCTAACAAAACCTTCCATCCCGAACCAGCACAGACGTTGCTGAAAGCGCATCTAGCAGCCTTGAAGCTGAAGACCGTTTCCAGGCTACAACTTCCCTTCATTCAGAGCATGCGCAGCGACATCTGGTCCGATGGGCTATGCAACCCCTCGAACTCTCTCAGCTTTCTGGTATACTCAACAAACCGGACCGAGGTGACAGATCCACGAGATGCCATTTTTGGTTTACTCGGACTGGCATCGAAGAGGACTCGCGAAGCTATCACTGTCGACTACAGTCTACCAATCGAGGAGGTTTACCGAGACGCAATGGCATACATGTTAACCCAAGAGAAGATATGGGAAGTGTTATCGTTTGTCCCTCTTCGGGGCAAAGGGACCAGTCAGATTCCCTCGTGGGTTCCTGATTTCTCCGACAAAACAGGCCATGTTCTTCCGATGCGTCCTTGCCGTTCATTTCAAACGACGCGTTCTCAGCAAGACTCGGCCTTTGCTGGACTTTCAGTGGATAAGTCATGCTTGACCCTCAAGGGCCAATCGCTAGGGCCAATCCACACCATTGTTCCATACATTCCCAGCATCCGCGGTGATGTCCGATCGCGCGCTCTCGAGAACTTAAAGGTAGAAGAAATAACAACGGCGAATCTCGAAACCCTCCACTCATTGATTTTGGAGAATAATTCTTTACCTGATAAACAGTTGCTGGCCTTCATTCGGGAAGTCGAGCAAAAGCTAAGGGAAACACTGCCTATCATGGACGGCAAGCCAGAAGTTGAGCCTTTGTGGAACGTTCTGTTGATGGATCAGCAAATCGGAGATGTCGCCAGCTATCCTGAACAGTTTGAGGTACTCATGGGCCGCTCTCCTGTTCCCTCTGGCTTCTATCCTCTCCTGATTGATGCAGAGGAGAGGATTCTGGGATATTGTATGTCACTCCTGTACCATATTGATAAGGTCATGAGCGGCGGACGGTGCTTCTTCGTTGCGGAAAATGGGATTTACGGCATCTGCGAAGCCGGAGCTCAGATTGGCGATGTCGTCACGTTGATCTTGCCCGAGGTTGATCTTCCAATGGTATTAAGGCAAGACGGACCGCGCCTTGAGTTCATCGGGCCAGGATACATCCCAGGCCATCTCCGGGGCGTTTATCAAGCGGACAGATCGCAAGAACGAGAATTTGTTATCAGTTAACCCATTTTTGCGCATGCCGCCATACGAGGTGGCCTAGTGTGTTTACCATTTACATGGTAATACTCGGAGTTGCGAAACTATATCGAGCCGCCTCAGACAGCGGCCCTCATTTACGCAGTTTCTTTGTTCTTTCGTAGTGACTCGATGATTCTAAGGTTCTCGCCCGATCCAGGAATGCGGTTGATCACCCAAATCAGATCACGTCATTGTCGCCACCAGCTTCACTACCTTCGTCCCACGGAGCTCTCGCAACACATTCTTCTGTATTCTCAATTTCGAAATTCATCACTGCTTGAACGGACTCCATCCATTTTCAACCATCTCTACCACCCTCTTCGTAGCCTCATCAAGATCTTCCTTGGGCAGTCCCAACACCTGATTACTAGTCCCCCACTTGGACTCAAAATCGCCATCTCCGTTGGGGTACAAGACACGTGCATAGGATGCCATGGCAAATCCCAACCTGTTCCCATTTTTCCAATCTTCAAGACCTCTCTTCAGCCTCTGATCTGTGGGCTCAAAGTCAATCGTCCAGTCCTTGTCGGTAGTTCCAAGTACGCGATGAAGACTATCGAGCATGTCGCGTTGGCTGACCTTGAAACTGTTGATATATAAGGGCTTGTTCTTCCAGTCGGCCACGCAAGGTGATGCGCCGCTCTCAGGCAAACTCAAAAGACGTGCGATTGCGCGTCCGCATTGATCCCATGTGCTGACATCAATTTTGGTGTTGCCGTCGTCGTAGAAAGTCACGCTTCTACCAGCGATATCGAAGCCGAAGGTAGCTTTGTCAAGAGCCAGACTCCATTCGTACCAGAATCCGCAGACCAATGCAACCCAGGACGTGTCGACGCCGTCAAAATCGGCAAGGCGTTCTTTGTACGCCCTCCCGTTCATGCTCTCCTCCATTATGGCTGGGTTCTGGATATCGCTGCCATACATATTGGGCATAACGTATGGGATGCGTGCTTCTCCCGCCGCCTTGACGATGTTGCCGTGGAGACCGCCTGGCGCCGTTACTGAGAGCGTGATGATCAAGAACTGGTGTCCTTTGAGAGCGGAAATGAGTGCCTGGCGATCATCGTAGTCTACTTCGGCCACCTTGATGCCTTTGGGCAGAGCACTCTTGCTCCCTTTGCGAGTGATGGCAGTAATGATATGCTTGCCGGACCGGAGCAGCTCTTTTGCAAATGCACCTCCAACCCGACCGCCGGCCTGGAGTTTTCGAGTCAGCGCTGTTCCGCGGACGCATGAAGGGGATTTTTAACTCACGCCAACGATTGCTACTTTCTCGATATGAGCCATGTTCTCTCGACGATGGATGAATACAAATCTTGCGTGGCAAAGAGATGAGAGCCTCGCCAAGTCGTCTATCCTTATACCCAAAACTTCGATACAGGTCGGAGATACTCGACTATCGCCGTCAAGGAAGGGTCCTATTCTGGCAGACTGGCAGTCGGAGATAGCCCATTATCCCCGGTCAAGGACAGGTGACCCAGGGTGCTCACCGGTTGTTTACATGGTACACTGAGACTTGCGAAAGTATATCGAGACGCCTCAGATAGCGACAGGTAGGCTTACACAAGATGCACGACGTGGGATTGCGTGAAGCTTTAGAGCTACGGGCTAGTTTCGTCACGGGACATGCAACCAGAATACTACTGACATGACACTATCAGAATGCAAGAATCCAAGGTTCCTCTCCAGCCCGATCCATGGACGCGATTTCTGCACGACCCCTGCGAGCCAAGGCCAAAAACGTGCTCATCCGTATGCGAATCACCCCAGGCCTCACCACCCACGGACTCAGCCTGGTCTCGGCGGCAAACCCAAGCAGTGCAGCGGGGACCGAGCATCATTTCTTGCGGAGCGACCTATCAACCAGCACCTCTGGCCGTCGGAGCTTCAAATACCCGATGCGCCGATGTGGCACTGCCTCCTTCATCCCTCGCTATTGGAGCTATCCACGCATCTATGATTCCATTTTAGCACGTCGTATACTTTGAAACACCCACTCTATACTTGTGTAAACTTGCCAAGCGCCGCGAGAGGCCCTCTAATACGTCATCAGGAATTGTACAACGTCGAGTTCGACAAGTCTGGTAGCTCTCCGGGCCACCTCAGACGATATTAGACTACCTCGTTCTGTCTAACCGAGCCTGCCCCTTCCTCGTCGCTATTGTAGCTAGCAATACCAATACAGCGGCTTCGTCTCTTATTCTCCCATCACTATCGTGTATTATCGCCGAGGGCAGTCGCAAGTTGGGTGAGGTGACCGGGGTACTAGAATATGCTCAAATCCGCGCGATGGGCCGACTACCATGAATCACAAAAGCTTATATTGAGCACAGTACCAAGGTAACCCGCCACGGCAGCTCACAGCACCACTAATAAATTTGCATGTCGCCTCGTTCTTTCCTTCTACCTCGCACGTTCAGCCTCCGTTTCGAAACACCTTCACCAAAATCAAACACTCAACCAACCGCCATCATGGACATGGGAGCTTCCTCTATGGCTATGAACATGGCCTCCGCAACCAACACCGCAACCGCGGCCACCAGCACCGCAAAAATGAGCATGAGCATGGGCGGCAACTGCAAGATCTCGGTAAGGACCCACCCCCATCCTCAATATCCTGCCAACGCCAGCTAACAGCCTACAGATGCTCTGGAACTGGTACACGATCGACTCCTGCTTCCTCTCCAGCTCGTGGCACGTCACCACCCACGGCATGTTCGCCGGCTCCTGCATCGGCGTCATCCTCCTCGTCATGGCGCTCGAGTTCTTCCGCCGCTTCGCCAAGGAGTACGAGCGCTACATCCTGCGCGCGCACCTCGCCGCCCATCCACCCGCTACCTCCAGCTCCGTCTCCTCGAGCGGTCCCAACGCCAGTACCGCCAAGGCCCCCGGGATGCGCTCGGCGCTGCTCAACACCGCTGCCCCGCCTAGCTTCCGCCCGAGTCTCATCCAGCAGGTTATCCGCGCTGGACTGCACATGGTGCAGTTCGCCATTGCTTACTTCGTGATGCTGCTGGCGATGTATTTCAATGGGTATATCATCATTTGCATCTTTATTGGGGCGTTCCTTGGCTATTTTGTCTTCAGCTGGGAGACGATTGAGTTGGGTGGAGATGGGGTGAAAGAGGAGGTTACTGTGTGCTGTGGTTGACACTGTCTGACGTGGCTCAGCGAGTCAACTAGTTAAATCAAACGATCAATTTGACAGCTCTATAACCATGTTGAGGAGCTTCATGCGGTGGCGGGAGGGTGTATGTACGTACATACAATAGATATTCCGATAAGAGCATAATCTTTTGCATCGGTTACATCTGAGTGCAGAGTTTTTTACCGCTCTCTAGGGTGGCGACGAGAGGTTGCCAGCTGCTCTAAAGGTTGATTTGTCCAACTCTGTATACTTGTCGAGGAGCTTCAAGCAGTGGCAGAAGAGTGTACACTGCCCCAAAAAAGCCTTCAATATCGTTCGCGCGATCTTCTACTTCGATACGAGCTACGCGACCTCAGGGCTTGCCGGTCCTAACTGACGTTCGTAAAAAGGTGAAGCACGCTTCCAGTCTGTGTAGAGTCCTCTGCCGCTGCCTGGGGTGGCTTCGCAAGGTTACCAGCTGCCCAAACTGCTAAAGTTTCATTTGACTTGGAGTTCCGAGAATGCTATGAGGCACCACATGCAGTGACATATCCCTAGCGCGTAACTCATACTACCTAGCATGCTCAACATCATCCCACCACTTCGGCGCCGACAGCAGCAACATCCACCCATAATCCTATATCGAATCCCTAATCCTGTGTCGTACCACAGCCCACACCTCTCCCTTCCCTAACCTGATTCATTAGAATAATCACAGGATCACACAATGAACGCCGTGACGGGCATTCCGCTTTTCCAAGCCCTCGCTGTTTTCAAAGTCGTTAGCTTGTTTACTCAAATCGTACTCTTAGCTAGTGGCCGGGCGGGCGGGAGTGACTTAACCCATTCGTTTGTGGTGAGGCAGTTGCGGTGGTGGTAGTCGAGGACGACTGGGCGCGGGGCACGGTGACGGTGACGAATCCGGGGTTGTTGGCGGTGGCAGTGCCGAATCCGTCGGCGGTGGCAGCGACGATGTGGGCGTCGACGTTGGCGATGTAGGAGGTGGAGGTGGAGGCGGTGGGGTTTGCGCGATCGACGAGGACGCCTGGGGTTGGACCGACAGCAGTCAGAGGCCTTGCATAGAGGCCTGTGGTGGGCATGTCGGAAGTTGTGGAGACCATAGATCCCATTTTCTGGGCTATTTTTTCTGTCTTTGAGGAGAGAGGTTGGAGGGAGGGATTGTGGACGAGGAAGGCGGAGGGTCGGAGGTGCACGATTTATAGGGAATGGTATAGAAGCACGTCAGGAGCCGTGGTTGAGTTTGTAGCCACCAGAATCTAGAAAATAAGGTGGAGTGCGGGTGGCACGGAGGTTTAATTATGGTTCACTTCTTGCCTTACCATGGGATTAGCTCTACTAGAGTGTTATGCAAGATATAATAAGATAGGATTAAGGCGTTCTAGCCTTCATATCCTTTATAAATAGTTCTGATCTGATAGCGATTTGTGGTAAGAGGAACGACATCGATAGTCCAGAAGGTGCAAACGTCGGGACTGCGATTCGCATGATCGGAAAGAACTCCAGCTGTGGGGCGAGCCTTTGAGGATGGGGAGTAGAAACGCGTAGCCTTAAGTCCTCGAAGATTTTGGAAAGCTTAAAGAACTCGAAGTTGCAATTGCACGACGAAACGAATCTATCGGAAACAGCCGCACCAGTTTGCTGAAAGAATTCACGTAACAAAGACCGTTCGGATTAGGCGCTCATGCATGTTTCTTGGGCAAGATATCTCATTTGGTTTGGCCCGTGTATAGTTCATTGTCCTGGATTGTAGACGTTTCTAGTCACTGCTAGGCTGCTGATTGTGCTTTGAAACCACTCTAAACGCCGGCAAAATCGCATTAAACTTACGATGAGCCATTTCGAAGTATTTTCCGTACAGCCAAATCCATCTCATCGTCAACCCTTTTCCATGGATTCTCAGGGTGTCCTTCGTCCGAAATCATTCGGGAAACACCCTTTTCCAGCTCTCCGCACAACTAACACCCTAGACAATTCGAAAAGAAACTTCAAAGGCTACGTCCACCCGAAAGGTATCTTCCACAACCTCTGCTATATCACCTAACCCCCACTTCCTTTGGTAATGGAGGGGACAAAATACCATTTTCGGACGTTCAAAGAACAATGATGTGGTATCGGTTACGAAACAAAGAGATTTTGAGCCCAAGTTTCAGTCGTGTCCTTCAAGCGGAGGGTGCCCCATTAATCAAAATGATTCGCTTGTATGTTGCTAAAAACAAGTCTACGAAGACTGCGGTGTCCGGGGATATAGGTAGCAGGTAAAATCAGCGAGAACCCTGAGGATGTGAGAGCGTATCGAAGGATCTAAGGGGCCCCTTCATGTGCAGGTGTTGAGGACACGTGGTAAGTCGTCTTGGTGCAGAGCTCGGCTCGGATCTGGACCGCAGGGAATAGGTGTTAACCACGGATGCGATGCTCTGGGACTAGCAATAACATACCCGGTAGTGTGGTTGGCTGGCAATGCATCCACCATGTCGAATGCTCCTGCAGCATGCGGTTTCAAATTCTTGAATTGCATTTTTCATATGCTCATGAAGATGTCTAGGATCAAGACCCTTTGACAATATCTGATCCTGCACTCAGACGCCTTCACTGCGTTACTTCGTAGAGTCCCGCAAGAATCATGCCTGACATCGCTGATGAACACATCGTGGCAAGAAAAGGTTCAAACGGGCCCAAATCGTTCCTCATCCACCAGTGTCCGCTCTGCCCAGCTAACCTCAACCCACTCCACATCCACAATCCTAGGTAACTGGGACCTCTGCGCGATCACCTCCCTAATCTGCTTCAGCCGACTCGTATCTTTCCCCATGACGACATGCGTGATTCCCCTGTCACCCAAATCTTCCGCAATTTTTCCAGCCCCAGCGCGGATGGTGTAGCGCGCCAGGTCGAGGGCTATATCTCTCGGGGATTGTACAGCTCCGCCATTCTGATGCGATGCTTTGACGAAATAGACGGTCAATCCCCGAAACAAGAAGCCAGGAAGCGCAGTAATGTTCAGATCATGATCCTCGCTTTGGCCAAGGAATCGTTCTGGATCGAAAGCAGTATCCTCAAACTTCCTCGGCATGTTGTTGAAGAGCTGTTTGAGCTCGTCGACTGTGATGTCCCTCGCATAGCTATCGCCATACTCGTCCATATTCTCTTCGACTTGAAACTGCTCGTCTGGCTTCAGGAAAAGCATATGACGGTTAGGCTCGAAGGGCAGCAGCAAGCTTGCTCGGCCGGCGTCAATCTCAGCTTGCTTGATGCAATCAAAAAGCCAGATGGGGCGGATGAGGTTGTACTTGCCATGCTTCTCCAGTACGATGACTTTAACGAGATTTCGATCGGCGATGATGATGACGTCCTTTGCAGCCGTTTCTTTTTGTACGATTTTCCCGCCGTTGTTCTTCACCATCTGCTCGAGTTCAGCCTTCGTTGTCTTCCGTGGTTTTAGTGCTTCGGTCATGATATCTAATGGTATCAGCGTCAAGCACCTTGCGAAGCACGAGAACTTACAGAAGCTCAATCCCTCAAAAATCTTCGTTTCCGGTCCTCCGTACGGCATCTTGACAGTCTCGCCCCCGGCAATGATGAGCACCTTCTTCGTTGTTTTGGCCTTCTTCCTGCGCTGGTCGACTTCAAACTCCTTCTCCTTTTTGTGGTGCTCTTGCTGCACATTCTTTTGTAGGGTGCTGAACTCTTTGATAGAAAGTGCAGATTGCCAATTCTTGTCTGGCCTCAGTTGCTTAAACCGCGGGAATCGCAACGTCGAACCCAGTCGGAATTGGGGACTAACCCCAATGGATGCAGCCTTGACTGCAATGACCACTGAGTCGCTCGGTTTGATCCAGACGTCGGGGCGCTCGTATTGCTTGTTTTCGGCGTGGCCTCCAAGCTCGATGAAGTCGGTCGGAGGATTCTTCGCATCCCAATCAATCCATTTGCCATCGGTGAGATGTTTGATCTTATTATAGTCTTCTTTTGTGAAGCCACCGCCAACCTTGAAGAAGGAATAGCATTTCATAGGATTTTCGCCTTTCGCAATATGCTCTGGATCCACCCGAAGACCGCACAGGAAACTAGACAGCCCGCCACCTCGATGACCAGACCCGTAGTAGCCACCTATGACAATGCAATCAAGGGCTTCACCAAATTCGGTCATGTACTCGGGCTTGACCTTGATCCAGTCGTCATTTCGATCGTTCAGGCGATAGGCGGAGCGTGGATTCTTAAGAACCAGTCCCTCGGAAGCGTCCTCCACCACTTTTCGCAAAGCCGGATCGATCTCTTCCGGCGAGTGTGCTTCAATGTATGGGTGGATCTCAATTCGGCGATGGACGGGAGTAAGACTAGCTTCGAGAGCCTTCCGACGGTCACGGAGAGTATATTGTGTAATGGGCCGATCATTTAGGTAGAGGCAATCAAATACCCGGTATAGAGGCCGCTGGCCGGTATTGCTAAAGAAGCGATTCTTTTGCTCGGACAAAGCGGCTGTCTTGAGAGTCCCGAAGCCAACGATCTTGTCCAATTCCATGTCCCAAGTAATCATTTCTCCGTCTAGGATGATGTTTCGGACATTGTCGCCAAAGGCGTCCTTGATGAATCGAGTGAGCGCACACTCTTCGTCGGGGTCAAAGCTGCTCCCGTAGAGATAGGTGTAGTCTTTGGCTTTTCGGGACCAGAACTTGAAGCGCTTCCCACCAAGCACGCTGTCGTCTTCCACCATGTGCAATTGCATGCGCTCGCCATCTAGCTTCTCCTCAATCCAGAAGGAGTCATCGTCTTCGGTCCCTTTCATTTTCTTGACCATTTGATCGAAAGTCTTCATCTGGAAGGCGGCCAGCTGCGGCTGGAAACATTGCATCAAAGCGACTCCAGTATCCTCGCCCTGAAGACGGGTATCGGGATCCCACAATTCCCAGCATACTCGCCTGAGGTTGGATGATACGTTGTATAAGGCATCAGCATCCGGGTGCCAAATATCAAAGATGGTCTTTTCGGTAGCACCAATTTTCATTTGTCGCAGGATGATACGTATGAGCCACATCAGTTCTTCCGGATTCATCCGCTGATAGAATCGCTTGAAGATGGGAAGTTGGTCCTCTTCCTTGGACGCGAGAGACAGTCGGTCTAAGTCCGCATTGACCTCGGCGATGCTCATGTTTCCAATGGTCGTGCGCAAGGGGCGCTTGCAGATGACTTCGAAACACCGACCAGCGAAGTCACCGGCTGAGGTATTGGACCACTTGTGACCAGGGAGCTTCCAATTCAGCATTTTGTCCGCATCTTCAGACTTTGCATCGATCTTCATGGTCCGGACAAGAAGCTTGGCAATGGCTTTCTCTTTCAGACCGTACATAGCGCGATCACGATCTTTCTCCGGGACAATGAGACGGAGAGCTAGGTAGACATCGTTGCCGACTTCCTTTCTCCACGTATTGATGAATCGCTCAATTATGTTTCGCCGAGCTTCATGCGGCGTCATCTTAGTCTGGCCATGCGGGCCTGTCTTCCTACGGGATGCAGCCGGAGCTGCACCAGGCTTGGTGCGGGCTTCATTGAGTGGATTGAAGAGAGTAGTGAAGAGCTGATGAAAGGGAAGTGTCTTGCGTGTATTGATGGGTCGATTGGGGTACTTCGAGTCCAGCTCTTCGGCGGTGACCTGGCCGGGGCCGTACTGCAGCCTCTGCTCCTCAATGGCGTCTGCATCTGGCATCTCGCTGTCCGCCATGATGAGAGCGGTAGTGGTGGTATTGTGGCGTGGAGGAATTGTGATGTGAATGATGGGTGCTAGGAGACGCGAAGGCAGCAGCGAGGAACACGCTTTTGCGCGGTCATGTGACGCAAATACCGAGACTGAGCCGGGGGGCTCTTGCTAAACGCGCTAGGCAAAAAAGAAGTGGCACACCCAACCCGTTCAACACCGTTTGAGGTGGCCCGGAGAGCCATCAGGCTTTCTAGAAGGACGAGCTTAATTACCACCCCCCATTTCTCTCCGCATCACCCCCCTTTTCTCTTCCTACCACCCCCCCTACATTTAGCCTAGCTCCGGCCGGTAATAACTTTGTTCCACTAATTAGATTCACTTGTTTATGCAAATTGGAAAGGATGTATACACGAATTGGAAAGGCTACATGAATTAGAAAGGATATATACACATGCAGCAATAGTCTATTCACTCTCTTTACTATAGCTAGAAGCGGAAAGCTCCTAGATGACTACTTTTAATTGCTGATTAAAAGGAACGCTGTATACACTATTATACCAAGGTCTTACACCCGAAGATCCTCCCGCTGCACCAGCTCCTTCACTATAAACAGCCTTCTCCTTAGGAGTAGATAGAGGGCCATCCTTAAGGGCTAGTTGACTGTCGGAGACTAAGGAAATAGAGCCCTGGGTCGCTGTTAGGGTGCCTGCTTGTCCGGTAGAAAAAGAGGTCCGGTGCTATATTGGTGAATTAAGACCGTTATTTAACACTACTATCGCCTAAGCGATAACCTAATTGGTGGAACAAAGTTGTTACGAGCCGAAGCTAGCTAAATGTAGGGGGGGTAGTAGGAAGAGAAAAGGGGGGTGGTGCGGAGAGAAAGGGGGGTGGTAATTAAGCTCGTCCTTCTAGGACCGCTATTTCATGCATGACAATAGCATACTGGAGGGCCTCGAGCGGTGCTAAACAAGCGTACACAAGGATAAAAATAGTGTATATATGTCACAATTTGTGACCTGCCACTTTCTATTAACACTTATCAACCACGCTGTTATATAGGTGCACCTGTCGACCACTGCTTAAAGCGCGTTAACGAGTGTCTACATAGCCGCCTAGACTGAAGAGCTTTTATCCTTTATATATTTCCAAAAATACATTAAAGCACCCCAAGCAGCGGTAGACGCGCATGCACACCCATGTAGAATAGAGTGCCACCTGCTCTATGCCCGCGTGCCAGAATAGCAGGGGTGCCGGACGCGGCCTAACTTCACGGTGGAGCTGTCATCCGCGAATGCCCCGACTCAACGTCGATTCAACGTCAACAACAATACCCATTCACTGCCACCGCTCGTTTTCTCCGCCTTCTTTCTTCATATCCTGTCTTGGTCTGCTCCAATACTCTGCAGCGGCACATTTCACATGAGTGCTTCCGACCCTTCCTGCCGCCCTGCCTCGACTCCTGGCGCAGCCTCATGCATCCATGAGCTACAACCGGCCACCCCCCCAACCCACTCCCAACCCCGGCGGCACCCAGTATAATGTCCGCGACGCAGCTCTCCTCGGCGCGTCCTCCGCCTTCTCCAAGCCTCCCGTTAAGCCAAAGCCGATAGGCCAAACCTATACTGGGGGTGGGAATGGGGCATTGACGGCTGCAACAAGAGCAGGAGCATCACATCAGTCGTCGCCCGTACAGAAGCAATGGACGGGAGGCAGCTATCAGTCGCAGCCGTCTCCTTTACCGTGGTCTGTCAAGTCGAATGGCTCTAGCATTCTGGAGCTCCCTCCTGACCCTCATTCGAATCGAGCCTCGTCACCCTCGAACATCGCTGCAAAACTCGCCGCGGCACGGAGCACCCCCTTGAAATCCAAACCCGAACCTGCCCACTCCTATTTCACACCGCTGAAAGCTAGCGATACGGAACACGAGGATATACTGCCTCCCGCCGGGATGATCGGGGATGCCAAGGCACGGCTGAGTCTGTCAGCTGGCAAGCCTCAGCCTCAGTCCAGGCATGACAGCCACGAGTCGAGTGTACCCATACCCCAGGATTCGAGGCGGAACTCAGAGAAGACCAAGGCAACGGACGATGCTTCTATACTGCCTACCAACTCTCTGGTCCAGATGTTCGAGCAAGCACGCGCCAAGACCCCTACCACCTCATCGAGTACCACCTCTGTTCTGACGTCTAGAGGTGCACCGCCGCCTGTAAAGTCACCAAAGCCACAAAGGAAAATTCCATTCGCTATCCCGGACGAAGCTGCGTCCTCAGCAGAGCATCACAGCATTCAAAATACAAGCAATACGGCCGCCAAACCAAAACCAAAGCTACCCGAGTTAACCACTACTAAGGCTGGTGTAGGACGTCCGAAGCCTCCTACTCCGCGAAGGCCTCGACCAAAATCGCAAGAAATCAACACGTACCATTCTCCTAGGTCCTTGACTGGTTCTCTTGATGAGGAAACCCGTTCTTCGAGGCCACGATCAGTGTCCATAAACGGGAATGATGAAAACGACTCATCGCCTACGTCGTTCACTTCGGCACCAGAAACGCAAGCAGAATTAAAGTCGAAACCCAGCCTTCCACCGCCGCGTCGAATCGGAACCCGTAAACCTGATAGCAGATCAGAGTCAAGTTCAAAACCACTCGCTCCTAAAGTACTACCGCGATCCAATACGGCAGCTCAGGTTGGCCGTCTGACTGCACCGCCAGAGACATTCCCACCGCCTCGCGCTACGGCTGCCCTCACGTCTCAAAGCTCCGGGTCGTCCATGTACCACTCAAACTACCAACGCGCTTCCCTGCGCCAAATGACGCCCCACATCACCGGTGATTCCCTCGCGAATGCCATGGTGGGCGCCGCCCTCGCCTCCTCTCGAAATGCATCGCCCGCACCATCTCGCTCTCCCCTTCCACCCCTACCTATTCGCAATCAACCACCCAAGAAGCATCACCATCACCCCTTCCATAGCTCCCGATCGCCATCTCCGACCAAATCAAAGCCTGGACCAGGCAAGCTACGCACCACTATGCGCAAAGAATCCACGTCCTCTGAAAGCGAGGACTCTGACGAGCGCTACAAGCGCAAGGGCAAACGTGTTCTTGGCATGGGCCGCAAGCACCCGAACAAGCATCACGAAGGCGACCGCAAACGTTGGCGCGACGTCATCACCGAATGCGAGCGAAAGCGATACGAAGGCGTGTGGGCTGCGAACAAGGGCTTATTCATTGTGCCTGATACCTCGAAATCGCCCTCCCCGAACCGGGTCGATGCGGATCTTGACCCTGCGTGGGACGTGCACGCCCTTGTTGTGAGAGATGTCTGGGCTCGTAGCCGTTTGCCGGAGCATGTGCTCGAAGAAGTTTGGAATTTGGTTGACTCCAGGGGAATAGGGAGGTTGAGGAGGGAGGAGTTTGTGGTCGGCTTGTGGTTAGTGGATCAAAGGCTCAAGGGGAGGAAGCTCCCACCGCGGGTTACAGAAAGTGTATGGGGGAGTGTGAGGGGGGCTGGTGTAAGGGTCAAGGTAGGGAAAGGCTAATATGAATGGCGTATAGAAGGTCGGCACCTTGGCCAGATAAGGTTTGATACCCAGAATCGTAATTATTGAAATCTAGAGACTTTCATTCTTGTCGTGGGCTGCTGATAGTGAATGGGGTCTGGACATCGTCAGTGCTTCGGGTAACCTAACATTCGTGGCACAAATCCCACCTGGAGTATAGCGCCCGGCCGCCACAGGACTCATTCATTCACCACTATGGGCTTGGCGTGATTCAACAGCAGATACGCCCAGTCTTCGCTATTTGCAACTTATAAATCAATCGAGGCAGCTCTCCAACTTTTACATACACACCATCCACCTTCCACACCACTCTATCACCAGAACCACACTCACACTCACACCAACACAGGCATGCCTCGGCAAACACGCAATACAGAGGACACCAGGGCCCGGCGCGGTTCTGTGAGCACGGCCCTCTCTAGCTCCAGTCGGCCTTCACGCCACTCAAATGCTTTAGTCGACTCCGCGGAACAAGAGGCATTTGCTGAAGCCCGAGTCTCGCGTTGGCTTCGGGATATGCCTAGCGTACCATCTACAGAACCACAGCCTCCATTGTCTGCTCCGCAATTCAATCCCGCGGCGCCATCTATACCCACGCTCTCTCCATCTCTGCGACAGCACCCGACCGTTCACACTGGCTTCATCACCCGCAATGAGCTCGACGCGCGGCGCCCTGATCTACCCCAACGCCTACATGGTCTGGCTGGATTTTCTTTGTGGGCAAAGCACGACAAGACGTTCAAAGCCCGAAAAATGGAAAAACGTACTGCTCGACCAGGCCAGGAGCCGAATGGACTTTCAGAACCACGCCCTGTGGAGACCCATCACTAGACAGCTGCCGCCGCTTTTAGCCCTTTCGGTGAGCGAGTTGGCCAGGCTCCTTCAGATCGACTCATCTCGCCGGGCCGTCCCTCGCCGTCTTTACGACTACTGGATCTACCTCCGCGAATGCCACATACGCCTCAATATTCTCGCTCGACATACGTGCGATCAGTTCTAAAGGGAAGTAACAGCAGAACCAAAAACATGTCTATGAGTAGACCGGATTCACGTTTTCAGACATTCATTCAAGCAAACCAAACTGGAACTTCTGTTACACAGACTCAATTGTGGAATGGTGATTATGGCTATGGATACGACCGAGTCTTCGTCGCATGGTGGCCGAACCAATCTACGTGCGTTTTGATCGAAGAACGTGTTCTACGTATTTCTCCCCTACAGATGGACATATCGACTCCCCTCGACAAAGATGTCGCATTTGTCGGCTCTTCCAGGAAGGCATCCCTAGATTCTTCCATGGCTATCTTTCTAGATCATCACCGACAAATGCTCCAACGTTTCAACCAACGTAAGTATGGGCTTATCCTTAAGCGACTTCACGATATCGCTGTTCACACGTATTTTCGAAAACCGTGGCTAGTTAATTGTCCTGGGGAGTTGGTAGATCTCATTGCACAAAACTTGCCTCGGGCCGATTTCCTTGCGTTCCGCGCCACTTGCAAGGACATTCACCAGAAGCCTGTACACCGGCTGAAGACCCACTTGAAGGAGAAAACATTGGTGCTACACAGAGCATCGCGTGCGGGACTAAACTCGCTTGTCGATCTAGCCAACTATCCCGACTTTGCGTCTCACGTTCGGAAAGTCACTCTCCACATCGAGGACGACACATTCCTATGGGGCGATGTGATTGAGCCTCCTCATATGATCTATGGGGATCTGTGCCTTATCCACGAGCCACCTATGTGGACACAACACTTCAATTCTTCCCTCCTTTCCAAGGGACAACGCGCCGTGGATCTTGGAATCCTCAAGGCTTGTTTTCACAAGCTTCCAGCCCTCGAAGAGATTCAATTTGCTGATATTCCTCATGGCTGGGTACACCCTAAAAATTGTTCTGTTGATCTGCACTCGCCGCTTCCTTGGCTGAACGCAAAATATTGTGCCAAGTGCAAACGCCATCCTTTCGAGGAGCCGAGGGGTGAAAAATGTATCCATTACAAAACCTTTCTAGAAGCTCTTATGATAATCGCTTGTAATAAAGCAGCTTTTTACTGGGCTGTCGGTTACTACAGCTTGCCTTCACGGATCGCCAGCCACGTTGTCCACCAACCAGAGTACGCGAAATTGAAGCTTCCTCTGATAAAGTTATTGCCACTCCTGCGCAAAGTCACAGTCTCAAAACACCTCAATGTATCTCTCCATCACGAAGGCATCTATAATATCTTATACGCTCTTTTGAAGTCCGCAACAAACCTCCAAAGCCTTGCCATTGATGCCTCGGATGTAAATTTCCCGATACTGGCGAGGAATCATGCACTCCGACGGCAGAGCTATTGTCCACCAGGACTCTAACCTCGCTGACATTGCAGAGGCTTACGATCAACGTCGATATACTCCAGAAAATTATCAGCATCTGTAGTCCCACGTTGTTAAGCATTTCCTTGGAAGGGATCTATCTAGCCAACAGATCGTGGGTTATACCTCTTAGCTCTCTCTTAGAGTGCAAAAAACTAAACAACGTGTTCATCTACGCGCCGGGAAAAATGATAGTGCGTGATAAAGTAGTCCCGATTATCTTTGGGAATGCTGTATCTCGGGCAGAGCTGAGGGCGGCCATTGCCGGCCACCAAGCGGGGTTGTTCAAGATATGGAGGTTCAAGGAGATGTCGGCACCGGAGCAAGATCGTAATGGAGATCTTGTTGGCTGGAGGTTTAGTGGCTCTAATTTAGAGACGGGGTTGATGTGGATGATGCACAATTAAAATTTTCTTAGGGTTCGTTAGCGTTTCATAGCTCTTAGGCTTTTACGGTACTGGAACACAGGTTTAGACACTCCTTACATCCGCATGTGGTATTTTGATAGGCCTTTGAAAATCTAAATACAAAGTAAACGTCTACGCAGTGGAGATAGGGCTACTGCTTGACTAATTGAAGACATGCTAGCTAGAGGACTCCTCACAATGGTGTCGGGCGGGCAAGAGTTGAGCCCGGGCAGTGGGATGTACGTGTGGGAAAACTCAAGAGCTAATACTGTATAGGGACCCAAATACTAGATGAATCGCCATAAGCAACCTCCATAAACCCGTTATCGGCGAAGCCAGTCTTAATCATGACGCTTTTACTTCTTTTCGTCAATGATATAACTTACTCACACTTGACACGCCTACTTACTGTGGCTTAGCTATAATATTTGAGGTGCCTACCTAAGAAGCTACACTTATCCTAGAGTCCCACGTGCCATCGCATGCCGCGCTAACGTACCTCCCGTAGACCCTATGTAAGGAGCAACCGCACATTCTGCATCATGGACCTCAGCCCCGCCTCGACATTCTCACCTTCAAGCCTCCACCCCACCAAATCCCTACTCCTCTCCTGCTCTGGTGACGCTCGTCCATCTTCTACCCAACGTTTGAAACCATGAATATCCCTATCATGATAAGCCTTCAGCTCAGATTCAGAGATTTCGTCACCAAATACGACCGCGGCCAAGGTTTCGACGCCGACCGTTGTTGTCGGTGCGTGAATGCACACGTCCGCGAGCACCTTGCAATCTAAGAGCTGAAGGAGAACGTCATCACAGAAGTCGAGTGTGATACACATACCCTTCAATCGATGGCGTTGCAGTGAAGGAGTATAACGGTCTAGCAAGTTCTCCAGGTCCGTTCCCGTCATAGCGAGAGTTTGGAGAGTTAGGGAGTTAAGCCTATACGAGCAGAAGGTGTTTACAAACGGCGTCTAGGGGAAACTTTGTGTCGAGCTATATGGGGCGACGGAAGGGTCGCCTTCAATAGTTAGAACTCTGAGCAACGGCGACGAATCCCAGAGCTGGTGTAGAAAGTTGTGATGAGGCACTCCGGGGATATTTGTCGTATGTTTGGCTCGGAAGGTTACCACTCGGAGTCCAGAGATGTGGGCGCGGACAGGAAAAGGGAAGGTTTGGCCCTGAAGACCTCGAATGAGAGACTCGGCAGACGACAAGGGCAGGCCATAGTGACCCGTGGTCCAGTAGAATTCAGCCTGGCTACATGCAAGCGATGCCAGTGCACCGAGCATCATAGTGAAATGGTGGCACTGCTCGCCAGCGGGATCCGGTATAGCGCGGCTGCACATAGTGCAAAAGTTCGCCGTTAGGACGGGAACTTCGTTTGGCATTAACACATGGTTGCGCTGTTGTACAGAATTGAACGGGTCGGCGGCTTACCAACTCTTCCGAAATGGGGGGCCGTAATTGATCTACTCTCCTTCGGTGCTGAAGAATCGTCTTTTGAGGAGGCCTTCAGGGTCCAGTCATAAGGGAGATCAGTAATCTCAAAAGTATCCAGGGCAGGTAGAAGACGAAGGCAGATGAGAAGCAAAGTCAGGTCGACAGATCGTTGTTCCAGTTCCAGGCGTGGGTGGTTGAAATGCTGCGTCCAGTATCCATGTTTCCGGTCACCATAGAGGTCGCAAAGGGGCGCAAGTGCGGTACCCCAGACGAACGTCGAAGTTTCTATATGGATGGTTACTTTACGAATTCGAGAGGCAAAATCCGGATAATGGGCCAGTTCGATTAGGGATGCTAGCCCTGCTCGAGAATTGGTCGTCATGGCTACCTTCTTTTCTAGCAGGTGACTGTTGTTGAGATGGTAAAGGGTCTTCTGATGAACATCTTTGCAGGCAGTCCTGAACGACAAGAAGTCATTCCGGGAAAGGAACTTGGCGACAAGATCTATCAACTCCGCTGGGCAGTTCAGAAGCCATGGCCGTCGAACATAGGTATGGATTGCCATCAAATGGGTCCTAAGGTGAATCATCTGACTATACGTATGAGCTGTCGGCGCCTGCTGTTGAACAGCGTTCATGAAAGGGCCCGGAGGCCTTGAACGGTACCCTCGTGCTGCAGGTCGCGGGATACGCTCGTTGAACACGACGGTAGTAGATTTTTCCAACATGTTCACAACAAATATCCGATCGTTGTTGTTGGAGGTATTCCTAGGCGGCGAGTTGGAACGACGAGGCGGATGGGGCGGTATGGTGCGAAACGGTCGAGTTCGCAAATCAGGAGGTTTGGGTGCGGACGTTGGGGCACCATTACTAGGTAGTTGCGCCATTGCGATAGAGGTGGTTTAGAGAAGCTTCAATGGCGTTAGTGCGGGCGGCGGGGATGTTGATTTGTCGACGTGAAGATAGTGTAAGGTCTACATAGCATAAGGCCCTTGAAATTGGCTTGTTCTGCCGCGACGGTGAATTGTCCAGCTTTGAGCGACAGCGTTGCCGTACGTCATACACGACCGACCCGGTCAGTACCTTTCGAAAGAATCGAAGTCCAGTCTACAGTGTCCGAAACGATACATTCGCAACGCTAGGACACTAGAACCCCCAGAAGTCCTCCAATGTGCTGCCTACAATCTCAGCTAACGACGTCATTTGATCACACTCGAGAGGTGTATTACGGTACTAGGACAAAACTTTGAGCACGCTGTTTTTTCATGTTGTCCCGATTAATGACGAGGTGCTGAAGCACTACTAACCCTGGCAAGTAGGGCGGGTATCAGCATGAGAAATCTTCCTGATTCAAGGTCTTAGGGACTTTACATCTTATCAGAACTTTCGGAATACGCGGAAGCACCTCCTACGGTGGTGAGCAAGTGTACCAAGTCTCTTGACAAGGCAATATAGAACCAACCTTTACAAAATCACATATTAGCATTAGTAAAAGAATGCGTTAACATGATAGCTAGCAGAAGCTTCAAAGGTGAGTAGGTGAATTCGCTGAGCGAGCTTTACCGTTTCAGTAGTTCCTTACCCCCAATAGAGTCTAAACTCTAAGAAGATGTGCGTTATGTACCAGAAACGTCACCCCAGCTGTAATACTAGGACCGCAAAACCTCCAGCCCACTAAATCCCTATTCATCTCCTGATGTGGTGCCTCCCGTCCCCTCTGTCGCCACTTCAGGAAGTGCCCGGGCCGGTACTGGATCCCCTTCAGTTCAGCTTTGGACACAGTATCGCCAAATACCACCATCCCCCAACTGTCTACCCCCCAGCAGATTTTAGATGCATGGATGAAAACCTCTTTGAGGGGCGCTTTGTTGGTCAAAAGGTAGCTGAGTGCCGCGCTCCATGTGTTCAGCTGGGACACAAGGCAGACACCTTCAAGGTGGATGGTCGAAAGCGTAGTAGCATAGCGTACAAACAGGGTTACCAGCTCCGGTGCGCTCAGCTTCAGGTCCTGTAGCACGAGTGTTGAGAGACTGCCAGTCGCCAGACGAGACCCTACTGGACCGCAGAGCCTATGGGTCTTGGAGGGACGGTGTGCTACATCTGCACCATCAATGGAGAGTCTCTGCAGGATTGTTGAAGCACCTAGGAGTTTGAAAATGAAGTTGTGGGCTACGAGTGGACCATCAGTTGGCAAGAGGTCGTCAATGCCTTTGTGGCGGTAAATCTTGTAAGATATCTCCAGTAAACCGTGCAGTTTAAACGTTGTGGGAAGGAGACTGCCGAGAGCATGGGCGACATGGTTCGCCATCGTGGAAGGAAGTTGATAGACACCCATCGACCATACCAAATCGGATTGAGACCGGGCGAGCAAGACTAGGGCATCTAGAAAGACCTGGAAATGGATGCATTTCTTGGAGGCTCTATTTTTGAAGGGAGGCCTCTTGCATATTCCGCAGTGCTTCGTCGTAATAGAGTACGGTGTGTATGCACCTACTGGTTTGCCTGCTTCTCCCGCCCTGGAGTTTTCCATAACTTTTTTATACAGCTGTGCCGCTCTCGAGAGCCTGTCATCGGCTGTACCTGGGTGAGGACCCCCATTTTGGACATGGACATTTGAAGTCCCAATAGCGCTCTTCGACTTCTTCACAGCTTTCTTGGCTTCCTGGAGATCCTTCCGGGCTTGAGCATGTTGAACGGGGATCCAGCCAGAGGGAATGTCAATAAGTTCGACAGTTTTCAGAGCTGTTAGCTTGCTGAGGCATACTAGAACTATTGCAAGGTCGATGGCGCGCTGCTCCATTTGCATACTCGGGTTGTTGAAGTGTTGAGTCCATAAGCCCTCCTCGAAAGCAAGTGCTGGATCCCCAAAGTAATGCTGCAAAGGGCTGATCTCCTTGCCCCAAAGGAATGAGGAGTCTTGAACTTGAATTGTGACCTGCCGGACTCGAGCTGCGAATTTTTGGTGGCCTGCGAGCCCAACAAGCGAATTAAGGCCTGCGCGAGAGTTGGAGGCTAGAGTGAGAGTTTTGTTGGGTAGGTGGATGTTGTTGAGGCGGTACAATGTCTTCTGGTGGATGTCCTTGCAAGTAGATCGAAATTCCAAGAAGTCACTCCGACTCAGGTGCTGGGAAATGAGATCTACTATCTCCCCGGGGCAATTAAGGAGCCATGATCGTCGAATATAGGTATGAACTGCGATGTCATGGGGTCGCTTCGAAATAGGCCATCTGGAAGTAAGGTCAAGGAAGCGACGCAAAAAGCCGAGAGTTGATTTGCTCATTAGGGAAGGTTGTGATAGGTTCTGTGGTGACTGCGAGCGAGATATGCGTTGCTCTAGCAAAACACTGCATCTGTCCACCCAACACGCAACGAAAATCCGGTCATATCCGTAACCTTGGTCGCTACCTTGATTAGGAAAAGCCAGTTTCTTTCCAGGACGGACTCTGATATTAGGTAATCCAACTAGTGGGATATTTCGATCCTGCAGATGAGACAGGCTCAACCCATGCTGATGCGGGTTGCCCTCTCGTAAATCGGATGGGCGGAAACCAGGACGATTTGAAGGGCGTCGCAAGGAATTGGACTCCGACATTTGATGAGAAGTTGGGCTCGGGGGCAAAGGAAGAGAGTTAGTTCGAATAGGGGTCTGCCTCTGGTGATGGGTGGTGTGGTGGTGTGGAAGGTGTGAACAGTGTGGATGTTGAGTTGGGGTAACGTCCGTTTGCAATGAGGCCCTTGAATGACATTGGACAAGGCTTAAATAGTGGGCTTGGTAAATCAAGGCCTCACCATAATAGTGAATGGACTATTCCTGTCTTTGGACGTGCAGCCACCTGGCTGAGGAAGCTGCTTGTCGCGTCCCCAGATTCACCACGTCTGACTAGCACCTGTATCTCCGACCTCTTCCCCGAGTCTTAAACTTTCACTCTTGCTGTCAACAACACCGCTCTGCAAGACTCCCCACTTGTTTGTTACATCGTGGCAGACACTCCGCGACGCCCAACATATCTCGAGGCCACAGAGCAGCTCCTACAACTACGCCTGCGAAATCTGATCGGTCTGCAATGGAACCCCCAAAGCGGAGACTGTCCTCAGGCCTCGACAGAACTCCAAAGCGGCAGCGACAAGAGCATCCTGCTCCGTCCAAGCAACTTATCCTTCTCAGACACCACCAAACAGCTGTCCACACTTACGTCAAGAGGGCGTGGTTGCTCGACTGCCCCGGAGAGATCGTAGACACCATCTGCACGTTTCTCGAGCGAAACGACTTTCTCACCTTCCGTTCCGCTAGCAAAATCCTTCATCAAAAGACCCTCTTCCATCTGAACAATCGACATCTGAAGGAAAAGCGGGTATTTCTTTCACCTACCTCTCGACGCGGCCTGGGCTCTTTGGTCGAGCTCGTCGATTTTCCCGAGTTTGCACGTCGAGTTCACGAAGTTACTCTCTATATTCGTGATTGCTCGTTCCTCTGGGCAAGCGAAATATACGGCGAAGCCGCTACAAGACCGGGAGAGGGAAGATGGGCACAACACTTCAACCACACGCCAATGGAGCTGGGAAAGCGGGCTGTCGACCAGGCGCTGCTTCTCATCTGCCTCCAGAAGTTGCCTGAATTGGAATACATCTGCTTCGAAGATTTCCCTGAAAGCTCTGAGAATGGCCAGGAGGACCTCACATGTGCTACTACGTCCGCAGTCTCAAACCCGAACGGCGACGATTTCGAGGACTGCTTCTCACCTCTACTTCGCGACGTCACAAAGTGGAACAGCTTCAATGCCGACCCGACTCAGTTCGTAGTCGGGGTACAGAGAGTGACCACCAGCGAGCCCCCTCTTCCAGGCGCATTTGTGAATCTTCACCACTGCAACAAGTGCGAGAAGCCTGCACGCATTGGCCAATGTATTCACCTTGACATGTTCGTCCGGGCCCTCACCGTGATGGCCGTCGACAAAGACCACCTTTTCCAACTTCTCCACTACTACGACGTACCTGCTTGCGCCAAAACTTTCACCATGACCCACATATGGGACGACGCTCGCGGCGCTCTATCTACCCAGACTTCCTGCCTCAACCTCCGCGAAATCCGCCACCTGGGGTCCGTCAGACTTCCAGAACTTACGCACAAACCGGTCTACTTCCTCCTACGCCGCCTGTGGAAGTCCGCACCAAACCTGGAGATCTTGTACCTAGGCGGCCAGACGCCCAACGTGGACCCTCCTTGGTACAATGGTCACGTTTCGCCACACGAGCCGTGGGCCCGCACCTTTTCGGCAACGCATCTTCGGGGCATGGGTCTTACAAACGTACTTGTGCATATCAAGGCCGTTGAGGGCGTCCTAGCGCGCTATGCGGGCACGCTTACGAGCCTTGTTTTCCATGGCGCGCAGCTTGTGCGGTCTAGTCGCTCAATCCAGAACTTCCTGGGCACGCTGAGGGGCTGTATGGCGCTTGAACATCTCTATTGGCACGCGGTGTGTGTGGTGCAGACAGATGGGGGTCACGGAGAACAGTTGTTTGAGCTGGAGGGGGTGGATGCGGTGTGCTTCGGGGATGAGGAGAGCTGCCTTGAATTGGCGACATTCTTTGAGAATAAGGGGGGAATGGGGAGGTGGGCGTGGTGCGGACTCGGGGTGGAGGTGCCGGAGCCAGAGAGGCGTAGGGACATAACGGGGTGGTTATTTGAGGGAGAAGAAGTAGTGGCGGAGGGGGTGGCGTGGATGCAGGCGGAGGTGGGAGTATTGGGCTGGTGATGGGCGGTTGACGATGTTTGGGGTGGCTCCATAGCTCTTCGGAAATCGAGATGGCATGTCAGTCCTGTGAGACTATGATTCACACGGTTGCTCATGTATTGAGCTGCAGCCGTCTGAAAGGCCTCAGCGAGCTTACCTACCGTTCAAGGCGATAAATTCTCAGCGCTTTGGGATTTCTTATAGCTCCTTGAGGCACTACAAGAGGTGGCAAGACAGTGTACACAGATATGGATGAAGCACTATTAATCGTCCAATGCGAATGCTCAACCGCAGGGTACTCTTGATGTCTTGAGATGAGAATTGTTACCCACTTAGCAGCATACGATGGTCATGGCGAGGATCTCATGAACCGTTGTCTGTCAGAGATGGGATCAGGAGGCCGCCCTGGTCGATGCGGGGACCTGTGGCGGTGTCAGCACAGCCGCTTCTTGGCACCCCAACTTCAAAACCTTTCGTCCCGTCCTCATCCGCTTCCATCGATGCCAACATCTACATTTCATGTCTTTCAGCGAGGATGCAAGGCCACTGCGGCCAGCGCGGTATGAAGGAGAAGATACCAGCGTAACAAGCAAGGTTGAGTTGCGCGGATGGTACACGTACGCAGTCGCCGCTGAGGTCTTTGCGGTTTGCGGCACCGGTATGTTGGCTATTGAGCTTACCGGATCACTCGGAATAGCTTCATTGACAATCATATAGGCTCATTCCTTCCGGTCACAATGGAGCAGCTTGCTCGAGAGGGAGGAGTGCTTTGGTCCGATCGCAATTCGTCTTGCGTCTCTAAGGCCTCCGATAGCAATGCTGCGGGTACACCTTCAAGAATTGCTGCGCGAGATTCGACCAACCAATGCGTTGTCACTATTCTTGGATCAGAAGTTACGTCGTCCAGCTTTGTCATGTATACTTTCTCCATTGCCGTGCTAGTGCAAGCGATTGCAATGATATCCTTCAGCTCATTTGCAGATCATGGTATGTGATGCATCATCTGTCGTTCCTTTGCGGTACATCCGACTCATTCAACTCAGGCCCGTATCGTAAGAGGATGCTCCTCGCATTTGGTTTCACCGGCGGCGTTACAAGCATGTTATTTCTATTCATGACCTCCAACACCCTGGTCCTAGCGTCTTTCCTGGTCGTGATAGGCATTACCTGCCTCGGGTCCTCGTTTACATTACTCAACTCCTTTCTACCGCTTCTCGCCTCCAATCATCCTCTCGTGAGAGGTCGAAGGTCATCGGATGTAGCCTTGGATTCATTACCTTCGAATGGAAGCCGGTCACGGTCCGGGGGCCGCCTTGGAGGGCCACGCAGGTCGGTTTCGAACGAAAGCAGCGCCTACTCTACGAAGAAAGCATCCTTAGAACTTCAGCTCTCTGGTCAGATCTCCTCCAAGGGCGTAGGAATCGGCTATATTGCCGCCGTTTTTGTTCAATGTCTCAGTATCGGGCTTCTTTTTGGACTATCGAAGACGTCTCTCGCTGCCTCTTCAACTACCATACTTCTTAGAATGGTCTTGTTTTTGGTAGGGGCTTGGTGGGTTGGATTCACTATTCCGACAGCATACTGGCTTCGCTCGCGTCCTGGTCCACCTCTGGAGGCCGCTGTGGCTGGACGCGGAGTAGTTGGCCGATCGACCTTCGCATATGTAGGATTCGCCTGGATGTCTGTTTGGAGGACCTTCCGAGAGGCTATCAGGCTGCGGCAGGTACTCTTGTTTCTCATCGCATGGTTTCTTCTTTCTGACGCGGTGGCCACCGTGTCCGCCACGGCCATTCTATTCGCAAGGACTGAGCTACATATGAGCACTGTGGAGGTAGCCATACTCTCGATTACTTCAACCTCATCCGGCATCCTTGGTGCGTTCAGTTGGCCAAAGCTATCCCGAAGATTTGGGCTCCAAACAAATCACACCATCATCGCTTGCACTATTCTCATGGAGATTATTCCCCTCTACGGGCTTTCAGGATACCTTTCCTTCATCCAGAAGTTGGGAGTCGGGGGCTTTCAGAATTCATGGGAGATTTTTCCTCTCGGGGTTATACATGGGTTCGTCATGGGCGGACTGTCATCCTACTGTCGGTCTTTCTTCGGTCTTCTCATCCCGCCGGGCAGAGAGGCAGCTTTCTACGCTCTCTATGCAGTCACCGATAAGGGCAGTTCCGCGGTCGGCCCCGCGGTTGTAGGGAAGATCGTAGACTCATTTGGCACCATCCGTCCAGCTTTCGTCTTCTTGGCAATTTTGGTTCTTCTTCCAAGTCCACTAATATGGATGATTGATGTAGAGAAGGGTCGGTCTGATGCTATGAAGTCTTCAAGAGTGAACAAGAGCCAAAGCGGCGACTACAGCGGTTTGCAAAGTGATGTGGACGAATGGGAATTGTCCGATGTCGATTCGAAGGATGAAGACGATGACGACACTTACGAAGGTGAATCTCAAGAAGCAGCACGATTGATGAAGCGAAGTTAGCCATTGGATACCTCGACTTGATTTGCGTAGTTCGCTGGTCTCCACTGTGTATATAGCATGAATCCCGAATGACACCTTCGACGCTTTCACTTCTGAGGTTAAATCTCTAGACAGCTAGTCTTACTGACCACGTTACAGTTTAGTTGACCATGCACACCATTAACCTGGTGGGCAGATGTCATACCTCGACACCCCATTTGAAGCCATGACAGCTCCCTCGAGAAAACGTGACGTACACCTATCTGCCGCTGTGCTTCGCGCTTGCAGCAGGCGCAAAATTCGGTTTGCCAAATTCATCCTTGTTCAGAACCACGCAGCATTCTGGGCAATACCATACTGCCGTTTGAGCAGGTGCCTTTTCCATGCCCATGCACCCAATATGAAACCACTCGATCGGGCACTAACGTATGTGTTAGCAACAGACTACAATAACATGAATGAGATGTCTAGCAACGCTTACACTGTCATTTTCGCACGCCACCATCGTGCCATAGCTGCCATCCCTGCATATGCAGAAACTGCCCTTATTAGGACCTATTGGCTCGTCCGGCTCTTCCGGTACGTTATCAGCTCGCCCGTACGCATCTGCTGCGACAGTGCCAAGCGGGGGAAGCCGTCTTTTCCGATTGCTGGTTCTTCTAGGTAGCTCACCTTGCGTAGTTCTTTTACCCCTGTGCATGCTGACATCTTTCCTCGGCTCCCTCCGCACTACCTGGGCTGACGCGCTCACAGTGGCAGCATCGTGGTCGCCGATCGCTAAACTTAGGTCTTCTTCGGGGTCCGCTTCTTGCTGCTCAATGATCAAGCCTGCGTCTCCCCACACCTTGTTGAATACTGCCTGTGCCTCTTGTTTTGAGATGCCGGGATATGCTTCGAAGAGGTTAGACATCTGCATGACAAGGCTGTGTAAATCGAGGGGACCATGAGCGGGAAAGGCATCGGAGGACATTCTTCCGGGATGGTGTTGGCAACGACGCGATTTTGTGAGGCGTTTCCGGCTATGGGCGCGGAGGAGGGATGTTGCGGACAACTTGTAGAAAGCGGGTTGCTTTTGAAAACAGACGAGTTACCCACCCGCACAAAAGATTGTGACGCAAAGAGTGACGAATATTTTGCAGGGCTTTGTCCGTTCTCTACCAAACAAGTTGGAAGCTGGCTCTCTTTGAAAGTAGCTACTTTCTTCATAGTTTGTATGCAGATTAACAAGCAATTCGCTTTCGACTGTCTTCCAGCTTGACCTCGCCAATTGGCCGCAGTGGCCTTGCATTCTCACAACTTGCCACCAGAGGGATTGCAAGGAGAACCGCCAAGCTACCATCTATTCTAGCCAATTAGGCGCCGAGGGTTGCAGACTTCCGAGCCCAGACATCGCAGGTCAAAGGCTCACATTCACCACCTGAAGGGTAATATATAGAAGAGACGTGCCCTGCTAATTTCGATTGTTCGCACATAAAAACACCACCCCATCAGGCCCCCATTAACTTCTACCACCCCGCCTCACCAAACTAGTCAACCCTCCATGCCTAGACCCTTCAACAGCTTGATTGCTCGCAAGTATGGCCGCAATGCCGGTCCAGAAGCTTCGACGGAGCAATCACCATCAACGCCACCTTTCCTTGGTCTCCCGGAGGAGATTGTTCAAAGCATTGCTCGAAACCTCTTCCTCTATCCCGTTTACAAAGACGACGACAAGGACCGCAAAAAGGCCGGGGAAAAAGCGCTCTTCGCGCTTCGATTAACATGCAAAGACATATACTGGAAGACCTATCACCTCTTCGGTACACGTTTCTTCTCAACAGGAACTCAGGTGCTCTTCGGCAGACATAGTCTCCATGATGGTGGCCTCTCCCTGGGCTACAATCGGGAATTTATGAAATTGTCGAAGCACCGTGAGCTTGCCAGCTTCGTTCGGAGCATCATGATTGGGCACGTGAACTTCGGACTGCCAGAGGAATATTACAGCAAGGATTACCGTGAGAAGGAGCGGTTCAGGAAAGCGGTTTATCGGGTTAAGGGCGGTATGCTGCACCACTTCGCGCGGTTTGAAGAGAAGTTCAAGATCCTGGATACGAAGTCTCTGGCCAAAGCCATGGCTCGCTTCCCAAATCTCGAAAAGATCGAGTTCAGTGACGAGCCAATATTCCACGGGGCTAGAAAGCGATGGGTACGATTAGTTGCACCACTTGGTGACGATGCAGATCAAGATTGGTGCTCAGCATGCAGCACGTTACCGCTGGCATGCCTCCGAACACGTGCGATTACATCGATGATATCCGCACTGGCTGTTGCAGGAATTAAGCCTCGAGTACTGGGCCTATATCCGAGCCTGCGGCGAAAGCTACGAAGCTACCTACAAAAGTTCCCCAGCAGCGAGTTTGAAGGGATCGCAGAGTTCTTTTCGGAAGTACGCGACGTACAGATTAGCGTCTTCGACTGCAATTGCGACTATGATGCAAAGCTCTGCTGCAGATATACGAAGGCGCCGCAATCTAGCTCGACTTCCGATTTCTTTGTACGGTTGCTCCGGTCTACGACTCGCCTCCATAGGTTGTACATCTGCCACAACATCACGAATGCGCCAACTCCATCGATCCGCAAACTGGTGGCTGCAGAAGTTCACATGCCAAAGCTGAGGACCCTTCACCTAGAACAGCTTGGCGCACGTGCTGAAGACCTTGTGATGCTGTTAAGGAGACACTCTGAGACGCTGGTAAAGGTGGAGGTGAATGCTGTCATTCTGACTCAAGGAACCTGGCAGGAGGTACTCGAGGAACTTCAAACTTGTCATAAACTCATCGACTTCCGGACCGTTGCCCCTACCGAGGGTGAGTTCATTCCAGACAAGATTCCAGACCTAGCCACGAAGCAGAGCAACGTAAAAGGACGCGTGGTTCTCTTCGGTGACGACGAGCCAAGGAAAGAGGCATTTATGAGATGGAGTGGTGAAACTTTGCACCTCGTGGAATGGCTGGCGATTGTGAACAGGCCCCCGGGAGGAGATGATGATGCAAGCGGGTGGAAATTCGAGGGTAGGGAGGTGGTTAGGACCGGTTTGCAATTTCTGCTGGACCATACGAGGTACTTCACTTCTGTCACTCTTCCCAGGGTGTAGGAGAGCAACCAGCTCCTACTAGTGTCTTGGGGATATTATTGCCTACTGTTGGCAAATATGAATAGCGAGCGCACACCGGAAACTTACCATAAAGGTACTTTTTCTAGGAATCTCCGTATCTTGGCATCTCCTTACCCCCAGGGCTCATTGTCCGTATTGATTCAGGTTATGCTGGGCGCTACAAGTTTTGCCTTTCACTTTGTTATTCCTCATGACGTTGCTATCGTATGTATAATACTTAGGGATACAAGGAAATAATGTAGTCAACTGCAATACTATTTCATTCGGTGAGGCGGTCCTCGGAAAGAACTTCTTGGGGTGAGGCGAATGGGCATCGCTCCCTCTATGAGATACTGACCTTCTATATGGGTGAGTAACAGAATCGTTGCTATCAGTCTAAGATGCATCTTGGCTAGTTTACCCACAGTTCAAAGGTAGCTGGTTTTCAATGTAATACTGCACTATCCAAGAACTCCAGAAATAAAATCCCGAACAGGAGTGCTCCTGCCAGTTTCGCGATGATCGATTTGAGATCCGTATTCAAATTACAGTGACAAGTCATAAGTCTGTGCACACGCGTTTACCACTGCTAGGGGTACCCCCCATGGAGTTTCAAAAACCAAGACGCGATGTCAAGTTCCAAGTAGTGCAAATTTAACTACCTCTTGCCTAGCTGTTTACTTACTAGCTAGGCTGCTCCTCACAGTAGTGTCAAGCGAGCAAGATTGAAGTCAAGCAGTGATAAATCCATGTCACAAAGCTACTCCTCGCCCGTGGGGTAGATCCAATCTAATACCATCTAGCCGGTGTGGTTTCCCCGTAACCACCTTTAACCCAATCTATATGATCAGAATGAAGTGCTCCCCCATGAATTTCAGGCCTGACTCAATCTCGAGAGGTCGCTTGAGTAGCCACCCAACAGAGTTGCTAGCCTGATTGCCATGCATCTGCTGTCCAGGGCGCTCATAGTTTGATCGAGGCGTCATCCAATAGCCCCAGGGAGGCCACGGAGTATCCTGATTCATTTCAATCTAGAACTGATCATTGTAGGCTTGGAAGCCTGAGTTCCTTTCTATCTCTTCCTGGTCATCAAACCAAGCACTAAGGCCATCACATCCAAGTCCCCGAAGGAAAAAATCCTCAAGTTTGGGCAAAGCCTTCAGGTCCTCGATGATCTTCTGCCAGTCCCCGTTTGGCCCAAGGTCAACACCTTCAAGGTGAACATGAGTAAGCGTTGCCTCTTGACTCTTTAACAGGTTTGACAGCCGCTGAGTATCTAACACAACGGTACGAAGGTCTAATGTCTCGAGTTGACAGAACATGGAGCTCGTGTCAAAGTTGAGCCAGTCGTAGTTCAGCCTGAGTTGCGTCTGGTGCAGGTCCTTCCACAAGTGCTTCTTCCTGCCGCTGATTTGGACATTTTGGAGGTTCGGTGCGGCCTCAACGAGCCGTGAGAACAAGCTTTGGCGTCCAGGTTTTGCAGAGCTTCCAGGGCGTAGATGCCCAATGTTGAAGATGAGGTTTTTGGCAGCTGGTGAAAAGTGATGAGAACTCTTGTGTATTGCTATGTAGGAGGATAGGTATATATAGGCGTAGAGGAGCCAAGCCAGCTGAGAGAAGGAACCCTGTTGAGCTGAAAGGTGACACATGCAAGCTGAGGAATGGCGCTAAGGATGCGCTAGTACAGTAGCGTATGGACGGCTGCCAGTTTTTGAGGGTCGGGCAATTCAAGCTGTATGGCTGCCACAAGGCACCCATCAATGCTTGGCCTGGCAGTTTGAAGTCTGCACGTAATGACCGGTAGGTTTCAGCGCCACCGTTTTCTGCGTCGAAGGATGCACCAATCTGTGCTGATAAACTCAGGTTGAAATTGATGTGAACTCTGTTGCATTGTAGATGCCGTAAAGGCGGACTATATAGAGGAGCGAGATGAACTATCCCTTAGGGCGCTCCCTTGGTCGTTCCCTTGGCAGCAAGGAAGGCGCCTAGGAAGGCGCCAAGGAAAGGCACTCCCTTTCCTTGCTGTCTTGACAGCAAGGAAGCACCACAACTCCGTAAGAAAGAGAAAGGGAGAGTAATGGATACCTAGTGAACCGTGTGAGTTGCTGATCCTAGGTTGCTGCAACCCGAGTGATAAAGTCGACGACCTCGCGCGCCATTCCACCCACTTCTGGCTTGAACCCCGGCTTATCACTAATCTCAACTGTGTGCACATTAGGCAACTTTGCTAATGTTACCAAGAGAATTGCGATGTCGATGCCGCGTTCTGTCTAATGCAGCTTGGGATAGTTGAAGTGATTGAGCTAGTTCCCTTCGCACGTCGCAAGAGGACGCTGTTTGCGGACCTCTGAGGGCAGATCGAGGTCCATATCTCCAACAAAAAAGGCGTCACTGATTGCGATCACAACCTTCTCTGTGTATTTCGTGAGATCTGGATTTTGCATCACCATATCGATGAAGCCATTCAAGCCGGCCCTAGAATCCTCTCCCAACACGACACGAATCTCTCGGAAGGCAAGAGTTGTCGTCTGATATAGTGACTTTCCGTACATTCCTCTGGAGGTAAGGCGCAGCTGCAATAGCGACTTTTCGTCTAGATGTTTGCATATTCCGTCGACCAATTCGGCAGGGAGATTGCCAAGAGAAGGTCGCTCGTCGGAGGTAGGAGCGGCATCTCGAATTCTAGGAGAAGATGTAGGAGTTTCGGCAGTATTCGTAGGATGAAGCGTGGGTGCGAGGCGTTTCTCTTGCTCTTCGGGGTCGGTGGAGTCACGTTTTCGTTTCAGTGTGTTTGGCAAAGCGGAAGCAAAAGCAGTGTTTTCAGGTCGTTGGGATGCCAATGCAGCCTCTTTCTGCAATCGGTCGTGACAGTGGACCGAAGGCCGTATATCGTGTTCTGGCGATCCCGGTATTGCCAAGTTTGATACTGGCGGTACTCCTCTCGGGGCTCCTATAGATCACCAATCATCCAGCTCCGGTGCTCTTGGTGGTCGACACGGTGGTAGGGGAAGTCGCTTGGCGTGGACAGAATGTAGGGTTCCGTTGGAACGACTTTGCGAATGCGCTCGAAAATTGCATCGATCTTGGCCAGCTCTTCGGCATCTTCCTTATGTCGTACCACCTGGACGCCCCGGCCGGCCTTGCCCAGGTCAGCGGTAGTAGTTAGGAGGAGTGTCATGGCTTGTGTCTCTAGGTTAGAGAGTCGACTCGGTGATGAGGGCTTGGTGTGCGTGCTGGCTAGCATAGGTGGTGGGAGACTGGTGGGGATTTGTGGAGGATGATGATACAAGGGGTGTTGTATAGGGCGCTGATAATAGTGTATCCCCTTCTTGCTAGGCATACACTCCCTCCATCCTTATCGTTTCACCGCCTTCTAATTGGCTCGGAGCAGTGCGGAGCTTCCTCCGGGCATTCACCTCGCGTCTATTCACACGTGATGCTATACAAGAGGACGTATGCGAGGCCGTACGTGATGCCGTACGAGAGAGGACGTACGTAAGGCCGTACGTAATGCTATACGAGAGAACTGACGTGAGGCCGTATGTATAGCTGTACGCGCAGCTGCTCTATTTTATTATATTGCTACCTGCTGTGCCTACGTGCCTAGGAGGATGCTGAAACTATCAAGACATCACCTTATAGAGACTTCTTTCCAATAAGTCTGGCCCGGCTGCATCGACGCCTGCATCACCGCCTTCGCTCGAATTCACTTCAAAAGGAAGCTCTGAGGAGTTGGCTGTTGGAAGTATATAATGTCACTTTTTTTCCGGCCCCTTAATCTTAGGCGGGGCGTGCTTTTTCATTCAACATCGGCCCGGCCACTCCAGCCAATTAGGAGATCACACGAGAGGAGGGTGGTACGTTTAGCAAGAAGGGGGGTATACCATTAGCACCGCCCGTTGTATAATGACTGTCAGGGAGTAGCGGTGAGGGCTACGGCAGGCGCACAGCACCTCTTGTATATAGCTTCACCTTCCTCAGACCTATCTCTTCTCTATCATCATCATCCAATACATCACATACACGGCATACAGCTCCTTGTTCCGTGATAATGACAATGCGGTAAATGTGTGAGCAGACGCGCGTGGTGAACGTCGTGGTGGTGACAACGACGGGCCGCTATGCGCTCCTTCATTCACGTTTAGTTGAACGCGCTTTTCTACGTCACGTGAACCACCGCGCACACATTTAAGCATGCCCATCCTCCCGCCACAATAGTAGTCGATCTCCACTTCCCTAGACCTGCCCATACCACTTACCATCACCGGACCTCACCACAACAGATCGAATCCCTTCATCACCTGCTCTACCGCCTCCACCGTCGCGACTCAAATACTATAGTCGTGTCTAGATCCTTCGCTACGCCCAGCAATCAAACGGCATCCCGCAAGGCACCCGAAAAGCGCTCGCCTCCACTTCTCGCATTGCCCTCAGAGCTAATTGACAACATCTGTCAAAAGCTTCCACTCGAGGATGTACTTTCATTTCGAAGCAGTTGTCGAGACATCGCGAAGAAATCAACTTACCACTTGGAGAATCGAGGCTTTAAAGAAATCCGAGTCTCTCTGACAAGCCAGTCAAGGTTGGCTTAAATCGCCTGATCGACTTTTCCACCCACGAGACTGTACCGCGACGAGTCGAAAAGATCACTATTCATACAGATGAGCTGACTCTCTTGGCGAACAGTGCAGTCCTGTATCCTGGTACCATCGACATCAACACGTGGGGACATGGAGCTTAGTTCACGATTACCGGACCAACTGCAATGATGACATCCGGAAACAACAGTATACCAAACGCTCCGAGCGTAGACATTGGTGGAAACATTTTGTCGAACCGACCATCAACATACAGGCGCAAGGCATAGTTCTGGCCATGGCCTGGATATCCCTTCTGCACTTCCGCGGTTTGAAGACGATCGAGACCAAAGATGAGATCCCACCCAACCTCCAGCACAAGATGACCACGAAGATAACCCCATTCATAGGCCCATCGGGCTGCAACAAATGTGACACAACTAGTCTGGGGAGTTGTGTGCACTTCCAACTCTTCTTAGATGCTCTATGATCGTTGAGAGGTGGCCGCCCTCACACAGCCGGTAACTTCGAATTCCTAGCCTACAATTTTCGGGTTCTACTAGAGTTCAACGAAGCTCAACACGACGCCACTTTCATTAAGTTGAAGCAACTAGATGTGCTGCTCGGCCTTGGCGACCTGAAGAAGTCGCGAAAGGAGCAATACCAGCACAACTTTCTCCGATCTGTGCTTGAGTCAGTGGCGGAATCCATTGGGACTCTTTCTATCAGTGAGCGGCATGAGGGCGGGTACATGACTCCATGCTACATGAAAGACATCACAAATCCGGCGTTCTGGCGCCCCAGCATCGACCGCCCAATCAGCCTACTGTGCATGGGCACTCAACCCAGGGCTATGAACACAAACCTACGCTTAGCCACACTCCAACTCGACGCCGTTACTATGTCAAATTACATTCTGTGTGGTCTGATCGCACTCAACTGGGATACGTTGGAAAAGGTACGCCTCGAGAGCGTGAACCTCGTGGACCGAAGCCTTGCACAATTGGATGGGGCCCCATTTTGCGAAACCTTCGAGATTGCCCACGTCTGAGCAAGCTCCTCATTCGAGCGTCAATGAAGGACAATCGCTGTGTTCTCTTCGAAGACTACGGAGGGGAAGAGGCGAGCCTCGCCGAATGGAACAAGATAGCGTAGGACTCGGGTTGTAACAGCTACAACCTAGGATCAACAACTCATACGGTTCACGGTCACCTACGTACAGCGTGGCAAGGTCCTCTGTTCAGCTACAACAGGTTCCTCTCAGCTGGGTTCGTTCCTTTCAGCTGGGTTCGTTCCTTTCAGCTAGCCTCTATTCAGCTAAGCTGATAGACCTAGGGGGTAGGCCATTTCCTATTAGTATATATTCGGCCCGTACGGCCATTACAATACAAGCAGAGTTCACATCAACAACCTGAGTGTAGGATTGGGCCCCTGGAGAGTGGTCTGCCTTTCGGACTGAGATAAAGTCGGACTTTCGGACCACGGTCGCTGGCTATACAAGCAACCGCGACCTCACCGGCTGGATCTTCGAAGACGGCGACGTAAAGAATGGTGCGAAGTACCTCGAAGACCGCCTCAAGCTCGCTCCAGTTCCAAAGACATACTTCACGGAGGAGGGGTAGACGACGACGGCAACGAGCACAGCTAATGGCGAGGTTCGCTTGGTACTTTAGGCATGTACACTGTAGACTCGAGTAGCGTCACATGGGATAGGTGCTAGGTTAAACACTTGAGTTAGACAAGGAGAGTTCAGAGTTGTCCTGGAATTGTCAGTATCCGTCAACGACACGTGGTAGTATCATCAGTAACTAGCTCAATACCCAATATGTACAAAGTGGTAAAGTGACTGCTTCCTTGGCTTTGCGCACTTGAAATTAATGGGTTCTTAACAGACTAACTACTTAGGTTGTAACGTAACAAAGAAAGCTAGAGCAGGTACGGCTAGATCAAAAGCCAAGAGATGCAGGAAGACCGTGCGCCGAGGATGGCATCCAATCGTCATGATTCGCACTCACGTGGTAATATATCGTGTGTCTCAACATACTGATTGTTGTTGTGTATGGATCACGACTTATATTAACGGGACAGGTCATTTGATTTGAGTTTAGGATTGGCTCACATCAACCGTTCATACTCGGGTTTTCTTTTAGATAATGTGATCACGACACACTTAGCTACTCGACCTTAAAAGGGTGGCGGAGCGCAAAGACCGCGCACCGGGCACAGCCTTCTCGTACCTGTAGCTTGTGCGAGCGGTGATCTACCACCAAAAATAAGGCTAAGATTCCGTCACGTGATATAAGTCTAGTGCAATTTTGGTGTTATATTGGGCACGTGACGGAACCTTGGTCTCATTTCCGGTGGTACATAGATATGAGCCGCGCCACATGTTGCTCTGCATAGTAAAACGGGGGCCTGAGCTGATCGGTGGCTGCCTTGGAATTCCTGTTACGATCATTCGCTAGCTAAGGCGGCTTCACGAGGATTCAGTCGGTGCGGGGTAGCCACCCTCTCCCTGGGGTTCCAGGCGGCAGCGTGAAACTTGACCTTTATCAGGCACATCGTCTCTTCCATTTTTCTCTTCGCTTTAATAGCTACCGAGCTCATGCAATATGCAAGAGATGGCTGCCTCATCGCGACCGCGACACGGGAGAGAACTGTGTCTTCTCTCGCTCGACGGAGGCGGTGTGCGAGGATTGTCATCGCTCTGCATCCTCGAGGAGTTGATGCGCAAGGTAGATCAGAAGAACCCGCCGAAACCATGTGACTACTTTGACATGATAGGGGGCACAAGCACTGGAGGGTAAATGCTGTACAAGTTCATTTTAGCGGGCCCGGTCAACTAAGTAGCATAGCCTAATAGCAATCATGCTCGGACGCCTGCACATGAGCATCCAAGAGTGTCGCGCTGCCTACCGCGAACTATCCGACGAAGCTTTTCGAGTCAAGGAATACACTCGGGTTGTAACAGCTACAACCTAGGATCAACAACTCATACGGTTCACGGTCACCTACGTACAGACTTGGAGTTGCTGGCATAGTAGCTGCCTACATGCCTAGCCAGTTACAACTTCTACAGAGAGGGGTTGGGGTACGGTGGCCTACCCTGCCTAATGCTGCCTACTGCTGCCTCCAATTAGTGCTTCTGCCTATGCATACAGTCACTTCCTACGTAGTATATAGTTTGGCCTTCGGGCCCCCGAAATAAGACAGAGTTCACATCAATTTTCAACCTGAGTAATACGGAGTAAAACCCACTTTGAGTCTCCCGTGGAATTGGCCTCTTGAAGCGCGCTTTGACACGGATGCACTCGAACGAGGTATCAAACGAATCATACTTTCAACGCTGAAACGGCAGCCCCAGGACGAGTCCCTCGGAGATAAAGAACTTGAAGACGCACTCCTCAAGGAAGATGATCCAAAGTGTAAAGTGTATGACCTGTTTGATTCTCATGCAAGGACCAATACTAACGCCTAGAAAAGCTTCGTGACAGCGACGAGCGAGTCAATGCCCGATGACACGACAATCCTAGCCAATTACGCATCCCCTCGATGGCCTGAAGACCTCTTGAACTCCACAACAATATGGCAAGCTGCTCGCGCTACGTCAGCTGCGTCGACCTTTTTCGAACCTATCAAAATCGGTCCCGATGAAGAGTCGTTCCTAGATGGGGCAACAGGCGCAAACAATCCAGTCCGCCAGGTATGGGCAGAAGCTGAAGATGTCTGGAAATCGGAAGGGGCATTAAGAGATAACTTGCAATGCTTCGTGTCGGTTGGCACAGGCATACCAACTGTAAAGCCCTTTGGGCGCAATCTTGCGGCAATAGGAAACACTTTGAAAAGTCAAGCAACTGAAACCGAATCAACGGCCAGGGATTTCATTCGCCACCACACGGAACTACATTCTGAGCATCGCTATTTTCGATTCAACGTACTATCTGGTCTGGAAGATATAGGCTTGGAGGACGCTGCTGCAAGACCTCGCATTGTTGCGGCCACCAGGCGATACTTGGCGGCGGAAGAACACAAGAAACAGCTTGAACTGTGCGCAAAGAATTTGCAGTCACGAGAATGTATGCATGATTTTACATCGGTCTTTAATACCATTACTCTTCCGTTAATACTAATTAAGAATCTGCTCGCTAACTTTTCATCCTCATATTTCCAGCAGATCAAATAAGTAGACCCACGGACAAACCTTGGGGTGAAATCGAAATCAAATGCCAGCAATTGCTATATACTTCACCATACAAAAGCCACAAAGAACGAAATCCGGACCGAATTGAAGGAACCTGCGAGTGGTTTCTGACACACCAATATTTCAAAACTTGGATGCAGAGCACAATTTCGAGTATACTCTGGCTATCGGCAGATCCAGGGTGTGGAAAATCAGTTCTATCAAAGTTTCTTGTGGATGTAGACCTGAAAAGTACCGAGTCACGTGCTATGTGCTACTTCTTCTTTAAGGATGACGACGTCAAGCAGAAAAGTGCGACAGATGCAGTTAGCGCTCTATTGCATCAATTGTTCATACAAAAGAGGTTTCTTATCCGCCACGCTATTCCAGCCTACCAAAGCCAAGGGACCAAACTGCAGCAAAACTTTCACGAGCTATGGGATATCCTCACAAGCGCCGCTACTGACCCTGAAGCCGGAGAAATTGTCTGTATCTTGGATGCTCTCGACGAATGTGAAGAAACGGGCAGACGGAATGTCATCAAAGCCTTGAACAAGTTCTACAACGGCCAAGCATCCGAGAAAACTTCATCTAGGCTCAAATTCCTAGCTACCAGTCGTCCTTATTTCGAAATCGAACGCCATTTTACTGAACTAACGATGGATTTACCCACCGTCCGACTTCGAGGTGAGGAGGAATCGAATCAAATCAGTAAAGAGATCAATCGCGTTATTACTTTCAAAGTACACAAGGAGATTGGACCGAAATTGGAGCTCGACGAGTCGGAAAAATCGGCCCTGGAAAATGAGCTTTTAAGCATACCTCACCGGACGTATCTGTGGTTGCGACTTATCTTCGAAGGGATTGTTCAAACACCTAATCAACGTGTTACCAAGAACACCCTGATGCGATCCATCAAAACCCTCCCTAAGACGGTAGAAGAGACATACGAGGACATCCTCAAAAGGAGCGGCAATAAAGACCAAGCACGAAAGCTTCTCTGTATTGTCGTCTCCGCTGCTAGGCCACTTACAGTACAGGAGATGAACATCGCACTGGCTTTGGAAGATAATCATAGGTCATACGAGGAGCTTGACCTCGAGCCCGAAGACAGGTTCAAAACTAGACTTAGATATCTCTGCGGTCTCTTCGTCAATGTGATAGACCGAAGAGTCTATTTAATCCATCAGACGGCAAAGGAGTTTCTCCTTGCAAAACCCGAGACAACCAGCGGTGTGTGGAAATACTCTATTGAGCCGGCTGTGTCAGAGCTTGTTATGGCAAGAACATGCATTACTTATCTCCTTTTCACCGAATTCAGCAGTAGTTTGGACATGGAAAGCGAATTACGAGCCGAGGAAATACTCGCAGACGGCCAGCGAACAGACACACATCACTACCTAGGCTACGCTGCGAGCCACTGGGCTGCCCACTTCCAAAAGGCACAAAAAAGAGCAGCAAACGGAATATTGCAATTGGTCCTTAAAACTTGTGACACACAAAGCCAGAGATTCCAAACTTGGTTCTCTATATATTGTACTCTAGTCCATCCCTACGACAAGACTCCTCATTTTACAAATCGTTTAATAGTAGGGTCATATTTTGGGCACGAGGCTGTAGTTAGGCTGCTGCTGCTGGAGGGCAAGGCCGACGTTGAGTCCAAGGACGACAAGTATGGCCGGACGCCGCTGTTATGGGCGGCCAAGAACGGGCACGAGGCTGTAGTTAAGCTGCTGCTGCTAGAGGGCAAGGCCGACGTTGAGTCCAAGGACGACACGTATGGCCAGACGCCGCTGTTATGGGCGGCCGAGAACGGGCACGAGGCTGTAGTTAAGCTGCTGCTGCTGGAGGGCAAGGCCGACGTTGAGTCCAAGGACGAGGAGTATGGCCGGACGCCGCTGTCATGGGCGGCCGAGAACGGGCACGAGGCTGCAGTTAAGCTGCTTCTGCTGGAAGGCAAGGCCGACGTTGAGTCCAAGGACGAGGAGCATGGCCGGACGCCGCTGTTATGGGCGGCCCAAAACGGGCACGAGGCTGTAGTTAAGCTGCTACAACTAGTTTACTAGATAATTTGTTTACTAACCCTCCTCCCCACCCACCGCCTTACTATATAATTTCCTTGTATACTTATTGATATGGAGGTAGAATACGCTAGAACGTGGCATTGCTTAGAAACCTGCTCGGACTTTAGAAGAGGGGCTACGGTTACCGGTGGCCTAAATTTATGCGGCAACTTGGCTGCGCTTACCGGGTGGGTGCTAACCCGCTCCGGTTACACCCTTGTGGATTGCTCCGAATTGCACAGGAGTGGGAGGGGCTGATTGTAGGGGAGCAGGGCGCGGCACGCTTCATAAAATCACTAGTTGCAAAAGTCACAGTACCACCTTGTTTGACGCTTTAAATAGTTGAAGAAATTTAAGACGTGCTGATAAAGCTGGAGGGGCAACTGAAAGTCGCTAGCGAGCATATGCAATGAGGGAACAGAGAATCTCTTTCCGAACCTGTCGTATTATCTTCAAAGAAATGGGGTTATCGGTACTCAACCAGCTTTTTCCATTGCTATTTCTTGAACAAAGGGCTTTATCTCATTCATATCCCAGACACATCTTATACGAGCTTATGCTCTTAATAAAGACGCCTTGTGTAGCCCCTTGCCTAAGTCTCGGGACTGAGTGCGTCCTTTCCTCGCTGAAAACTGCAGAAGCAATTGTGAACCAAAGCAGAGGCTGCTTGACTAGTAAGGTTAAGATTATCATAATAATCATCGCTCACCTAGTCCCACGGGGTCTTCCGGACTTGTGGCCTTTGCAAAAAGGGTTGGTGTAAGACTTGGTATATACTTTAGAGAGGGACATTTGGACTCAAGGAGGGGCGCGGGTTTTACATTTTAGTGGGCGGTTGGAGAGAAGACAGATCTCAGCCGCAAGAGTTGGGGCATTAAACGCAATGGGACTTGTAGCATCTATTGCAAACGGCGACCATCATCAATCTTGAGAAACGCTTAATCCGATTACTAATCTTGGAATCTTAAGACGCAGGAGGTATCGCGAATAGCTTGTGTATAGTTGTATTTAGCAGTGGACAAATTTGAGGGTGACTAGACGGTGTTTGCGGGGAGTGAAACCACGAGTTTGAAAAACTGAGCAATCTTTTCGTCCTCATTTGGAGAATACAAAGCCATTGTGTCGCTGTCAAAGAAACCCAACTACGTGCTTTCCGCGTTTTGTCCCGCAGTACAAGAACAATGTGCTGTCAGATGTGGCCCAATGACGACCGCTTCCGTCAATGCCCTTCCAAACGGTACAGGTCCGAAACTTGCTCCTCCATCTTTTTCAATAATTCGACAGCAGCTTCTCTTCTCAGTGCGTGACCCTTGGACTCAAGATGAATCCCGCCCTCTGGTTTAGTCCCGAAGGCGGGATCATCGATAGCGACCACAATAACTTTCCAGCTTCCACAACCGGGGGTGTCTGTGCCATCCGGGTCCGTCGGATGCCATGCAGAGGCCACTTCGATCGTGCCACGATGTCTAAACAGAACTTTTGCGTTATCTGTGGAGTCACCTTTAGATAGGTCTTGCGTTAGAGAGAAGATACTTACTGCTGATCATCTCCATTACTTCATTAGTGCTTTCGTCCCTGGCGGATGAAGTGAGATTACTCGACATCGTGATGATATTCCGTTGCGCGCTTTATCAATTGCGAATGAAGAGTGATGTCTGCGAGGGTGAGTAGGAGCTTTCTATATATAGTTCTCGTGTAAGTTTGATGGACGTTGGGGTTGGGGTTTCTAGCAAATGCACGCACGTGTGTCGAGTTACTTGTTAGATTGATTGCTTGAAAAGTTTTCCTTCCACGAAAATCCCAGCACTACGATCTCCCTCCACTGATCAATCTCCAAGTTTGAAACGGTGCTCTCCAGAAGACTCATTTTCGAATTTGACCTTGTAAATTTTGGTCTCTAGCTGAACTAGAAGAGATGCAGCAACTCCCCACCTGGATGACGCTTTGACAGGACCGCAGCACGTCTTCGAAACCGTCTCACCATTCATGATCCACCGTTCCTCGATTGAAGCCCACCATTCACCGTGGAGTGATCCGTCAGCTATGATAGAGGGGTTTCGCCCCGTGATAACATGGAGAGAATGGCTTGAGTTGGCGGGAGCGTAAAGCCATCGAGCGCGACCTAATCATTCCGTCAGCGTGTTGAAATCTTGGATGAAATGGAACTGACTGAGAGCCATGCCGAGCAGTTGACTGGACGTCAGATTGGTCTCATACTCTGCCAAAAGCTGAATTCCTGGCATCCCGTTTTCATCCATGATAGGAGGCATTGAAGTTGAGATGAACAAATCTTATCTATATTGACCTCATTGTGTGAATGAACAAAAGCAAGATGCTTGATATCAAACATGCCATTCTATGCGTGTGCAGTTTGAACGAGGTGTTGAACAAGACGAGAACGCGTTTGAGTGTCAATCAGGAGCGCTCAGGGGATCCGCCATTTGCCTTCGCGTAGAATAAGCGGATTCCAGTAGTTTCCTAGATGCTAGGTATGCCGGATATCCAAACGTGCTCACAAATAAGGTAGAGATCGACTCTTCCAATTAATGCAAAGGCAGGATGGAGTGAGGTTGTGGTACTACTCTATTTTAAGATGAATCGATCTCGGCCCCACAGTCGTTCCGTCCGATCCTCAGCCCTACGGACTTGGCAGGGTCCATCTCCATGACCTCACGACATCCATTCCATCCCATCTCTCCCGTCCCATCTCCTCCCTCTCACCATACATCCAATTACCTACAATCTATCTTAATCAAAATGCTCCGCCCATCTCCCTCTTGCCCTGTTGACCTGCTCATCCTCGGAGCCGGCTGGACTTCTACCTTCCTCCTCCCGCTGCTTTCTTCCGCGCACGTCTCCTATGCCGCGACCACGACCTCGGGCCACGACGACACCATCCCTTTCCGCTTTGACCCTGACTCTTCCGACAAAGCTCCATACGAGCGGCTGCCCAAAGCCAAGGTCGTGCTCGTGACGTTCCCTCTCGTCGGAACGGGGCAGAGTAAGCACCTAGTGGGGCTATACGAGAGCATCCACGGCAAGGAAGCGAAGTGGATACAGCTGGGCGCGACTAGTATATGGAACGAGAAGAGCGCGCGTGCAGGAGAAGGCGGCTGGGCAGACGAGAACTCGCCTTACGATACGACCAATAACCGTGCTGTTGCCGAGGACGAGCTGCGAGGCCTCGGTGGGGTGGTCCTAAACCTGGCCGGGCTATATGGAGGGGAGAGGGTTCCCGCGAGGTGGCTAGGGAGAGTGGTAAAGACGAAAGAGGAAGTCCGCGTGAAGGGCTGCGTGCATTTCATCCACGGCGCTGATGTCGCGAGAGCGATCCTGGCGGTCACAGAGAGGCTGGCGGAGGGTGGCCCGAAGTGGATAGAAGGGAGGAGGTTTATCATTGCGGATCTGCATGTATATGATTGGTGGGATCTTACAATGGCATGGGGAGGAAAGAAAGACGACAAAACAAACGCAGATGAGGAAACGCCGCCATATTGCGAATGGGTAGGCGAGCTGATGGTAGAAACCGGGGTGAAGGCCCTACCAAGGGCTCCTGAGCTACTGGGAAGGAAGCTTGACTCGAGGAGATTCTGGAGCGAAATGGGAGTATGGCCTCGGGAAGGGAGGTTGGCGTAGGTGTATTTTCGTTGCTCAAATATCAAACTGCTATTCAGTTTTTAGCCGCAAAGGTGTATCGGGGCATCTCAAGCAGCGGCAGAACGGTGTATACAGAACTAGGCATCTGCGAAATCCTTCTCTCTGTATCCCGATCTCATCCTCCTCTTCTTTCTATAATGTCGACTGCCTCATAAAGAACGCGTTGTACTCGAGATGGGAAGCACGCGATCCTCAAAATCACGTATAGCTGCTCCAAATTGAGTCGCCCCATCTGTTTCGAATTATCAAACAGTATACGTGTTTCAGCGGAGTCGCTGGTATATGGGTGGCGGGTGGAGTAATTCACCTGTTCCCCAAGGCGGATTAAAAGAGGGCGTGACACGCAGGCACTTCACGGTTGGTGAATCGATGGCGTAGCCGCATCTGAGCTACATCTCTGTGAGATGCTCACCCCCTCTCCAACCATTCCTCTTACTCTTCAACGGCTCCCACCCCACACCTGTGTCTCTAGCGCAACACACATACAAACTCACATACTCACCCGTAGCCATGGCCTCTGACGAATCCGACATCCTTGACCTGCCGATGCTCAACATCCGGGCTCACCGCGAACCCGACACCTCCGAGAGGCCGCACGCGGCAATCGCGAAGAATACGGCCGTTCGAAATCTATTGAAATATCCGCTAGCAGACTTACCGCCAAAGTCTAGCCCTTTTCGTGCGACTCGATATCACGACACCTTGCAGAGCCAATTTGGGAGTGCTGCGAAGAACGCACTACCCCGACCACCGAAACATGCCCCGAAAATCGACGAGCTTGTGGAATTCAAAGGATACTTGGTACCCTCCGGCACGGATTACATCGATGGCCAAGGCCCGCTATTATTGAGGCGCGAATCAGTTGTTGGCGACCTTACGGATCTGCCGGTGAATGAGATTTTCGAAGACATCTTGAGGCAGTGGGACACGCATGTCGATTTGGGGGAGAACGGGTTCGATAAGAAGCTATGGCTATGCGAGTATTGCGGACCAAAGCATTTGCAGACCGGCGGCTACGTGGTCGACCACCTCAAGCAGCAACACCAGGATGTCCTCGAACGATGCAAGCAGGATGTGTTTGCGTTAAAAATAGGCTTCGACATGCGTCCCCGCAGTCCAGCTTTGAAGATACCGGACGACGTAAATTATTGCGAGCACGCCATAATATGGGACGTGGACGAGTTCCAGTCGATCACTGCGCGGCCTTTCCATCGCCATCTTTCGTTCGAGGAGCTAAGGATGGCTGAATACAGCCTAGGATACCGATTCGGTCGTCTGGACCAGCCGATTCCCCCGCCGCATAGCGAACGTGTTAGACGACAGGTGCCATGCTGCTCACAGCCAAACTATCACGGGGTTATGGCTTTGGAACGTGAAGAACTTCAAAGCATCACTGCCTTCGAGGCTTTCAAAGACGTTTCGTTTGAAGAGCTTCGAATGCGGGACTACGAAGAAGGTCGACTCTATGGAATTCTGGGTCGCCCGAAACAAAAAGAAGCCGTTCACACCCCGCATCCAATAGCTGAGAAGATTGAGGCAGAGTTCGACAAATTGGCTGTTGGCGTGGTTCCCTACAGGAGCCGAATCTTGCTCCGACACATCCTGGATCAGGTCGAGGATAGTATCGCGTTTTGTTCAGCGCGCACGACGAGCAGGGCCAAGGAACCTGATTGGGCCTATGTTGACATGTACAGCGGACGACCTCGAGGAGAGACTTTTCGCCCACCGGCGGCGTCACTTCCTTCTCATACTAAGAAATCCATCAGCACCTGGTTTGCGTTCCAAATGGACAGCCCGCTGGCTACTAAAACACCACATAACAGCTCGTTGAACGCCTCCGACTGGTTCTTGCATACACTGCTGAAGATGCTCGGCAATTATTTAGTAATAAACCTTAGCTCTCCGTATGCTACGCCGGGTCCCTCGAAGCGCATTCTCTTCACGGACATTGAGGTTATTGACGACCCGCCAATGCACGTCTGGAATGACAAACAGGATGCTCTCTTTGTCAGAGGCCGTGGTACGTTCTGGGCTGGAGCAACCCCGGGATTGACATGGCTACCTGCGTTGAATGCCACGCGGGCACAATTCGACAGGCCTCTTCTTGACTCCAGAAATCATAATGTGGCGCTACTAGTCACCGGTATTGTTGTGGAACAAACGGACGTAAGCTTTGGAGACTGGATAGGCTCAGGGTGGATGTTGCGGAACGAAACGTTTGGTATTAGACCCAAACTTGGCCGAACAATAGGGTCTTCCTCGACAAGCCCTACGAGGAGGCTCCATTTTATCCCCGATTCGTCACTACAGTACAGGGACCTGTTGACTTCTCGCTTTTCATTTGGCCCACAGCGTGCACGACTTCTCGAAATTCCTAAAGAAGTCCGGCTTCACATCCTCGACTACCTCTTGCGTCCATCCATGACCCAGCCAGTGGATACCACGCGACGCAGCGTCCTCCATCCCGCCATACTGCGCGTATGCAAACAGCTGCAGGACGAGGGCTCCGCCGTGTACTCAAAGAACACATTCGCCATCAAAGAGCGCACGACCTGGACCCACCTCTACCCCCAACTCGACCTCTCCCGCATCGCAAACTTAGGCACAATTAAACCCAACATCAAGCACATCGAACTAGCCGTAACCCTCGTCAACTACCGCCCCCTCGGCTACCTCGCCGCCGACCAAGGCCACCTCGACAAGACCTGGTCCTTCGAGCACACCCCGGAGCTCGTCTTCGCCTACACGAGCCGTAACCACCCGCCCCTAAACGGCAACAAATGGCCGTTCTTCCTCGCGCGCACCGACCCAGACAACTTCGCCGCCGACCTGCGCGCGCTGGTCATGCAGCCGGAGTACCGCCTCGCCAACGCCGCGTACATGCGCCTCGACCACCGCGGCCTCTTCAACCCCCCCGTCGGCCTCGGGGTCGTCAACGTCGAGACGCTCGCGCTGGCCTGCGCCGGGATCGAGAGGTGGATGTTCGGGATGGAGTTCGCGGACGGCGCGCGCGCGGCGGCGTTCCGGACGTACCCGCTCGCAGCGCTGCTTGCGTCGGTCGTGGCGGTGCGGCCGCCTGTGAAAAAGATCATCTTGCGGAAGCTTGGCGCGGCGAAGGGGGAGCTGGAGGCGCTGATGGTGTATTTACGGGGCGGGGCGGCGACGCCGAGCAGCGTGTCGCTGTGGCATAGTTTGAGCATTTGGAACTGCGCGGGCACGCTGGGGCTGGAGCGGCGGTTTCCGTGGCATGATGGGCGCACGCGGTGGGGGAATATTGCGTGGACGGAGTGGAGTAAGAGGGCGTGGAGGGTGCTTTTGGTGGAGTATGAGTGGGTGTTTGAGGCGTAGGGGGTGGATAGGGGATAGGAGATGGTGGTACTGCGGACACCGCTTTGCCAGTGTTGGGGGTCCTTCAGCGAGCTCTTAGAAATTCAAAGTATACTGTTTGGAGCGGTCTTTGGACTGACTGAGGCACCACATGCAGAACTGTAATGGGGTATGCGCGATGTAGATATCACGTGACTGATGTGGAAGGTGGGTCCGCGAACCATGGATCCGACGCTCGAAGGTCCCAAGGGACATGTACCGCACACAAATATACTTATTCGAAACGTGTTCTTATCTAAATGTGCTAACCTTCACCACAGACCACATACCGCAAGATAACGCCGCACAACACCACCCGAAAATCCCACGCACATCCATCATGGCTACGATCATCAAATGGGAGCCATCGTCCAAGGCGGATCTCCACACCTTCTCCTTCCTCGACGTCCCCGCCGAGATCCGCCACGAGATCTACCGCGCCGGCGTCGTCGCGCTCCCGAAACGCATGGTGGGCCACGTCGCGCTCTTTGCGCCAGCGGGCGCAAAACCTTTTCCCAGGTGGTCCCGGATGCAAGATGACGAGACAGAAAGCCGTCAAAAAAAGATCCAGGCCCCGCGTTACCTCATCCACGACTCCAACGCCATCATGGAGAAAATGGACTCGCCCGTCGTCGAGTTCTTCACCATTAACCGCCAGATTACAGCCGATGCGCAGCAGCTCTTTTACAAAGAGAACGTCTTTTGCTTTGACAAGGTCATGAACTTACCGTGGGCGGACTACAAAATCGCGCCTTCCGCCGCTCAGCTCATGCGGACCGTCGAATTCAAGATTGGGCACGTAAAATTCGATCGAACCGGGCATGGTCCCTTATATTATTTGCTGTTTCGGCAGTTGACGCTCAAATGGCATCTTCCTACTGTACGAAAGGCCACAGTGATCTTCGATACGGAGACAGTGGCCTGGCACGGTATGGCCTGCAAGCTGCAAAAGGAATTGCTCAGTAGGACCGGGTCTGTGACTGAAGAAGGCGCTTTCGAGGGGGTTGTGGCCGCTTTCAGAACGATGCTACGCTTTTATGAGGTGAACGCTGCTCGACTCTGGGCGGGGGTGGATGTCGAGTTTCGGCCGCACCTCCTGCAGGTCTGCCCGCATGGGCTTCAGTTCTATCGCCAGAAGCTCCATCCGCAGCACGCAGGAGTGAGTGACGACCTACTCCGAAAGTATATCACTCTACAACGGCTCGTTCATGCTCTGAGGATGGACGCAGCACAACGATTCCAGGCAGCTCAATCAGCTCAGTCGCCTATGCAACATTTTGATGATACGGCCACATTTTGTACGAACGCGTTGGACACATCGCCGAGACCGGTTATTGATTTGAGGGAGGTGTGGGCAGAGGTGAAAAGGAGTTGGGATTGAAGGGGACGGGTTGACCGCTGTTCGGCGCTATTGGGCTATATCAGCTTGCTTCCTAGTAAATAGTCCCTCACCGTGTAGCTGAAGACTCTACTAACCATCCGCAGATGAGTGTTCTTTCCGACTCTCACGCTCCCCCCCCCCCCCTTTCCCCCTTTTATGATGACCGGTATCCGGCCGATACCCCATCAGCAGCTGCTTCCCTGCTCATCCCTCTTCCCCTCGCGATCAATCCCATCCCCACGGCAATTTGACAGCAACGTAACGAGTAGCACGACCTAGAGCAGAACTATCGCCGCGAAAACACGAGGAGCACTGATCAGGTCTTCGCAATCGTAGCTGAGGTGGAGCGGGCGGCAGTGGTCGAGGAGATTCAGCCTCGAGACTCCGTTTTGGAAATACTGAACCTGGGTTCCCGGTGGATAGGAATCTGGGATTAGTAGGCGCCCTTTGTAGACAGAGGGGCGGATGGTGTGTAGGTGGGGGTAGATAGCTCGGAGAGAGGAGAGAGATTTAGCTGGAATCGCCTTACCATCTAGAACCTCGATGACGCCACTGTTGAAACCAGTAGAAGTTCTATTGATAGTATTGACGCTACCTAGGTTCGTACGCATTAGCCTACCGAAGGAAGGAGTATAGCTATGTAGACTCCCTCTCCTCCGGACGTTTTCCGAGGGCTAATTAATCTATACCTAGGTATAACCCAATTTCTTTATCCGCCCTAAAGTAGCATCCACCCACATCGTTGCCTTGTCGAGCGTCTCAATCTCCCACACCTTTCCTCCCACTTCCACCGTCTTCGGAAAGCCTTCGTGCGGCCAGACCATCCGAAATGCTTTCAACGGCGTGGTGATAGCCTTAACTGGCTCGATGATCTGAGCTTTGAATTCCTGCAACCTTTCAAGATCAGGCCGCATCAATCCGTCCTGTGCCAGGTCAACGTATACGGTTTGCAGGCCTTTCATGGACGCAATGACCTTCCAGGCGAATTCCCACTCTTCTGTTAAGCGTGAAGGTGGGTCGAGACTGACCCAAAAGTCGGGCACCCAGAAGAGGGAAAGAGAGCGAATAGCGTGAAAGCGTTGGGGAAGCAGAAGGTCTGGGAGGATGACGAGCGGTCCTCCTGCGTCATGGCGAAAAGCGAACGAGTTGGACGAGTAGAGAAGATCTATAGCTTCCGAGTAGCTAAGAAGATGTCAGATTTGAGCCTCTAGTACGATGACAGATGAACTCTCTTGCCAGCGTAGGAACTAAGGAAAGCTCTTACATCATTCTACACGATAGCAGTAGCGGCAACGGATTCATCGTTTTTCTCGCCCCTCTGCGCTTCAAGTACCGGCAGCCACATTTGCCTTGCTCAGGTTCAGGACACAGTGTATGACTGAACAGATACGGCAACGGATTCGCCGTTTTTCTTATCCGTCTGCATGTCAAGTACCTGCAGTACCGGCAGCCACACTTGCCAGACTTAGGTTCAGGACACAGTGCATGACCGACCACATATCTGTGATCTCTGATCTCAAGATGAATAACTGACTTTCCAATTGCTTCTTCATAGATCATTTTCCGTATCTCCAGAGGCAGTCTCGAAAAGAGCGGCGACTGAACTTGCGGGTTGTTGCTTTGCTTGGTGTTGGATGGTCTGCTCGGCGATGGTGGCCGGGTGAGAGCACGTGGGCGGTGCTTTAGTAGACCAAAAGGAAACCTGACTTCTGGGCCTACACCATTCCAGAAAGTGGTAGTCCTCTCAAAGCAGTACTGTGTACGCTGTGTTGCTCGTAACCTCTGCTCGGACTCGGAGTGCAACAGCGAGTCAAGTCTACAAAATACCCTGGAGGCCCGGCCATAAGGTGGAAAGCGACATGCTGCACGATGGGCGAGGAAATGATTTAGCCCGTCGAGAGTGCCGTATATAGGATCGTTACAAAAAGTGCAGGTTTTGTGGGGATGAGGTGATGGCATGCCGTCCATTGTTAATGGTCTTCCTGGGATGCTTGAGAACACGGCTCGCATATGTTAGGCACTGGTGGTCATCTGCCGGTATGCGTTTGACGACGGGCCACAGTTCACGAGGTGTTGAGAGACATCAGGAACGTGAAGTGCAGCCTGAGATGGTCTGCTTGGCTAGTTCTGGGGGCTGTTTCAGATAAAGTGTGGCTGGTGAGCAGCGCCACAGACAGTGTGGCAATTGACATTAAACCTTGGATCGGGAAGACATTCCAGTTGCCATCAAAGACAATGCATAAATAACAAGCACTTGGTTTCGCATAAGGGAAGCGAACTAGGGCTGCAATGTGTTCGAAATAGTGTGACGACGAAAACAGAATGCTCACATGCGCAATGGCAAGCCTGAGACAAAGTTGTATCCTTCGCGACTTGCAGTCCGAAAATGAGGGTGGCGGAGCTAGAGGATTACAGTTTGCAGCGCTGGGCTTCTCGGGCGCATCGACAGTGAATTGGTCGATGTTGGGTCGACGAGAGCTTGAGATGGATACAACGATGCCCCTTGGCCCATCAGGCCACAGATGAACACGCCAAGGCCGGCCGGAAGAACCCACGCCGAAGAATCTCGAAATTGGCATCGCGATCACATTTCAACCACTCCTCCAGCCATCCATCATGGGCAAAAATACCGACAAGCTCTACATCACTCACTCGGAATGGGCCTCTGAAGACTCGTTCGGCACCAGCCGCGGCTTCAACGCGTCAAAGTCCAAGGCCGTTGGCTCCTCGTTCAAGCGGCTACCCTTCAACTTTTGCGCCGTCTCCCTCCAGCCCTTCACCGATCCCGTCTGCACCGCCGCAGGCACTATCTTCGACCTCACCCATATCCTCACCTGGCTCCAGAAGCATGGCACAAACCCCATTGACGGCTCACCGCTGAAACGCGCGGACCTCATTACCCTCAACTTCGCGAAGAACGAGGACAACGAGTACGTGGACCCGGTCACGTACAAGGTCTTCACGGATAATACTCACATTGTCACGCTGAAGAATACCGGGAATGTCTTTGCCTGGGACACGGTCGAGCGGCTGAACATCAAGGCGAAGAACTGGCGCGATCTGGTCAGCGATGACGAGTTCTCGCGCAAGGATATCATCACGCTGCAAGATCCGCAAAATATCGAGTCGCGGGATCTGAGCGCATTCAAACATATCAAGGATGGGGAGGTTTCGGCGCAGGTTCCCGAGGAGAGCAACGTAAACGCGGACGCGCTCGGGAGTGCTGGGAAGATTTTGCGCGCGAAGGAAGCAGTCGCAAAAGCTCGCACAGACAGGCAGGCAAAGGCTCAGGCCAGCAATGATGCCGTTGCCGTTGCGAAAGCAAAGAATGCGACCGCGACACACTCCGCAGCGCAAGGATCGAAACCGAAGCCTTACAATGCCGCCCAATACACCACCGGCAAAGCTGCCGCGTCTTTCACCAGCACCGGCTGGACGCCACATACCTCGGCCGAGCGCGCCGTCCTGTCCGAAGAAGACTACATGCTGCGACCAAAGCGCGTAAAGCAGAAAGGATACGCGCGCATCTCCACGTCCCTTGGCGACCTCAACATCGAACTCCTCCCTGAATTCGCCCCGAAAGCCGTGTGGAATTTCGTACAGTTGGCGAAAAAGGGATACTACAAGGGCACACTATTCCATCGGAATATTAAGAACTTCATGATCCAGGGCGGTGATCCAACTGGCACAGGAAAGGGTGGTCAGAGCTGCTGGGGCAAGCCATTCAACGATGAGCTCGAAGGACCGCTATTGCACAACGCAAGGGGAGTTATAAGCATGGCGAATAAGGGCAAGAACACGAACACATCGCAATTTTTCATCCTGTATCGGCAAGCATCGCATCTGGACAGGAAGCACTCCATCTTTGCCAAGGTTGTTGGAGGGCTGGACACCACTCTCACAGCCATGGAGAATGCTAAGACAGGAGAGAAAGATAGGCCGGAAGAGGATCTCATGATTCTGGATGTCGTGGTTTTTGTGGATCCATTCGAGGAGTTTCGAAAGGAGCGATCGGAAAAGGAGGACAAGGAGAGGGAAGAGGAGGAGATCCGGCTACAAGGAGGAAGAGAGGACGATAAGACTACATGGACGGGGAAGAGGATTAGACCCGACGGAAAAGTCGAAGCTGCAGGAGGTGGACCGGGAGTAGGGAAATACCTCAAAGCGGCGATGCAAGATGGCGGAGCGTCCAAGGCGGAAGACGAGATCATTGGGCACTGGGATGAAGTGGAGCAGCCGGCCAAGAAGAAAGTCAAGTCTGATGGCTTCGGCAATTTCGACAGTTGGTGAAGCAAGTAGCGGCGAACCACGATGTTTTGCATAGCGTAGGAGTTACGGCGTTACAACTTCAAATGCAGCATTCAACGGCATCTGGGATTTGATCTCTATCAATTCAATGCGCATGAAATTTCTTCTTCTCTCATGATCAATTCTAGATGTTTCCATTTTCCGGTGCGAGCAGACATCTGAAGAGGGAGGGTCTTCAGGTGCTAAAGGAGTTTTTCATCACATCACCATACCTTCTAGAATTTGTTCCAATGTCGATTCCAAAGTGTCCAGGAGTGTATCAGGGAGTGCTTACGGATGTGCGACATGCCCGGTATGTGCCGGCATCTAGTGTTTATCACGTGACCTTTTAATTCTCACCTGATACTTCATGCTGGACCCAGTTCATCCACATCACTCTATTCTCTATTTCCAGCGGGCGTTCTCTTCCTTCTTATAGCCAGGATGCTTACCCCGCCATTAACTTCCTTATCAAAAACACTCTTTGCTCTGTTTTTCGGCGACTCGTTGGCTACTATTCAACTTCCGCAGATCTTAACAGATCTCCTGATGGCCCCACCAATATTCCACTCTCAGCCTCACAACATCCGACGGCGCCATCCAATGGCCTCTTTACTCGGCTCAGATTGTCAGGTCACGACACCGTGGCCCCTGCCGTGACGTCTGCCGACCCCGCCGGTGCGCGTCCTTTTAACCCCTCAACGCGCGCCGTCGCACACCTCTCCTTGGCCTGCATCGTCCTACCTCAACGACCTCACGTCTACTAATGCCAATTGCACCTCTCAATATCAAAATGCTCTCTCGGTCCTCGGCCTTCACGCTGTTGCGAAACACCGCCAAACATGCCACGCTCACGCCCCTCCCCACCAAATCCTTCTCCATGTCCGCACGCACCCTATCCACGATGAACGCCCTCGTCTACAATGGCCCCAACGCCGGCGTCTCCCTCACCACGCGCCCCAAACCCACCGCCAGCGCCGCCACCGACGCCGTCGTCAAAGTCACCCACTCGACCATCTGCGGCACCGACCTGCACATCATCAAAGGCGACGTGCCCACGTGCGCGCCCGGCACCATCCTCGGCCACGAGGGCGTCGGCGTCATCGAGTCGACGGGCGCCGGCGTGTCCGCCTTCAAGCCCGGCGACCCCGTGCTGATCTCGTGCATCTCGGCCTGCGGCGCGTGTGCGTACTGCCGGCGCGGCATGCCCTCGCACTGCGCGTCGGGCGGCTGGATCCTGGGCAACTCGATCGACGGCACGCAGGCCGAGTACGTGCGCATCCCGTTTGCGGAGAACAGCCTGTACAAGATCCCGCCGGGCGTCGAGCCGGCGACGATGGTCATGCTGTCGGACATCCTGCCGACGGGGTTCGAGTGCGGCGTGCTGAATGGGAAGGTCGAGCCCGGCGCCAGCGTCGTGGTGGTGGGCGCGGGGCCGGTGGGGCTGGCGGCCTTGTTGACGGCGCAGCTGTATTCACCCGGGATTCTGATTGTGATTGACCCGGATGAGAATCGGTTGGCGGTTGCGAGGGCGTTTGGCGCGGAGTTCACGGGCACGCCGGGCCAGGCGGAGGAATTGGTGAGGGAGGTTACCGAGGGGAAGGGGTGCGATACCGTGATTGAGGCTGTGGGGATCCCGGCGACGTTTACGCAGTGTCAGGAGCTGGTTGCGCCGGGGGGCGTGATTGCGAATGTGGGCGTGCATGGGGTGAAGGCGGATCTGCACTTGGAGAAGTTGTGGGATCGGAACGTTTGTGAGTATTGCCCTGTTGCTTCTTGGTGAGGCGGAAGGAGGGGCATCTATGCTAATGTGCGACGGTTAGCGATTACGACCCGGTTGGTCGATGCGGTGACGACGCCTATGCTGCTGAAGCTTCTGGCGGCGAAGAAGCTGCCCGCGGACAAGCTGATTACGCATACGTTCCCGTTCAAGGACATGGAGAAGGCGTATGGCACGTTCCAGGCGGCGGCGGAGAATAAGGCGCTCAAGGTTATCATTGATATGTAAAGAGCGGGCAAGAGGATATGCTGCGGCTCCTGGACTTGGGAGTATGTTCGGAGTGGGTTTCGGTTGGGGAATCGGCCGTGTACGATAAGAGGAATAGGAATTGAAAGCTTGGGAAACCTGCTTGCTGGGCCGCCCCAGACGGCGGTACCTGGTGACTAGATTCTAAAGGGTGGAGCGCAGAAATGAATGCCTCGTACAGAGACCTGAGAAGCTATCCATGGGCCGAAGCGATGAACCAAAGCGAATATGCTGAGAATCGTCGTTTGTGAGTCATCACGTGATGTGTTTGTTGGAATCTCACAGCAATCAGGTACTGTGTAGTACGTACCCAATACACTCAATCCTGCAGCAGAGGATCCGATCCCCGTATATAAGTATCTTAAGCGGGACCTTTCCACTAGACTAACCAACGCCAGTGCGCCATTCGATCATTTTTGACGACACCATGCCGTTGAACGAGACGTCAGCGCAGCGAATGCACTCCAGTGCAACATACCCCCCTACAACCTCTCAAACTCCATTCCGCGCCCTCGGATCCGCCTCCCACTCCTCCCGCTCCATCCGCGCCATCAACCCATCCACCAGCGGCTTCACCATCCGCATATACACCTCCTCCCCCATCACGGGCTTCGGCGCCCGCGCCACCATCTCAAACGTCTCTCCCACCTCATCAAACCCCCACTCCCACCACACGCGCTCCAGCGCCGGCGGCACGCGATCGTACCGCTCCTTGTGGTCCACCTTCAGCATCAGCCCCACCAGCCGATTAAACCACGTCCCGAACCCGCCCTGCACGTTCGCGCGGTTCCGCACAAACACGATCCGCCGCACGCCCCGCAGCCGCCGCAGCAGCCCGACCAGGTCGGCCGTGAAGTCGGCCGCGTAGTGCGTGTAGCTGCTCGCGTGCAGGACGAGCGTCAGGGTGTCCAGGCGCAGCGTGCGGATGACGGCGAGGTCGACGGCGCCGTCCGGGATGGGGACGTCGAAGGGGTGCGCGCGCCATTGCACCAGCGAGCGGAGTTGGCGCGGGCCGACTACCCACGCGAGGTTCCGGATGGAGGCGATGAGGGGCGCGGGGAGGGGGAGGAGGAGCGAGGGCAGCGGGGAGTAGAGGTCGCGCGTGAGGAAGTGCGTGTGGGTGTAGGCCGGGATGGCGAGGTCGTGGTAGACTGGGGTGCGAGGGGGGTTAGCTGATGAAGGTTCGCGATGAAGAGTTGGAAGGAAATGAAAGGTGGGTGTGAGGATTGATGGGCAGGGTATTTTTGAGAAGGGTTGATGATTGGATTGGGCTCTCACGTACATTGACGGCAGGTTAGAAGGATGGAAAGGGCCGTGGTAACTGTGTGCTCGTCGTCAAGATAGATCCCGCCGGGGCGGTTGCGGTGGAGGAAACCATCGCGGGAAAAATCGGGACCATTGACGACGTAGGAGAAGATTTGGTTCCGCAGTTCGGCGGGAAGGGCGAGAAGGGTTGGGGGTGTACTTGACATGGTGGATGTAGATAGATGGTTGTTGAGGGATTAAGGGGTCTAATTTGGGACCTTGGAAGGATTTAGGGAAGCGGCCAATGAAAGTGATGGGTGTAGATAGAGCTTATGAACTCTAGGTGCTCTTAGTGGATACTATCAGAGGTCATTGATATTTCAGGATAAGGTTGAAGTTATATTTGGGACTTGCAGTGGCATAAGAGATGCGGCCCTTGTCGATTTGGACAAATCGCGGGGTATAGTGGGGAAGAAGATCACGTGGACAAACACACCCATCATCATTCCGCGAGGTTACGAGAGGTAACTATATATGCAAGCAAGAAGTAACATTAAAGTTAGTTGTATGCAAGATGTATGGCTGGGTATTTTTAGGTCGTCCTCCATTTCAGGCTTAGTGTCGAATCCTGGGCACCATTGTACACAACGTCCATCCGTCAGCACTCATCTCTCTTCCATCTGTAATACCACAACACCAGGATGACTTCCTCATTAGAGCTTCTTCCACAAGAGCTCTTGGAAGAGGTATGTCTCTATGGCACATTGGAAGACCTGCGAGCTTTGCGGCTCGCCTCCCGCGAGCTGCGTCGGAAGAGCATCTACATCTTCGGCTCAAGATACCTCCACAGCGTCTCAGCAATGATATCACCGTCTAGTCTCAACGCTATCCAAGAGATTGCAGGTCGAGAGGAACTGCAACAACATGTTCAGGATGTCACCATCGGCCCAGAACGACTCAGCAGCAACCTCCCGGTCGAGCCTTTGAGGACGTCCTACAAAGCGCGACTCGCGGCCCAGAACGAATTTGAGAGCAGAGGGGATGACCACCGTCTCCTGGCCGCTATCTTTGCGAGCCTACCCAACCTACGGTGGATCCGCGTGGGACCCTGGGGTCAGATGTGCTACGACCCGTACTTTCGGCCAAAGCTCAGCATAGGCGCAAAAGAGATTAAGAAAACCTACTTTCGCCCTTCGAAGGCGGACCACAGCACTCTGAAAGTCTTGCAACAGTTCCACAATTACGACAACGATCACGCCTATCGCGAATTTGGCGTTGTGTTTAAAGCCCTGCGCGCCAGCGGAATCAGCAGGCCGCTTCTCGACCTTCACCTTTGCGCCCGGGATCCGCACGTAGAAAAGTATGAAGTCCCCCAAAGAGAACCATTTGACCTGGATAGTCGTGACTGGAAAGCCGTCCACCCACTCCTTCGCGCCGTTCACATCAGCCTACTGAGATGGGAGCATCGCTTTTCCCTCCCTTGGCTGCAGCAGTTTCTTCCTGTTCTTCCCGAACATCTCGAGCAAATTATCATCGAGCACTACTTTAACGCCGTTCACGACGGGCAGGGCAGGGTCAACTCCCTACATCTGCTCAGCCAAGGCAATCTACCAAATCTCACCCGCCTGGTCGTCGATTTCTACTACGCGCCGGAAGAAAAGGACTTGAATGCGCTTCTGAAAATGCTTTCTCCCTCACTCGAAACTCTTGTTTTATCACAATTTCATTGGGGCTATAGGAGTGATGCTTCCTGGCATGGCATCTTCCGCACCATCATGGGCATGAAGTCGCTGAGGGCAGTTCACTTGTATGAACTAGAAGCCTTTGGTTCCCAACCCGGAATACCGTCCGATAAGATTGTACACAAGTGCTTTCCGGAGTACGACCGCGAACATCGCACGAAAAATGACTCTATCCCTCGATTTGGTCCCGAGGGTGAGGAATGGAAATTTTGCGACGAAGGGCGAGCTGTGGATCTTTACGGCCAAGCGGAAATCCAGGAGGAGCTAGGGTACGCCATTGCACATGGGAAATGGCACCTAACGTGTGACGAATGGGGTCACAGTACGCATTTCATGGTCTGGTTTAGAACGAAGCCGGGTAAGGCGATGCAAGCGGAGGGGCATAGTATCTACAATGGAGAGCGACCGATCTGGAAGACGGCCTGAAGTGACTGAGATGGAGAGTAGGTTTGAATAACGTTCGAACTTTTTACGTCGCTTCAAACCATCTCATGGACGCGGTCTCAGGTATAGTGAATTCACCGCATGTTCGATTCCATAGCTAAATTCATTGTCTTTGCTCATGATAGGTTTCATTGCACGCCGTGTCGTAGCTGAGACGAGTTCGCGAGCGCTCCGGCCGTTCGACTCGTCAACAATGTGACCTTACTTTCAAGATTGGTGAACGAGCTAGGCAGCCTCTCACCGCACCACTCGCTTACTTAAACGCCACACCTCCCCGTACTCTACCGCCATCTCGCTCCCGATCTACAACCCCACACCATCAGGACGTACCCACGCCTTCAAAGCCCGTCGTGTTCTACTACAACCTTACCACAAAACCCAAATCACCAACATATCAGACCCTCACTACCACATCCACATCACTACCAGCCAACCCACAACACTACAACCATGCCCCAAAAAACACCACATCCAGCGACCAAACTCCAGTTCTCTAAAACCATCGCCCCGCCCTGCGCAGCATCAGCGCCACCAAACTCACCTTCTACGACTCCCACTACAAAACCACGCGCGCCGTCAACACACCTCGCCACCCCCAAACAACTTCATCACCCCACTCAAAAAGCAACTGTCTGCGGCCATCCCCTCCACCCTTCCGCCTCTCCAAAAACCCGCTCCTGCACCCCCTGCGTCATGTCCACCGTCCTGCGCCTGTACGACCTCGCAAGCGCCCGCTTCGATGCCCTCGGCGGCCTTCACCTACCACCCTCTCTACGGAACCTGGCGTGGAACCACGCGCGGCTAGGTCTCATCCAGGCGATTAAGAGCTCCCTCGCCGCCGAGCACCGCCGGTGTGCGCGGGAAGAGGCCGAGAAGCAGTGGGACAGGGTGCACAAAGCGCCGCTTTGTCCTAAAGAACCGGGAGTTGTGGGTGTGGTAGAGGAGACGCGGTGTCTAGCTTGCGCCACCCTTTCGGGAAAGAAGGTCGAGGTGATGGAAGATGTGTCGTGGGTTATGGGCATGTTGGAGGCGGCGAGGGGGGAGGGGGTGTGGTGGGAGAAGGCCTCTGCCGCGGACCCGATTTCCACTTCAATGTCACACGACAGAAATAGGGATGCTCGAAATCGCCGACTTTCGACCGTGCGTTTTCCGTCCGCTTGCCGGCGTAAGACTGGCCCCAAGGGGTCGGGTGTGATGCGGGAAATCAAGAAGCAGGCGGAGTTTGATCTGGCGCTCAAGCGCGTTAGAGAGAAGAGACAGCTGCGCGACTCGGGCGTGCGGGAGATTGAGGAGATGTTAAGGCGGAAGCATAATCTGCCGAAGACGATGAGGTACCAGAAGGGAACGTTCTTACGGCCGTATGCGGAGCATAAAGCGCGAGAATGGTTTGTTTGGAGCTGGGAGGAGAAGATTAGGGCGAGGGGGTTTGCGAGGGTGCGGGCGTGGGAGAGGAAGCCGAGTCCATTGTGGTGTGTGATAAATGTTGACGACTTAGGGGAGGTAGAAGGCGATGAGAGTACCCAGGAGGGTGAGAGGGAGGGTGAGATTGGGGAGGTGGTGGCGGAGAACCCGTGGGAGTTCATTGATTTGCTGTATATTGTTGGATAGGGGTGGGGTTTAGGGCTATGCGGGAGTGGGGTTGGATTGGCGTAAGGGAGCTACTGTCTGGACTACTATAACTTACGAATCGAATGGCACGATCCATTGATTGATTATGACCCCTGAATTAACTTGTGATGATTCTGCGATTGGTCACAAGTAGACACCGCCGTATGCAGCCCTACAACGTACCTTTGTTTGGATATCGTAAAAGCATCTCATGTATTTGAGTTTTCATATGTTATCGACTATCATTACATCCCTCCATCCCTAGATTTCCCTCGTATTCTCACCTCATATCGTCTCTCATACCTCCCTCGTCCCCGGCTCCGCATTCGGATTCAGCGGCTTCGTTGGATCGTACCCCAAACTCTTCACAATCCCTAGCCCTTTCGTCCTCCCCTCCCTAAATAATATCCGATCCCCAACCGCCAGATACTCCGGGCGCTGCACAAACCTGAACGCGACCTGCGCCCGGTCTCCAGTCCTGATATAGCTGCGATCGATATCAATAATAGCGCAGGTCTGGCTTACGGGGCCGACATGCAGCATAGCTTGGTACTTCGTCTTAATAGTAGTAGCGTGAGAGAGAATGAGCACTTCAGCGATAAACTCGCGGTATACCTTCGGATTCAGCGCCGGATTCTCCGGCTTATGTAGCACGACCATGCCTTTCCGCACGTCTTTCCGGCGCACATTCCTCAGCGCCAGACTCGCGCTCTGCCCCGCTGCAGCACCGGGGACTTGAATGCGTTTCCGTTCAATGGAGCGGACTTTGGTCGTCGTGAATTGGCCTAGCGAGTCTGGACCGATGAGGATCGTGTCGCCGGTGTGGACGACGCCGGATTTGATGACGCCGGACACGACTGTGCCGACGAATGGGACGGAGAAGGTGTCGTTGATGTGGAACTCGAGGGCGGCGTCGGCGTTGTAGTTGCCGTGGTGCGGGAGGATGTTGAGGAATGTGCGGACGAGGTCGAGGTTTGTGCCTGTGACGTTGGAGACTTGGAAGATGGGGCAGATGCGGCGGGAGACGAATTGAGTCTGTAAATTGAATGAGTAAAGGGGTAGGTAGATAGAAAGAGGGGATGAGAAGAGGGGCTTACGGCAGTGTTAACACATTCTTCGCGATTTTTCACGAAGATTGGGATTTTCCGGGCACCAGGGGATTTAAGGATTTTGGTCACTTGCGTAATGGTCTGCTCGAGGATTTGGGGCGGACAGATGTCGATTTTGGTGATGACGACCATCACGGGGACGTTGAGGGCTAGGGCGATTCCGAGATGCTCTCTGCTCATAGTCAGACGGGATCATGAAGGGATGAGATCGATTGACTCACTTGCTCATACCAATCAGCCCGTTATTAGCAGCGACCATGAGCAAGCAGTAATTGGGCTCGCTGCTCAACAAGCCAAAGACGGTAGTCCGTAGGTATCTCTCATGGCCCGCAAGATCGGTGAAGCTGATGACTTTGGCCTTGGCAGTGTAAGTATACTTCATTCGATATCGGAATAAATAACCTTACAGAGCGTCGCCCGATCTCCTCCCAAGTGAGTTTCCTCCCCGCGACATTCGAAGTCACAACCTCGCCTTTGCTATCAAAGCCCATGATCTCCATGCCCACGGAACTAGTCCGTCCACTCTCGATCTCGTGTTTGTGCCGGAACAGGTTGACTCGCGCCTTTCCCCTCCCATCGTCCAGGCCGCCTTTGACCAGCACGCCAAGCATAGTGGACTTTCCGGCGTCGACTGCTTCCATCTTAGTTTCTCTTCGGTGAGGCCCGCCTCGTTGCAAACCAACTCACCATTTCCCACCACAGCTATCCTCGTCTCAATAACATCATCCACACTCTCCGGTCTCTTCCTCAGCACTAACTTCCCACAACACCCCTTCTCTTTCAATGCCCCTGGTCCAACCTCCACCTCCTCCCCCTCCTCTCCCACATTCCGTGTCATGAGTACCTTATAGTCCACTCTCACAGCCTCACATGCCCCCTCTACTCTCAGCACCGCTTTCCCCCACTCATCTTTCGTAAATTCCATCGAGTCCCCATTGTCCTCCAACCCTAGGTCAAACAACGCTTCGCCATGTCCCTCAACTAACCGTCCTTTCACATACCCTATCAGGGCAGTTGTAGACTCCTCATCCTCTGGGGCGGAGAGCAGGAGGGCGCGAAGGTGCACGCGGGGCGCGGAATCAGCGAGATTGAGGGTATCAAGTATAGATAGCTCATCATGCTCTTCGATTTCCGCTGGTTTCTTAGACGCAGAAGCAGGAGCGGTGCCCGGGGGCTGGCGGAGGGCCTGTTGTTTCTGGACGAAGTCGGCGAAGTCGGAGAGGGCCTGGGGAATAGCAAATACACATTATTAGCACTGTCCCTCTTTTACAACTCGTGAAGCTCTTGGCTAGTTACAGACATACCGACTCCCCTTTCCGCCTCTCACCCGCACTCTGCTTCATCTCCTTCTCTTTTGCTTTGCTCGCCATAGTCGCTCGTACCGTGTGCTCGCCTCAAGTGCGCGTCCGTCGCCCCCCTCGTAAGCGTGAACAACGTCGGAGAGTTGTCGTGCGTATCCGGGTGTTGAAGGAGCTGTCCATGAGCCTATATTCGGTGGGCATTGGGGTGGTGCGATGGCTGTGGGGCGCGGTGGTGAGGAGTTGGGATGGGACGCGGCGTGATGCGAGGTTTAAGTGACGGCGATGGGGGCTTATCGATTGCGAGTCATAGTGGATGGAAAGCATGACGCAGGGATTGTGTGGCGCGGCTGGGTTGGAACAGTCAGAGGAATGGGTGTGAGTAATATTTGAAGTGAGTCTGAGGTGATGAGGTTAAGATGAGAATGTGTTTGAAGCTTAGAATTATCTGTTTTGTTGATTTTAAGGAGCATTAAAGCTGTTGAGCATTTGCTGTGGCCGTGCGAATTAGGAGGCTTTTGCAGCTGCGGAGTTCGGACGGGAGAGAAACTCCATCGTCTCCTCCATCAATTCCATCTGCAGAACCATCAACAACAACGTGATGAATTGTGCTCCAGGGCTATGCGACCGGATCTTGAGATGTGAGCATGCTCTACACAGCTTCATGACAGAAGGGCGTAGGAAGAAAAGGGCGGCGACGGAAGGGCGGTTGCTGGAATCATTGACTCAACACCATCCGCAAGCATCGATTGGACCTATCATTCATCTTTATCCATCTCGGCCTCATCGCTGCCTGGCCTGCAAGCTATTCTCGATACGACAATCCTCAGACGATGTATCAGGAAGTATTAGCCTGTCTATTATCCATTCTATCTATCTTAGTTTACTCTGTCTTCTCTCTCATACAGTCATCTGAGCTGTGCCAATCGTATAATCATCCAGCCTTGACACCCCTCTCACCACAGTACTTGGCAACCTCCTTCCTCAAACTTCCAGCCTGAGCGTCCGCTACGTCCATCACGTCTTGCACGCCGGTAACACCCTTGCAGTAACCTGCGGCCTCATTCATCTGCGCAAGCACGGCTTGAAGCTGGTTCGGTAGCCACTGTAAATCATTAGCGCAATTCACTAAACATCTTCTTCTCTTCTTCTCTTCATCACTTACTGTAACAATCGGACTTCCACCGGTCGCGGTCGGGTGCGCCGTCCGCTTCAGAATATATTCTCTAGTAAAACACCAATGCCGCCACCTGAAGTCTCGCACCTGATCCAGCGCGAACAAGTACAATGCTGCACTGGATGGATCCGCGAGTGCAAACTTCTTCAGAGAAGCAGATTCAGCGCAATCGCGAACAGCGACCAGGAAATCACGATGGTTGCCCGGGCGGTAGGCACGGAAGTCCTTTAAGATGTCTGTGAGAGGTGTCTCGGGCATAGTAATCTGCAAGAGGTTGTCACAGAGGGGAATCTGGTCACATTAGTATCCGCTGCAAAGGTCGGAATGGTGGGCAGGGCAAGGGAGATGGTACCATGCTATCATTCGCACCAGACTCGCCACGAAACTCCATCGGTTCGTCGCGCACGCCTTCATATACCACACCCTTCGGAAACATGGACTGGTTCTGGATTCCAAAGATGAAGGTGCGGAAGGAGGTGTAGCTGCCAGGTTTGCTCTTGTTCCACATAACTGGACACGTCAGTATACTGCTAACCATTTAACGAATAAATCGGAACTTACTATTCATCACCTCGTTAATCTCCGTCAACGCGGCCACGACCTCCCTAAACGCCTCATTAAACGCCTCCCGATCCTTCGCCAAACACGCGTTCAACGAATCCACAGTCCCTCGCACTAACTTCGGAGAATTTTTCACCATAGCAATATGCACAAGCACAAAGCCCGCCTCAGAAGACGTCGGATCCAACCCCTTCTCAAACGCCCGAATGAGTCTCAAATTATCATAATCCAATCCCGCTTTCGGATCCTCAAGGCGGTAGTTATACAACGCATACGAGCCCGCATACTCCATGAACGGCTTGAAGCCCGCACTGCACACCCGTCAGTCACGTGATCCACCGACGCCCAAGCCAACCTCCAAGCGAAAAGAAACGACAAAGAAACTTGAGACAACAATACAAAAGAACATACATCTCAGCAACCTTCACGATTGGCAAACTGATAGCCGCGGGCAGCACCTGCCGCCCCAACCCGTACGGCTCACCGCGCATGAACCGCAGATGGCACGGCTCGAGCAGGTACGCCGATGCGAGGAACGAGTAGTCGCGGTACAGCGCGTTCATGAGCGGGAGGTCGGCGCGGTACTTCTCGATCGCGTTGCTCAGGTCGGGTAGTTCGTCGCGGACTGCGGCGCCTAGGGCGCCGGTGGCTAGTAGGCCCGGTGAGCCGGAAGCCGTCACGATGGGCATGCGGGTCAAGAGCGATTCGAGAGGGGCGAATTCGGTGGGGAGGTGGACGATGGGGTCGGTGCGGGGGAGGAAGCCGCGCGAGGTGGAGACCATGAAGGCGGGGAGGGTGGTGTCTTTGGGACGGGGGTCTGTCATGACGTTGAAATCGAAGGTGGGGAGGGGCGCCATAGTTGGGGAAGCCTTTGAGGGGTGTGAGTAAGAGCTGTAGGCAACGCTTTGGTATAGAGAAATGAGACTGACGGCGAGGTACGTACGTGAAAGAGGAAGTAATGTCGGGAGCGGTAAGGCTTGGCGATGTATTCACCCTCCAATTGCAAAGGCAATCTCAAAAAAGTTTCCAAAGATAGCTCGGTTGATGACGAAGAATATCTTCTTCTTTCAAAGTATTCGCAGAAGATGGTTGTGGCGGCTCAACCACCGACATTTTTTCTGCTTATATGGCGAGGCCGGATCCGTTCCGGCCTCCTGATAGCAATAATTCCGGCCTCACCCTCCACGGGGAAAAATTGTCCCAATTCGTACGTAATAACCTCCTCACGCGGTCCAGGACTTGACTAACAGTATCCACATGGTGAAAGGGGAATTTGAGACCCCGCTCGCGATGAGGCGTGTGTTGTCGTCGTTGTTGGGGTCCATGGGGGGTGGGTGGGAGTGCCAAGACTTGGGTTGAGCAGCCATTTCAAAGGTTGCAATCATCTTTGTCAAGTCAATCTGAGCGTTTGAAACAATATACTTCTCTTTATTCGAGATTTTGGAATTTTAGGGGGTGTTGGTGATGTTCTCGTCGTCGTCGGTCGTCGGTCGTCGGTCATAGTCATGAGGCCTAAGGCGTTCCTCGTTATCAGCAGTTCCGTGGTACGCTAACGACAACCACACCGCCGATTCTTAGCTCCCGCTTTTACGGCACGAAAGGATTCTAGACCAATCGTTCCCAAACATTACCAAAGAGCGCAAGCTAACGTATGGGAACCGTACTTTGTGGAGGTAGATAAAAATACCATGTTGTGACTTTTGCGAGCTCATCCAACCATGCTTATAATTTCTATACTAGCTCCAAATTCAAATAAGTATATTAAGAAAGAATTTCTTCATTGTGAAGGTGTTAGCCGGGTCTGAACTGGTGCGATAGATAAAACAGCGGCGTGTAAAGGACTCGTCATACTATAGATTTGGATGCTGCCGTCTATGACTTTCCCCTGTACTAGTCCCGTATTGGTTGTTAGATTGTCTTTAACAATGCTTTCGGCCTACTAAACGCATTGTTTTTCTTAACCTATAGATTATGTCTCGAATGTTCCCGTCTTCTCTTTCTATATTACCGAAGTAAGGAAGATTCCTAACGGCGATGTCAACTAGTCACACAGTTCCGACTTTTTGAACAACGATCTACCGCTCCATGAGCTTCGCATCAGTCATCTCCCGTCTTTCCACGTCTTAGGAGTGTCTCGCATATTTCTATTCACCTGCAGGCGCATTATTAATATCGCAAGAATCGTACTTCGCATCGAAGGCTCAATTCGCACGTTCAAATCGTCTACATGCCTTCCTTTATCTTCCGCCAATAATAAGGGTTCCTTCATATGGTTGTTCGCGTGTGCAGCGGCGACATCAAAGTTATGAGAATTATGATTCACCGAGATAAGTACGACTTAATGCAGATCTCTATCGGGATGGAAGCACCTCGGTCAGCATTGTGTCACTTCCGATATCTCAACGCATAAATCACGACTCTAGAAGCTATACATCACCTATAGCGCTTGGATCCTGCCTGGGATACCGCCCAATAACGTCGTCGATCTGTCAAAGAGTTCCATTTCTGAGCCATGATATACACCTCCAAGACCGATCTTGTCCTGCATGACAACATCAATCATCGGTGTACACTTCTTTGCTAATGTCGACGGTGGCTCGATACATTTTCAGAATCCTAGGAAAGACATAATCTCGTCGTTTTGAGCAATAGATAAACTCCCCAGGCCAGCTCAACCGGTATCGTTTGCTACTCTCATGGCTCTACTAGCCCCTTTTACCTTCCTAACATCGGAGGCTACTTGGATCTTAATATAAAACCATAGTTCGCCCATATGTGTACACCTCTTTGAGAACGTCTGCAGTGCCTCGAGACACTTTCAAGCATCGATAAAAGACAGATTCTCCTCATTCTGAACAACCGATAAACTTGCCAGGCCACCTGTGTCAGCGTTGTCTACTACTAGGACAGCAACATCCCTACATCATTAATATGTGTACACTTTTTTGACAGTGGTTGTAAGGCCTCGGCATCTTTAAGTATTCTACGAAAGATAGATTTTCATCTTTCTAAATAATTTATAAACTCGACAGGCCACTTCAGCCGGCACCTTCTGTCATTCCAATGGCTATATCGGCACCCTTGATATACATGTCCGGAGACGTGCGACACCATAGCGAGCCCTTGGAAGACAGTGTAGACGTATCCTAGATTGGCTATCAAAACACCAGCCTGAAAGAAAAGCGCTTTTGAGCTGAGTTATTAGCCTGCTAAGCACTTCTAATTTATCCCCAACTTATCTACGGCTTCGCAGCCTTCACATTATCTGCTGCATTCATCTCGTACTACGAAGGCCGTGAAGCGGGTTACCATGCTCGCTTGCTAACTACCATCAAGTTGATGCAAAACCCCAATTCAGGGGCTGGGTAAAGCAGTCTTCGGCCTTCCACAGTCCCTCGAAGGCTGCCTGGATGTTAACCAAGCGAGCGCCTGCCTGTGTGAAGATGCAACGGTGCAATAGGAGTGAAGGTCACCACGTTTCCGCGCTAGCGGCCAGCACGTGACGCCTACTCCGTCACTTAAATTCTACTCCGCAACCTCACGTCCTTTCTTCAGATTCACACCACCGACCGCATCATCACGCGCTGTAAGTCTCCATCATCACCATCCTTATCATCGCTCTGTCATTCTACTGCTACTGAAGGGCATCCTTCGTGTCGGGTTCACCTAGCGCAGCACACTCAGACGCTAATATATAATCTAGCTTGTACAGCGTCTTGTAGCACGATGTCTTCCTCAAACGGACGTGGCTTTTACTCGCTCCCTAACTCGCCGTTCGCTGAGACTTATCCTGACGACGACGCCAACGCCTCCAACAACCCTCCGTCCTCTCCATCACTCCTCCACTCGACCACCACCTCCGCTCCAATTCACCCTGCTGCAACCACCACCAACCAGACCAGCACCCAGACCTTCACCAGCGCCGCCGCAATGCCAACGGCCGCTCAACTCTTCGCCGCGACCATGCCGCCTCACTACCACGAGCATGGCACCCTCTTCACCCTCCGCGGCTACGCCTACTGGCGCAAGCCACGCTCTGGCCACAGCAACGCCCGCTGCCTTGACGCTTCCGCCTCACAATTCATCAACACGGACGTCGTCAAAGCCATGATCAAGTGCGAGCGAACCGAACACATCCTCTTCGCCACCTCACCAACCGCTGGCCGCCTCGTCACCTCACTGGAGCTCGTCCGCAACGGCAAGCGCAACGTCAACGCCGTCACCAACGCCACCCAGATGGTGGACCTCAGCCCAGAGACCGACCGCGTGCTCAAGGACAAGGACGCAGAGGACGTCTGGAGCAAGATGTTGGGGGAGTGCCGGGGGGAGTGGGGGTACCAGCGCGTGACCGTCGTGGAGGGCTGGGAGTTCCGAGAGTTCGCGAAGAAGGGGAAGAACTGCCCAATTCGGGAGGGGTGGATGCCGCTGCAGCTGAAGCAGTGGGACGACGAGGTCGACGAAGATGACGAAGAAGAAGAAGAGTCGGACGGAGAGCTGGGGACGTACCGCTTCGACACCGGGGGATTGGAGGAGCTAGAGGGGGAGACGATGGTGGAGGGAGAGGAGGAGAAGGCCGCCGAGAGTGGCGAGGAGGGTGGAGAGGAGGAGAAAGACGAGTACGTAGTGGAGCCGATTCAGGACTAGGAGATCGTGCTGTGGCTGCTGGGGACGATTTGGGATGGGCGGAAAAGTTTTGTGGGTTTTGGGACGGATTCAGGCCTACCCGCTGAGGGTTTTGGCCGCCTATTGACCTCACTGTGGAGAGTCTGAGGCACCATGACTGGAGAAATTCAAACTTGTTTCTCTTGCGATTTAACTACTGAACGAGTGTGATTTTTACCGCTTTGAACAGTGTTTACCACCGCTTGAGGCCCTCTAGCTGGTCTTCATCAAATCCTACACGATGTAATGTATCTAACGCTTCGAATCTCAGCGCTTAGATATCTAACCCTTTGAATATCCTTTACCGTTGTTTGGAGTTCTCCAATGGGATGATAGAAACCATATTTTGATGTAAAATTCTGTAGACTCCAGATTTCATCAGTCCCGATTTTTACGTTTTGAACAACGTACGATCCCTTCGGAAGCCCTCTAATTCATCCTAGGAAATTGAAACTTGATGTCACGTTCTATGCATCTCATACCCCGCTGTACATAGATTCGGCGTTTTGAATAACATATACCGGCGCAAGAGGTCCGCTGGTACCCCTATATAATCAGAACCAAGACGTCATGTTCCGTAAACTCCAGATCTAAACATGCTGAAATCATGTCAATTGGAAAGCACATACCGGCGCATGGGGTCCGCTAATGGGCGCAAAGAGATCCAACGAGGATGTCATGCTCCTGAGTCTTCAACCCTCAGCATGTCATTTCAGTAGCTTTTAACTAGTTCAAGCCGCTGTACGGAGTCCGCCACTGTCGCAATTCCAAACGCATCAAGATGCCACGTTCGTGATAGGCTATATCTCACCACGCCTATTTTACGCCTTTTGACTAGGTTGCGCCACTGCATGAAGTACTCCGCAGTTCCCGTTCCAATCGCAACGAGATGCTACGAACTCGAAAGCGCATATCTCACCGTGCAGGTATCCTCCCTTTTGACCTAGAAGCCGCCGCGTGAGGTCCCCCCATAGCCTCATCCGAACCGTGGCCGGACGTCACGTTCTTGATAGCTCATATCTCGACACGCTGGACTCATGCCTTTTGACAGGTCGTAGCCACTGCATAAAGTCCTCTCTAACCTCAATTCGAAATAACACGATGTCACATTCCGGATAGCTTATATCTCAACGTGGTGAAATCAGCGGTTTGGGGACGTGTGAGCCGCTGCACGGGGTCCGCTGGGACCTTGATTTCGACAGCGACGCGACGTCATGTTCTCCACAGTCTATATTTCAACGTGTTGAAAATAAGCGTTTTAACACATGAATAGCGGTGCATGACGGTCTTTCTTATCTCATCTCGAGAAAGGACATTTTGTCACGTTTCTGATAGCTCAAATCTCGAAGCGGTGAATTCCCGGGTTTTGGCACATGTGAATCGTTGCATAAATCCTCCCGTGACCTCAGGTGCAATAGAGACACGATGTCACGTTCCTAAGAGCCCAGATTTCGAAGTGCTGGAAACGAATGATTTCATACGGGTGCGCCACTGCATGGAGGCCCCTGCGACCTTAATCATAAAATCACACAATGTAAGGTACTCGACAGTCAAGATCTCGAAGTGATGAAATCCAGGGTGTTGACTAGTGAAAATCGTGCATGAGGTGCTCTTATACTGTCATCTGAAACGGACTACGATGTTACATCTCTTACGTTTCATATCTCAGCAGGACTTGGAGTTGCTGGCATAGTAGCTGCCTACATGCCTAGCCAGTTACAACTTCTACAGAGAGGGGTTGGGGTACGGTGGCCTACCGTGCCTACCGTGCCTACTGCTGTCTCTAATTAGTGCTTCTGCCTACGCGTACAGTCACTTCCTACGTAGTATATAGTTTGGCCTTCGGGCCCCCGAAATAAGACAGAGTTCACGTCAATTTGCAACCTGAGTGCAGGTTGAATCGGGAATTTTGACAACTGCGGAGCATTGCACGGGGTCCCGCCTCTCCTCTTTTTCAAGCACGATAAGATGTTACGTTTTGGAACTTTCAGATCTGAAATTGTTGAATCGAACGTTTTGACAGTTGGGTAGCGGTGAATGGGGTCCTCCGCCATTGTCACTGAAAATCGATTACGACGTCACGTTCCCAACACTCCAGATTTCAACTCTTAGAAATCAGGCATTTTGACACGTGCGTAGCGGTGAATAGGGCCCTCTGTTACCGTCTCTGGGAAATGATCACGATGCCATGCTCCCAACACTTCAGATCTCACCCCGTAATAATGGGGTGTTTTGGCACATGGCCGGCGGTGAACGGGGCATTCACAGAGAGCGCAGTAGGATGTTATTTTCTGGATCCTTCATATCTGAGCGGGAGGAAACCGTAACCGTGGCATTTGATGGATAGGTAGTAGTGTCTAAAGTCCCTTGCTGCTTCTAGCTGGACCACAGCAGGTTGTAGCGTTTCTCGCACTCTAGATCTACGCACGGCGAAACCGAGCGTTTTGATCCATGATTAGCGTTGTTTGAAGTCTTCTGGTGTGTTGCTTCCGCCAACGAGGTGATTTAAACGTTCAGATATGCTGAATTGAAACCCGTTTACATTTTGACTTTTGCTTTGTATTCAACTATGCGTGGAGCCCTCCGCTTCCACCAACCGAAATGGAAAACAAGTTAGTTCCCAATACTCTCTATCTATCGCGTTTCAACGGAGTTTTTGCGTCGGGGAAAGCTTGGTTTGGAGTCCTCTAATACGGCCACTAATAGTAGAGAAAGATGGAAAGATCAAGACGCCAGGAATCGAAGGCTACGAACCCGGTACCTATTGGCCCGTTAATGGTGTGGTAGGAACCCCTCTGGCGAACTAATCTGTATCGGAAGAAGACGTAGTAGACAATGCAAGTTAGATTGGAATGGGATAAAACTCTGTGATTTGATTAGTAGATACCACCGCGAGGAGTCCTACGGTGAAGTGACTCTGAAAAGAATAGAATTTCAAGGTCAAGACGTCGGAAATGAAAGCCCGTTGATTTGCTAGCGTGTAGCCTACGGAAAATCCCGATGGGGATATGAATGAACTGCGGCCTGTTGAAATAACATAACATCATCTGCATAGTAGAGAAAGCAAGCAGGTCACTAGCAACCGAGTATTTTAGGACGAGATTTGCTATAAAAGTAGCTTTGCACGGTTTCCGAAGAAGTGATTGCGGTCAGCCGATATTTGTTTCATAGAAAAGCTTGGATTCTTGGATACCTTCAAGCTCGACCCACTTTGCTTCCCCACTTAGTGGCTCGCTCAATGTAGTCTCGTGCGTACAACGTGCGACCAACCGTCGAGAGGTGCGTGGCGTACTGCCTGGCTAAGCGGTAGACTATAGCTTCACAGTGTAGAGATCTACCTAGTGAGATTAGTGAATTCTGGAGAGCTAGCTGCTAAAAGCAATCCCATGACAGTATTTGACCCCTAAATCATTTCGAGCTAGCTAAAGTTATTCATCCCGTCGATCCCCTACTTTGAATTCATTAGTTTGGGATGATCATGGGGATCGTCATGTATCCACCTTATCTTTTGGCAGGAGCATCTTTCCTCAGACTTCTCAAGTCGGAGTCACTCTAGCTGGATCTCCCCTGAGATTTTTGCCTCCCGACAGTGCCCTTTCAGCCAGTTTATCGAAACACAATTGTTGGAGGCTATCGAGTATCCTCAGGCAGCCGCCATCGTCGTGCTCATCCAGCAGAGGGATGAGCTTTATCAGGCTGAACATCAGAGAGAATACCTCCGAGACCTTGAGATCATCTACTCAGGTTGCAGCACTACAACCTAGGATCAACAACTCATATGCTAGAAGGCTACTCCGAACATCAGCTGTAGAGAACACAGCTGAGATCTCAGCTGTGGAGAGCCCAGCTGAAAACTCAGCTGTGCAGTGTTCAGCTGAACTTACTAGCGCGCCACCCAGGGGTGGCCCCCCTTCCTTCCCCTAGTATATATACAACTAGCTAGACGTCTATAGAAATCAGAGTTCACATCAATTTAACCTGAGTCATCTAGATCTTTTGCGCTGCAGTACCCAGAGTTGGGTGCGGTTACGGCTCCCTCAGGAGAGAAAACGAAGCGCAAATCCGGATCGGCGCCGTGCTCTAACAGGATTCGGACTACTTTGAGCCATCTGGGCAGGGAATACTCATAAAATTCAGATACAAGCTCCCAAAGAGAGCACAAGAACATTCCCCAGACGGTCTGCCCGTGGTATAATGCCATCTTCTGATTTGGATCCGCACCGTGAGCGAGCAATTCTTCCACTACTCTATACGGATGATGGACATAGAAGATGCGAGATTTTAATGCTCCGCTCTCCACCACCTGCATGTTCAGACCTCTCAGAGCATAATCCAACAACGGCCGTTGACACCGACGTTGCAAGACAGAAGGATTTTCTCGTAATGTTCGCCTCACAAAGAACTTGCGGCCGTAGATGGCGGCAAGATCAAGGCCAGTAAGAGAGTCCGTTGTAGGTAACGGGTAGGTCGGGTATTGCCAGGATTTATCTTGTAAGAAAACGCTCAAGTTTGCCGCGGGATGCGACATGAGGGATGCCATACGATCGAAATAGGGAGTGCAATCCAATCTGGTTCTCCTGCCATGGTTGCCAAGGCTGCGGAAGACAGACTTGATATGTTCCATGTTTAGAGATCGGCATGTTTTCAAGGACCAAGTTGCTCTGCGAAGGCCGACTTCGCAATGGCTAGCAAAGAGTCAAATCCATGGCCAGCACAGCCCTGTAGTTGCTCAATCTTTTCCTTAGACTTGAGAAAATCTGCAGCAGTTCTGTGAACCAACTGAACTGTGTTGAATGGGCAAATGGTCTTGTGTAACGGGTCATCTTCTATGCGATCTGCGTGATCGTTTCCGTCATTGTGTGATGTCTCCAGGAAACCCTTGCAGCAAGTGGCTATTCTTCTATTTGCTCGTTCGCAAAGGTTATAGTACGACTCCGCGGGTGCTAGCTCCGCGTCGAATGCAAGCGCATAGTCTGGATCCTGTATTTCGTCCTCGAGGAAACCAATCTCTAGAATGTGGTAACTCGATTGATAAGAAATTAATGACTCTGTTTCAAGCGTCACGAGTAATGCTCGGGCTGTAAACTTCTTGTACCTTGAATCTAGTGAGGAGAGCATCTTTTGGAAATATTCCTCTAGATCATGGGGTAGCTCTTCGATGCGGTACTGCAAGTCGTGATACGAATCATCGTTCGTGATGCCATCCAAAATTGATTGAATCACAAGATAGACCCAAAGCCAGACCCCTTCGGCAGCAGAGAGTATCTTTGAGATTAGTACGTCAGATCGGTCTTTCTTTCCGCAGAGACGCTCAAAATCCCCGTTGGATCTAAGCTTTTCTGTAACGTAATGGCGGATATCGTCTCGTGTGAAGTTTTGCATATAGAAATTGTATGCTCCATCACCGTACTGCTGGATGAAGGGAGTTTCAGCCCTGCTCGAGACACAAATTTTGATATTAGCACAAGTGGCCAGTGTCTCGAGGAATTCAAGCAAGTTTCTCTGCTGTCCGCCGAACTCGTCCAGACCGTCGACCAGTAGAAGGTAACGCACTGATATGGATTGTTGAGACCGGAGCAACCTAAACACATCTTTTAACTCGTCCTGAGTCCAGGGGCTGATGACACCATGCGCGCTTGCCCGCAGCTTAGAGGCGCATGCGACGTGTACTAATGCAGGACATTGACTGAAGATAGAGAACAGAAGAGTTTGGAGAAGGCCTTTCATAGATTTTTCCATTGCGGTGCCCGAAATCTAGAAGTAGTGAGTCGCCAATATGGAGATATTCTGACCTGCCCAAGCTTTGAAGTGCTTGGTTGTCGTCTCGTGCTGTGACAGAAACCTCATCACTGTAGATTTACCCGATCCAGGTTTTCCCGCTATCCAGAAGATGCCGTTGCCCGTCTCCATCCATTCCAAGAAATTCGTAGCCCATATCCACTCAATGGTAGTTTCGTGTGACTTCTTCACCGCATCTTCACGGCTACGCATCTGCTCAAATTGCAAGCTTTGGAGTATCGACCGTTCTTCCCGTGTTTTTTCAAGTTTGTCCGATCTGGTAGCAATCTCCCGAAGGTCATCCATCATTCTATTCAGGCTCGTTTGATCGACAAGAGGAGCAACGTTTTGGCGCGCTGCATTCCGATGCAGACCGTCCAATCGAAACAGAATGGCAGCCATCGACGTATCCTGGTCATCTTGCAGTGACTGGACTCTAGATGATAGCACTGGGCTGCGCTCATACATTAGCAGGTGTCTATCTTTGAAGAAGCTGGATTTCTTACACGATAGAGAGAATGACGTGGAAACTGATCTGGTCGCGCAGTCTCGATATGCGTTTCTCCAAGTCATCGACTTCGCCCTTCTTCCGAATGATTGTGAATACATCTCGGATTCTGGTTGAGGTCTTGTTATCGGGATTGGGCGACTTCATTTTTCTAAGAAAATCAATAAGGTTTCTAGCCAAGGTCTGGCATGTTGCGGCAAACTGTCGCACTGCTGCGAGATCCGCTGGATTGACTTCGATAGAACCGAATGCGGTAGGGGAAGATGCGAGCTCTGTAGCGATCGACTGTATGTCTTGCAAAACATCGAAAAGCTCGGAATGCTCATTTTTCTCTTATTTGACCAATTTCCAAGCTTTCCGGAAGTTTTCGAAGAGTTTGGAACCGGAATCGACGAATTGGACCCCGGCAGAGACTGCTACTAGGGCGTCCATATCGAAGCGTAGGAGGAAAGTCTGATGCAATGGATGAGCTCCCACGAAAGGATGTGTCAAGTGTTGCGGCGGTGGGTTGCTCTGGACTGGCGCGGTGTACGGACTGCAGTCAGAGACGCGCACCTCCGCAAATCTTGGCAAGTCACGCTGAAGGACTGAAAAGTCTTCAAACAAGCTGTTCACACTTTCTCCTAGAGGGAGATGCTCGCTCCTTCGCCTGTCCTTAGCCTACTTATTTCATGATGCGCGCTGACTTGCTGTCATCGCGTAGTTGTTTGGTGTGCCCCTCGATCTCTAAACCATGTGCAGAGCTAACCGGCGATAAAAACACGGGCAAAATCGTCCTGGAACATGCAGTACGGCTTCGAAAGATACGTAAACAGATCGAGGGCGCGCGAAGCTATGAGACTTCGCGCGGGGTGGTCAGATGGCGCATACAAAGCTCTAAGAAACTCTATCATCACGGTATCCAATCTGATGGTGTAATATACCATAACACCGAAAGAACCACTCTATTGTCGCTGTACTCCACTAATAGCTTCTAGGTTTGTGAACTCAACTTGGCATGTTGCGAGCAGACTCTTTCTAGGCACGCCTTTCCACCGCCGTCCTTCCTCGTTCTTACGCCCGCCAACCAATCAACTCCACCATTTAAGCACTATATCGATTCGCCGTTACTTACCTGTCAATATGCCCAGACGGGAGATCTACATGATCAATGTCTACCGCGACTGAACAAGTGCCGGTGCATTTCCAGCAAGCAGAGTCCTGAAACCAACAAACCTACACGGCGTTCAATCACTTACAACTGCAAAGAGACCAAAGAAAGGGCTTATGACGAGCTTAGGGAAATTTTGCATCGCATATAAGAGCAGTAGGAGAGCAGAACGGACAGTCTACAGAGACCCTAACTACGCAAAAGACACGACTAGGATAGTTGATACCTCAGTGTTGGGAATGATGAAAGTTTGGAAGCTGTTAACTGAGAAACCCCTGGATGAAGGTCCGATTGCTTAACCTTCACTGTCGTTATCTTAGCGTATATCCAACAAGAGGAGCTTCAACCCTCTTCTGTGAAGATGATAACCAGTTATCCTGATTGGAGTCTACACAGGACAAATCTTACACGTCAAAATGCAGGTCATTGCCGCTCTTCTACTCCTCTTGTTTCTGGAATTCAAGATCTCTTTCTTACCTGCCATCTCTCCCCCTGTGAGCTTCTCCTAGACCCAAGAACTGTGTGGGCTCAACATTTTTGGCAACAAAAGCTTTCTCGAAATAGCACAAGGTGCCTACACTCCGGCACCCTCATCGGCAGTACTATGAGCTACCGAGAAGCTTTCGCAAGGGGTAGCCCTGCGGTGTGCCTGATCTAACTTACTGTTCGCCCGCCAGCTAATGTGCAGCCTTGCCGTTAGAGACATCGGAGCTCGAAGCCCTCCGCGTCTTAGTCAAATGCGGAGAGTTTTGGGTCAGACAGTATGTATCCCTAGAAAGTGGTCAATTTGGCATGAATACTGACAACTTTCAGGCGTCATGAATGGACGTAATGAAGCATTTTTGGACTTTGTTTGCTTAAACACGTCTACCCGATTTGCAGGGCTATATCTTTCTCCGAGTTCCCAGTTTCCAATCTTCCTGAGCGAAAGCATGGCCTTTGAGGTGTAGATTAGAGGTGTGGTGCTCTGCCGCTGCGCGGGCGGAGATGAGGCCACGGCGCTCCTGGATGGATCGCAGTGATGACGTGTACGAATTTCAATATCAGGCAGCTCAGATCGGGACATCAGAATGAGGATGCTTCAGCTGCGTGGGTTGCACTCTTGCGTTTGATCTCTCTTGTGGCGCTGTTGCCATTGCACGAGTTCCTCAGAACTCTGTGCTCTCCTGGCTGAGCTTCAGTGTAGGTACTCCAAATCGCAACGCCTAGCAACTGTAATTGGAACGGCAGAACAAACACGAATCGTCCGCAGTGACTGAGTCCTAGTGTTCTGATTTGGGTTGTCTTGCCATTGGTGTAGCGTGGGTTTCTGCGAGCCCGACAACCCCCTGGCTGGATACGAATGAAAGCACCTTTGTATGTAAACATCTAAGAGCTCCAATCACTACGAAGAATAGTGTGATTCTCCTCAGGAACATTGGTTCCCTTAGCCAGTCGCCTGACTGTGACAGAAGCTACAGCGAAGTGTCTGGACCGACTCTCCTACACTCCACTGATTCCACGACCTTCCACGACCCCGCCTGCAAACCTGCGCCGCTGCTGCCTAGTACCCTCCTAGCCCTCTCATTGGCGCGCAGGTGGCTTACTCAACTAGCGTGGTGGACCGTGCCTAGGACTTTTCCACTATATAGTCCAGCTGCCCCCCAATCTTCGACGCTTCATATCAGTAAGTTCACTCCCATCCACACCCATTCCTTTCAGACCTCACTAACATTCCTCGAAGCACCCTTGTTGGGGTGGCTGAGCTCATGAATTCAGTCCACCTGGTGGCCTGTCCTGCATTGCACCACGCGGCGACGGGCTACTATGAGCCTCCTTCGGGATCCTCACCGGCGTAATTTTTGCTGGCCAGCTCTTTGAGCGCAAATCTTTTCATTGACTGACTCGCTTTATGCGGGTGGTTGAAGAAGAGCTTCTTCTTTCTTTGCTTGATCGTCTGGCTTGACTATGACCCTGTTGGTTGTGTTCTTCGAGGTCTTGCATGTTGACGTGATGCGCCTTGTTGCTGTTATGCTGCGTCTACGCGTCAGGCTACCGCAGATTCTCCCAATTATGAAATATAACTACATGTTTCTCTTCTGTAACAAGTCTCTTTGACGCCGATTTCGCAGTCTGAAGTGCCTCTTCCCTCCAACTACCGTCTCCTGCCTGCTATTCAGCTCCCGAGTCCTGACATCCACGCCCTCAATTTCTGCAATGGCCAGAGGTATCTTCTGCTCCGATCGAATCAGCCCTCGCGGTCGTCATAAGCTTCCAATCAACAGCGTGCCTCCAAAACACACGCCTAATCTCCGCCTTCCACACTCTATCTCCGCCTCCCCGCCGATTCCCACCTCCAACGCCTCTACATCCGCCCTCTCCTCCGCCCGGCCCAGAAGTATCTCAATATACAATCCAGACAATCACCGCCCCAACCAAGCGCTTGCAGAACCCAACATACCTCCAACCGCGCGCGGAATCCTGGCCCAATTCGCCATCCTCTCCCGCAGCACCAGCCACTCCAGCCCGCAGGCGACACACACGATCAGCAGGGCGACATGCGTCTGGAGGACCCCCGCCGGCCAGAGCCAGCGGCTAAGAGCGGACGCGATGAGGAGGTGAAGGATGAGGCGGTCGAGGATGGCGGGGACGCGGGGCGCGTCTGCTGGGATGAAGGGGCCGTCCATGGTGGTGGGAGGTGGATTTGGAGAATTTAGAATGAGGGTTTGAGGGGTGCTTGAGATGGGCGAGGGAGGCTTGGGGCTGAGGGGAGGGAGGTCAAGGCGGATGGGCTCGCAGAGGTGGTGATGGGTGGGACGGAGTGAAGGTACGGTAGGCAGACTTTTGTACCAGAGCTAGCCCTCGGCGCTCCTAGGACGTCATAAGTTGAGGGGCTGACGAGATCTTTGGTCTTTTGGTAGATGCTCAGCTTCAACCCCAATCCGCGGCGTGAAGAATCAACGAGTACGACGTCGGTTAGGAGAACAACGTCCCGGTGCATCGCTCTAGTAGTCTAGATCTATGCCATCCTTAGGAAAGTGCATCTTGATGTGTATCTTAGTCTTCCATCCACGTTGTCTCTTTAATGATTTCCCACCCTCAATAAGGTATAGTTGGGATAATAAATCAGTACAGTAACGCTTATCTTAAGCCGCTGCCTCTGAGATCAGGAAATTGGATTGGGAGGAAGAGAAGGACTAGAATACAGAGGCGTTATATTTAACAGAGGAGGGAAGCTAACAACTGAAAATGTGAACGGAGTCAAAGTTCATTTGATGGACACCGAAGGCAGGTAAACTTTGCAAAAGCTTACGTTGTGAGCAGCTGCCACACCGGGCGCTTGTGGTGGAGGTAAAAGAGCAAAAAAAGAGCAAAAAAAGAGCAAAAACTTAACTTCGCTATGTTAAGAAAACCCCGGGCAGTTTTTTTTCGGACGGACGGCGACTCGAACCTCTAAGCTTATGTTAGCGAGACCCCTTGAGGATTGAAAAGCGACAAGGCACGGCACGGCGACGGCAAAGCAAGCTATCTAACCACTACGCCGAGTGGTACCCCGAAGGGCGAATGGTCGTCTGAATAATAAGGTACATATACCCCGACTCGAAGAGGCGCGTCATAATATTAGCTATGAGAAGTCGCAAAGTGCATCCGACTGCTCCAAGACTCAAGGAGTAGTATTAGACATCGTCACGTTGCACATAGATAACCTCAAATTAAGTAGACAGTTTCCATTGAGTACTAGAGCCCCCAAACCGTCCAACTCTGCGTGGTCCCCACCCACCGACCACCCTGCGTTGCTAACCGCTCGTTCGTCAGGCTTAGTTTGGAGACCACCTTCGCTCTAACTGCTAATCTGATGATATACATTGCTGACACCGTCGACGGCTGCTTTCGCCTCTTGGCCCAGTAGAGCGGAGGTGGTCTCCAAACTAAGCCCCGACGAGCCAGCGGCCCAACGCACCCTAACCACCCACCACCGAAGCCTTTTGGTGCCCTCCTCTCCCTTCGAAATCTCTTTTCTTGTGCTGGAGCCCCACCCGGGTAAGTGTGGGTCGTGAAGGGTTGGGTAGGACTCCAGTGTCGACTCGTCTTCCTCAGAGTGTTGCCGGACATGGACTGGAAAGACAATCTATGCGAGTTTGTGAGGGTGATGGAGGATTGTGCGTGAAGGTTGCCTCGACATGCTTGCGGCGGCTTCGGTGGGCTGTGGAGCGACTTGTGGTTGGTCGGCCAACACGCGCACCCCTCCCTTCAGTCCATGTCCGGCAAACGTGGGGTTGATGATTGTGTGAGGGGAGCTTAGAGGAAGGCGGGTCCATGGTCGTGTATCCTTGTGGACGGCTGCGCGCCATTGAGACTGTTGCGTGGAATTCGAAAGACGATGTGGTGTTGGTGCGGATGCTGTGACGTTGTCCGAGAGGGAAAGTTAGTGTGGGAAAGGTAGGGATGGGAGGAACAATAGGCATATCTTGAACACCTTCGACGCTCGCCACCGGCACTTTGGGTTCCCTCTTTGTCCTCTCCTCCCCTGCACCTTTCGCAACCGTATCCTCCACTCAGTCGGCATGTGGAATGAGCGGTTGTCTGGACCGGTCGCCTCGGCCGAGCAAGCTCTCATCAGAGCACGTCGATGTACACAGAAGATCTTGTTCACCATGTAAAACAGTGGTATCGGTATACTGGATGTAGACGTGATATGTGCGGCCATCAGCGTTTGGCTTGACGGAGCTCGTCCAAGGTCTTGAGTACACGGAGCTCGGTGCTGCGCGCGGAGACATCTGCAGAGGCTTCGAGTTTGAGGGAATCGTTACTCCAACGCTGACGTACCATGGCACCGTATCACCATGTCCTGGTGAGACTTTGTGGCGTCTGAAAAGTAGGCTTGGTGAGCTGGAAGAGTATTGTGGGTCGACGTGTTGACCTCTGCGTGGACCGAAAGCCTCGCCCGATCGGAAACAAAGGTAGTAGTTGGTGTTGCAGGCCTGACAGGTCGATAGCAGTCTTTGTGTGGTGGTGAAAAGAGACAGCCGTTTGTCTGTCATGTCTGCAGGGTGTTAGATAAGGATAGAAGAGTCACTAGATGCTAACTGGTCTTACAAGTCAGGCTTGTCGCTCCTAGATCTAATCGACGGAGCCGTTCGTCAGGCCATAGATGGGTCTGGAAGACGTTGGATCTAGAATGAAGACGCCGCAAGAGGCTGCTTGGCCGTACCATGTCGGGCTCTTCACAGTCGGGCTGGTGACCATTGAGCCACCCTTCGCCGTCGGGCTCGTTGCTGCCCATGGCGAGACACAGGAAGACAGCGGCGTCGTTGGAGGCTTCGCCACCCCCTCTGACGACGTGATGAGTACAGACGGCTGTAGATTGTTAGCAAAAGTCGAAGAGTTGCTAGAAGAGCTGTTCGCTTACCAGCCGTCGTGCAGAACAAGAGACTTGGTGCGGATGGCGTGCTTTGAGCGTCAGACATGGATATGATCCGGCCTTGACGTGTAGAAGTTGCTAGCAGGACATGTTGAGTGGAATGAGAGGCCTACAGGGACATGTTGGATGGGATGGGATATCCTACCTACATGACATGTTGAGTGGGGTGGGATATCCCGTGTCGTTCTCTCTGTCAGAGGGCTAGCGAGAGAAGAAGAAATCGAAGGGAGGAGCTCAGGGGGTAGCTCGAAGATGAACATGAAGGTGGTAGGAAGATGTGAAGTGGAGGAGAGATGGAGGTTTGCGGGACTGAGGCTGAAGATGTGAGTCGCCGCCTGCCTGGGCCCTCGAAACCTGCCAAGTGGGCCTTCGCTGGTCAACCGCCAGGGACCGCTGATAGATGGCAACGACTGCAGTAAGACGAGCCGGGTCAGAAAGTAATCACACTTCCAAATTAATAACCGTGAAGCTGTTGCGGGAACTGCGATGATTGGGCTAATATTTAGAAATCGGAGACCAAGTGGCGGTACCAGGGATGATTCCTTGGGAGAAAGAGAGTGTACCATGGTTGACGGAAAGCTCTAAATGAACTTCATTATTAGCTTTTCGCAGTGTTTCGGATTGCACGAAGCACTCTTTGGCTGGTTCATCCCGCAACTCGTGCTACGCTGAATCCATAGCTTCAAAGACCGTCGGCGTGGCACGAAGGGAACAGTAACGGGTCTGTGCCAGGGCAATTTATACAGTCTGCAAGCCTCGCACAAGGCCCGAAGAAGCAGGAAGTATCTTTATGCTCTCAGAAAAACCTCCTCAACTTCCTGCTATAATGTAGAAAGATTCTTCCTTCCGTGCTCCAAGCATTCCCGTCAAAAGCATGTCTGGCACCCCTTTTCATCCAAGCTGCGATAACGCCAGCGCCTTCCCTCCTCCCAGTAGATGTAGCCTCCTGGGTGTCCCCTGTATATGATCTCCCCTCGGCTCCCCTTCCTCCGAGCCCGTATGCCTTGCTGCTGTTTCCTAGCCGTGGCTCGAAGGGCAGCCTTCGACGGCACCCGTCGCTCCATCCCGATGCGTTCGTCTACGCAGTATCGAAGCCCAAAGGCAGCAAAGAGGCTCTCACGTATCCCTGTGCACTCGCTGTTATGCTTCTTTGCTGTGGTATTGACACTCGTTGGCGCCCCTAGGTGGCGGGAAGACGCCGACTGGGACCAGGCTCGGAGACGCCCTGAGGAATGCGATAGCGGAGGAGATGCCGATGAAGCGTGCGAGTCTTTGGGACACTTTGGAGGGAGCGGGGAGGTTCAACGTGGACGAGGCAGGTGGCGGGAGTGTCGTCGTAGTCGAGGGTTTGCTGGGGTTTGAGGCGTTGCTGGCGGGCCCGGGGAGCTCGTCTTCCGGAGTGAGCTCGCAATGGAGAACGAACGGTGGAATTCAGAGGTAAGTCTGGCATGGAATAGGTGGGTGGTGCAGTATCCCCAGTGCGGTGTTTCTCGGTGGTGGTGGTGAGCGTTCCGGCTGGCTCGGGGATGCCCGCAGAGCGGCCACGGCCAGCAAAGCCGCATCCTCCACTGAGAGGTGAGTCTTCCATATTTTTTCCTAGAGCATTTTATTAGGTACGGGCATCCTCCAAAACTCCTTCGCACCCTTCGTAAGTAGCGTAAAGGTCGAAACGCTGAGATTCTGTGCTCATTTCGAGCTACCCACGCGGCTGTCCTCTCCCCTCCCAAAGAACAGTGAGCGAATCTATTACCCCTTTCGCGAGCGGTTCGAAGTAGCTGAAGTCGTGTTTCATGCCCTGAACTCGCAGGGAAGCATTACCTGGACATGGTGTTGAGATTTCTCCCAACCTTGAGAGCCCTACGACTTGCAGCTTTTGTCCCCCACTGAATAAAAATTGCGCTGGTACCTTTGCTAAGCTGGAACAGGACATATATAAGTCATCTTCAACTTACGGACTTCCTCAGCGTCTTCATTTTTAGTCGTGGTGTGAGCTTTCCTCACGCCCTTGCACGAGAGCTCCTAGGCGTGCATGGCGGGCTGGTCTCGCACTGAGTAGGCATGCTATCTCACGTACTCTAGAAGCTTCCTACGCCCTTTACCGCCGCCCCGTTACCCTCAGTGATCCCCAAAGTGGTCTTCGGTAGACGTGAAGTGCCAATTCCTGCTTCCCATGCACGTCCGGCGCGCCGCCCCGAGCAAGCAGCGTCGTACACCACTGAGCGATTGCAGCTATCTCTGCCCCTTACCAGCCGAATAGGCTTGCCTTCAAGGCTCTCCGACTTTGCGGTATCTTCCGCAGCTCGCGGTGTCGTCGTGGTGTGGCGCTTTGACGACATTGCATGGCTGCACGATGCCGCGCAAAGCCCGATTGTGTCGGCCGCCACAGCATCACAACCACAGCATCGAATTCTATTTAGAACTTTGTGTCCATAGCTTCGAATCATAGGATACCCGCATTATGAATATAGTAATTGCAGCCCAAAGCGTTGCCACCCTCCTCTCCCAATCCGCTCTCCGCTCGATCTCCGCCAACCCCCCAGCCGCACCTTCCCAGGTTTCCACCCAGCAACCACCACAATCGCAAAAAAAACACCCATTTGGAGGATGCGCAATTGCCGCGGAGAAGGTAGCGTGTCGTTAGAACCATCAAGCACCAAAATTGGAGTCGTGGTTGCGAAGTGGCAGACGGGTCTGGAGAGGGCGAGGCTTGCGGGTCGGTCAATGCTGGCAAAGGCTGAACACCTCAACAACCATAACCTCGAGCTTGACCGGAGTAGCATGTAACGATTCGTAAAGATGCGACCTCTTAGCTGTGGCATTCAGGGCCTTGAAAATGGTGGCGTCGTGGCCTGAGGTTGACGAAGGCGGGCTTAGACATCGGTGGCTTGAGGACATCCATCGTGAAGCCAAACTCAACATCACGGTGCCGGGCGAAAGGCGAGCAAAGAGACATAGCACGTAGATTCATGTATCAAGAAAGCATAGCCTGAGCAGCTCAGGCCTTCGCGTTATAGACTCGACGCCTTGACGCGTCCAGCGGCTTCGACTTCTGGACAGCAATCTCAACACCACGGTCAGCAAGCAAAGCACATCACAAAGACACCACAATCAAGACGCAAGAGAATAATGAAGGCAAAGATCCATTCTTCTTCTTCAAGCACCCGCACAAGGCGAGTCACTCAATGAAAAAAAGCTGCTTGGTGGAACGGGCCCCCCTCCCGTTCAAACCCCAGGCTGACCGGCCGAAGCCTCCTGGGTCCTCGCGTCTCTCGCACGAACCGAAGTCCATTGTACGAGGAGCTATCCCTGTCCTTGGAGCGTCAACCTGTGGGGAATTCAGTACATGTGTTGATGTGAGTTTGAAGGGGAGGAGCCTGGAACTTACTTTTGCTATGCTGGTTACATGCTGCCGTCGTTTCGTTGCTGTTGGAGAGAAGCGTAGTTAGCCATTCGATTCAGAAAAAGGGGAGTGTGACAAAAGAAAAGGAACAAAGCTGTGGTGATCCTGGATCCGGATGGCAATGGCAGGCTCCGTGGAAGTTTGGAGGGACTGGTGCTTGTGGGTGTTGGTGCTCTGGGCGTTGTCGAGTCCCGAGTGACCGGTGCTTGTGGGTGTTGGTGCTCTGGGCTTGAGCCTGGTCAGGACTGGAGATTGAAAAGTTCAGGAGGAAGTCGGCCTTTTGTAGGAGAAGATTTGCTAGCGCGGTGCCTAGCGCGATTTTAGTCATCAAGCCAAGCTCCAATCGTAGGCTGTTGTGGACATATATAACGTTCGATACGCAGTGGTAGAAGTGTTTTGATACGCGGGGCAGTCGGCAGGTAGGCAACAGTCTTCTAGAAGTTGCTGTCACGGGATTCCACGGCCGCTGGGCTTGGAGGCCCGATACTGTAGCTCTGTTCGAGTTTGTATAGTGTTGCAATAGAAGAGGAGGGCAGACCACGAGAGCGGTTTCATTGGGAAAAAGCAGCAGTCGGGCTTCCCAGTTGCATCAAGAAAGCTACTCCCAGGAACAAGTTAGCAAACTTAACGCGTAGATCGCCAAGCAGGTAGATAGTAGCAGAAAGTCAGGTTGCATCTAGATCCATTGACCCAGTATTGCATGCTCACTCAGTGCGGGAGGCAACGCAGACAGCCCTCGGGATCCTTAGTCTACTCAGTCTTCCGGGCAGCACCTGCTCTCATTCCACGACGTCTCTGACATATCAAAAGTCCTATCTTGCACGCCTCCGCAACTGCACTGCACCATCTACAGGAAAGGGCAGTTTTCCCCTCGGCCATTGTTGTGTGCCCAACGTCCCCGTTGATTATGATGACGTTTTGCACCTGCCGAAGCCGTCCGCAACACCAACGATCGTGGCCTCCGCCCCTAAGACTGTCAGTCTGTCAAGGGTTCCTATCGAAGATCAGCGCAGCAATAGAGATTTACGGGAGCCCGCTTTGGAGTCGGATCCTACCTAGATGCACCGTACGCCAACCGGGATAGATGTAAGCGCCGCCAGTTAGGTGCCAACCCCGAGAACGATCCTGCCCAGAAGAGCGGCCACGAGACATCCCCAAAACGACTGTTTCCTCCTTGACATCAATCTTACCGGCCACGCAACACCACGACATTATACAGTCACGATACAACCTCGAATCCAGCGGTCGACAGGACTTCATGAGACGCTCCCTATATACTCACGCGATGGCGAGGCATTCCAACTTGCGACTGCATGAATGACGGAGATTCGTCGCTCCCAACTCGTACTCTACCAGTCCTCCGCAATTCAATGCGTTCGCCCTCTCACAAACTACAAAAGAGAAGACTAGCGGCGAGAACCCGCCGTCCTTGCGATTAACGATTGGACGAGGGAACGGACTTGTTGAGATCAGGATTCCTGGAAATGGCACATGGGTTCAAAAAAGAGTCAATCTAGGGGTAAAGAACTGTGGAAGGGCTGGCGAGAATCCAAGAAGAAGTAGGGAAGCACGGGAAAACGCTACCGGGCAAAACAGTGGTCGATCATCTTATCAACCTTGGCTTCGTTCTTTTCCAGCGGAGCAAGCACATCTACAAGCGGCGAAACTCAACTAAGCGTCGAAGGGCTTAGAAAAGCAGGTCTCGATCTCGCATAATCAATCATAAAACGGTGTTACCTGGAGTATGAAAGGAAGAGATACCGCGCCTCAAACAAACTCAAATTCGGCCCACCCCAATGTCATCCGGCTATTCTACGCCAATATCAACTTCTCATACGATCTAGCTATTATGCCCGCTGCGGAAGGCGGAGCTTTTGAAGCTGTAGGACCGTCGGGTATGCTTGCGTAGGTTATTCTCATACTTCGCTTTTACCAATTCTCATATGATCTAGATATTATGTCCGCTGCGGAAATGGGAGTTCTCAAACGACGAGAGTGTCGGCGGATGCTTGCGTAAGTGGTGCTTATTCTATGCCAATGACAACTTCTTATAGGATCTAGATACTATGTCCCGTGCAGAAAGACATCTGTCAAACAGCAAGACCGTCGGGCATCCACATCCACGCGTAAGTTCACGCAGTCTTACTTTTACAGCAATCCCTGACAAAACCCAGCAATTAGTTTCTGCAAAGAAGATGCTAATGTATTATATCTGACCTTTAAGACAATCGTTGGTGACACCAACGTGCGGGATCTCAGCGGACCCTATCTCTACAGAGAGAGAGACGTGATTTTTCTTTTTCCACTTTAACATGGCAGTTCAGGGTGGCGAAGCGAGGAGAGATTCTGAGAACCCAGCGTTTCCGTCTCGATTCAGGTCGACAGGCTGCTTGCTTCAGGCTTCTGGGATCCCCAACGTAGATATTGGGAATGGGCGCTGCAGAATTTAAGAACGCCGATGATTATTGTCATCCAGAATCCGTATGTTGCTGTACTATCAAGATAGACATCTTAATCCACAGGGTTCAGATTTACAAACACCACAGCATCGATTTGCTAGACAGATTCTGGACAAGCGCTTCGCCTTTCGGAGCAGCTCCTCGCCTCCAAGTCAATGGCCTCACTTTCACGACAACAAAGTCACCTTCAGGAAATGCGCAGTACCCTCGGGCAATAAAGTTAGCTACCGCGCCCGAGATACCCACGGCTTGACAGAGAGGCTGTCGAGCGGGTGTCAAGAACTTTACACTCTCTCCATCTCTCCCTCGATTAGAACATCTCCCCAACCACCACTTTCCTGGCGACTGTGTTGGCGGGAATGCTACCGACTTAGCTAGGTACTCCCCTGCAGTGAAATGCTGCGCAGATTCTATAAAAAACTGCCGTTGACTAATATAGTTGCAGTTGTAAAGCTGCGCTGTCTTGTTTGCTACAGCTACCTTGACAGGCTCTGGCGATGCGCTTTACCTTAAAACATTTACTTTACCTAGGTGAAAGCGGCCGTCTAAATAGTGAAGTACACCAGCCTAGGCCCCGCGGTGACGAACCCTTGTGGTAAGAGCGTTGCAAGTTGACCACGCCCGTAGAACCTTGATAAGCCGCCTACAACGCACTCCGCCTTTAGTAATCGGCCTTACCTAGGCAATAATCCTCTTTACCTGATATTAATACCGCCCTAAAGCGCGTAGATTTAACCCTTAGCACCCTTTAGGACCTCTATAACAAGACTATTAACGCTCGGCCGTCTTACTATCCGGAACAACACGCTCTACCTATAGAGACTCTGCTATCGCAACATGCGGCTTGTATACTTCACCAGCTTATCGAAATCTTTGTGGAAAAGCTGCCGTGTGTCGCCTAAGCTTGTAAACAAGCTCACGCCGCAACTTCTAGGTAACATAATCTAAAGTGCGTGCTCTTGAGGTCGCTTCTCGTCCATCGCGCCCCTAGCTCTCATCGCTACTCTATGCAGAACCTGCTGGTCATCGCCGAGAAGCTTAGGAATAGAAGAACGTTATCCGCCTGGAGAAGGTCTGCCGGAGGGACAATAGTGCCTAAGCAAACGCCGGGAGCCGCAGACAGTAGTGGAGAGCAGAATTGCGAAAGGGGAGAATATGCCCGCGATGCGCTCCGTCTTTTGAGACCTGTATCACCCATGCTACAATCACGTCTGCCAGGGTGAGGTCGGCATACGGCCCACGGTTGATGCTTTAATCGCTATTCAGGACCTCTACAAGCAGAGTGTCAACGACGAGCTTCATTCTCCTACCGTCCCGGACAACACGCCCTGCGACAGTTTTCGCATCTCGAGCGTTCACACTAAGCAGGCCCTGCAGAGCCAGATTAGATGCCTGTTTAAGAGAATCTGAAGAGCTGGAGAAGGAGGTGGTAGCCAGCCGGAAGGTGGGTGGGGTCCGTTAGCCGGATGAGGATTTCCTGATGTCCGAGGATGGGGAGAATTTGGAGGCTGGAGCCTTGACTCATTCCCGCGCCCGTTAAATCCGGCCTCTCCATTGTGAGATTGGTAAGGGCGGAAAAGGTGAAAGGGTGTTGAGGGTCGTTGGAGCAGGTGAAGAGCAAGGAGAGGTTGACCCCTGTGGAGCCTGAATCGCAGCCTTCCCCTACCAGTATCCCCTACACCTTCAATATCGGAACCAAAAATAGAGCCTCTTTGGAGCGTGGTGGCCGTAGACAAGAAGCTTAAGAAAGGGGCGTCAGTCTCGGCCTTGACAGATTCGATGAACGTGAAGCCAATAGCTCCCAAACGTAATGGGAGGTGAAAAGCAGGATTAGGGAAAGAAAGAACATGCCCGCGACACGCTCTGTCTTTAGTTTTCGGTGCCACCCTAGCAGCAAGTACGTCTCCTAGAAGTCCTCCGGCTTATCACCTTTGGTTGATGTGTTGAGCGTTGTCCAGAACCTCCGCGACGAGATCGTTAACCTTTGCTCATCCTATCGTCCCGGTCAACACACCTTGGCCACATGCCTCCTGACTCAGGAAGCTACACCTTGTGGGATCTACCCGCCATCGACGAGAAACTTGAGAACCAGGACCCCGGCTCAGCCTTGATGGGGTTTATGGACGTGAAGCAAGCATTTCTTTAAGCCGCTGGCTGTTGTGACTAGATTCTAGATGGGAAAGGGATCTTTGTCGGAGAACGATAACAGATGGTGAAGATTCGCCGTTAGTGGATGCGGAGAAAGCGGACACGCGGACCACGGATGGAGATGGATGTTCGGGAGATTTGCTCTTGTCGCATCACAGTCTTTCGACCGACCAGTCTGGGGTTTGGATCCATCCACGGCGCTGGACAATAGTACTCCAAGGAATACGTGGTCGTGGAGGATCAGGATGTGCAGCTGGCAGCTCGCGTTTTCAAGCTTAGTAGTATAGTTCTTCGGCACAGAAGACCTTGTTAGATTACCCTCATTGCCACAGACTTATTACTGCATCGCCAAAAGCAGTCTTACCTTCGGCCGCAAACTCCAAGCACTGCGCCAACAGCTCCGTCGCTAGCCCGCGTACCAGGATAAGCACCGAGTCTCTTGCTTGTCCTTGCTGGAATCTCGAACCACCAGCATGATGAGACTGCGAGGATGCCCTCAGCACCACACCCACATCGGCCAAACCCACGTTTCCATTAACTACGAGCCCCGACCATCCTACCTACTTTTTAACCAACAACTTCCCGGAGCTTACCAGCGGAGCACGTCTTTCTCCTTGTGAAGATACCTGGTGTTGGGTATCGATGAGCATACTGTCGGGATTAAAGCGACGTGTGCACTCTTTTCAACCGCAGCTTCGAGACGGTGAAGACAGGAGTGGGTATGAAGGGAGTAGGGACGCAGAATGAACCCGGCGATCCTATTCCAGGCAGTCCTTTTACTTGCTTGCCTGACCGGGACCTTATGGGAAACAGCTTCGTAGAGTTCACCGGCGGTTTATGGCCCGCTCGTTGCAAAGGTGCTTGGTGCTTGGTATCAAGGAGCATCCTGTCTGCATCGAGTCGATAGAGCGCGCCATTATCAAACACATCCTCATAACCAATAGCTCTTTGAGGTTTACCAGATTGTGCCCCCGTCCTCGCAAAGCCACCCGTTTGCTGGGTACCACCGAAGCCCCTGTCGGTATCAAAGTCAACCTAGCGCGCCCCCATCGACCCTGGCTTGGAGATAAGCTGGATAGTACCTTCATCGCCCAAGCAGCGGAGTAGAAAGAAGGTAGCGATCATCGGGTTTAGCCCGTCAGGGCTTGTTATTGCGGATTAGATAGACGAAGGTTCACCACTCCGTTCATCCCTGAATGGAACGAGCTTGTCGTCGAGAGCCCGTGGAGAGACGCGCCGAACCGCCTGCTCATGACGAACATTTTCCCTAGGATTACGGGACGAGTGGTCCTGCTCCGTGCGAAGGCGTGTGCGCGTTACGTATGAATGAGGAACCTATCGATATCAAGTCGATTGAGCGCGTGATCATCGAGCGCGGCTTCGAGATGGGTTGGATGATGTTTTGGCAGGACAGGCGTGTGAAGCTCCTTGTCGGAGAAGGATGACAGATGGGGAAGATACTGCTGATGGTGGATGCAGAGGGAGTATTTACGCATAATGGTGAAGAGATAAGTTCTGTGGTGCAGGATATCACTTGCTTGCTTGTGAGTGAGTAAGCGAAACCAGGCCATTCCGCGCCGTATTATCATACGGATGTATAATGTGTACATTAACTAGTGTTTACATTGATATAGTGTCGCTCATTGCGGCTGTGGGAACCGAAACCGATACACCTCTTATTTATAGCCATCAAGACAATCTAAAGTATGCGAAAGGAAGATGCTATAAACCAGATGCACAGCAACTGGTGACGGTAGAAGATTATTCCCTTGTGGTAATCTGAACTCGATGGCCAGCGTCGTAGATTTGGCGAATCGGCAATGTTCTTTGTCCCCCTTCCTTTTTCCATCCATCAACTTCTACTTTTCCCAGACCCATCTCCGATGACTCTAATAGTGCTTCTAGCGCATAGAAGAGTGTTGTTCGTATCCAGCTCTCTAAGACTTGATTGCGGAAGGCAGCGACATAGGCTGAATAACCCGGTAGCTGGAGCTTGGGGGTGGATGGGGGTCCCGCTGCTAGAGCAGGCTGTGAATTGGACTGCTGAGGGCCGGTCTTTTCCTGGCTCTTCAATTCTGCTCGCTTTTCATCTCCTTAAGGCGTCCCTTAATCTCCTTCCTACTCCCCCCAATCTCACGATCTAGAAGTCCAATTCGGAGAGGAGTTAGGATTTCAGGCTTCATCCTCTGCACATTTTGAAACTTCGTGATGCACCCCGCAGGCTAACGCACTGGCAGCTGGCGTAGGAAGGGCAAAGGATCAGTGAGGAAAGCATGAGTTGTATTGAGGTGCTAATGAGTGGCTATATAGTGAAGAGAGACCAGGGGTTGCAGGCAGCAACGGTGACAAAACAACAGGTGAACCCTGTCCAGCTGAGAAGTGAACCCTGTACAGCTGAGACGCGTAGACAGACGTGCGTAGGAGCATTCTAACTGGCTGCCACGCACCTCACCTGACTTCTTCAGACGAGCATGTAGATTTCAAGGGCTAAGAAATCAGGAACATGTGAGCAGATTCCGGTATTCCAGTGCTTTCGCTTTCCTAGGTAAACACGGCAACAGCCCAAAGTGAAGCGCAGATAACAGGTTGCGTTAGGTTCAAAGGGACATCCACAAGCGGTGCCTTACATTTAGCGTTTCCTTAGACCGTTTCTCAGCTTTCCATCCGTGTTAATGGCTATTAGGCTTGCCAGATAAAACAACTTTACGGAGGAGGATTAGCTTGTCTTGAAGAGTAGCATTGTCGCTGTGCTCGTGGATGAGTAGGCGCCAGTGCCGTCCCGAATTAAGCCCCGAGACTCGCACTATCGCCGAGTGATATAATGCCGGCGGCCGTCTGTTCTAAGCCGTGCTTTTTGACTATCGAAAATTTGAGCCATCTACAAGCCACGACGCTTTCATTCTTCGGAGGCCGCTATGAAAAGTCAGCACCCAGATATAATGTGAAGAAAGCAGCACAAGGAGAGATGGGTAGTGGCTAGGAACAAAAACGGGTAAACGCTAGTGAATAGAGAGACTCCGATGCTCACGAGTGAGGCCGAAGGTCTTTTAGCGAGGTTGTGCTGTTAGGAGGGTTTCAGATGTTAGTAAGGTTGGCACTAAAGATTGGGGCCACAACAGAGGCGGCAGTATTACAAGGCTTAACGCAGAGTAAGTGATAGCACTCGGCGAGAAGAAGAAGGCGATTCAATTGTGGACGAGGTCAGGCTAAACGAAGACTAGTCGCGCTTCAGTGCGGGAGGATTCGCATATTCGGCCGAAAGGGTTGTCATTCGCTACAGGCTGCGTTCTTTTTGGGATGCCGTCTTCTCCATCACGGTGAGAGAAGATGAAAGCCCAGGGACCCCTCCACTCAATTCCAACGTCTCTCATTAGAACTCAATAAGGGGGCACTCCTCAGCGTGCGAACCTGTCGCCTCCTCCGGGCCCGTCCTCTCCATCCCCAATATACCCGGTCCACCTCTCCATTCTCTTTCTCCATAAAATCCTCTCTGGCCTCCCCATTTGCGCCTCTCTCCTACTGCTCCGCCTTCGCTCTATCCGTGGCAAAACCATCGCAAATCGCCCCTATATCCAGTCTCTGTGGGTATCAATAAGGAAAACCAAAGGAAAAGATAAAAAACCCAAGAACCCTTCCAGTCATCTTTCCATTTTCTCATCCATCGCACTCAGCACCTGCCCCTAGAACTCAATAAGGGGGCGCTCCTTAGCACCCGCAACCGTGGCCTCCTCCCGGCCCGTCTGCTCATCCCCATCGTAGCGATCGACCTCTCCGTTCTCTTCATTCGCCTCCCTCGCCCACTTCTCTGCGTTCTCTCTGTCTGTAATGACGGATCTCCCGCGAATCCAACAATTGAGCCTACCGGCCTGAGCAACTGAAATGCTCCACCGTCGCCTTCGCCTCCATCACTCCCGCGAACTCAATCGAAAGGTCGCCTTCCGCAGTCCAGTACCGCAGAGCCGGGTTCGTCTCACACTCACCCGTCAACAGTATCAGATGGTGCTCCAGATCCGCAGGGCCAAAGTCGTCCGGGCGCTCCGCAATGCGCATAAACCGCGTCCATTCCCTTGCTCTTAGGCACCCCCGAGGCCTTATTTCTGGCCCCTACTGCCTCCCCGCTGGCACAGTCTCACCCGACACACCGGAAGTGAGGCGCCAAGTGAGCTGGAAGTGAAGGACTACCAAATCGCAATGTCCATATCCCTCCCGTCCCCGCTTCCCTTGCATCCGAGATTGTAAATTAGGCTTCGTTTGCGGTAGCTAATATTCGAGGGCCGGTAGACGGCGAGCTGGGTTAGGTTCGTAAGGTTGGGAAGGTGGATTGAGACCTGGTCTAGACTGCAGTTAGTCTCTGCTAACCGTGTCTCGATTTGGACTCACTTACCCGCTCGAAGAAAGGGCGCAGAGTGCTGTTGTTCGGGGGCGAAGAGTTCTAGTGCAAGTAGATCTCGCTGTTCACGGCTATGTTCGTAGCTGACTTGTAGTTGCTATGCTAGATAAGGTTGTAGTAGTAATCCTCCTCACCTGCAAGGAGTAGAAGCAACCGGTTTTTGTGGTTGCATCCTGTAAAACCGCCATGCCATGTAGTCCGCACAGCAGCGGCGACTCGATTGCAATTCAACCTGTGTTCGCCGATGAGCTTATCGACCTTGATAAACACCATGTAGGCTACACAGCAGCGGACAATATTGGGCTCGGCCCTAGACGGGGTGGTAGTGCTAGACATGTTGAGTGGGATGGGTGAGAGAGGTTTGAGCGGGAGTAGAGGTGACTGTTGGAGGAACGTAGAGGTGATGGAGAGATTCCCGTGATAAGGACAATGGTGTGGCAAAGTAGGGCTACGGTGACGAAAGTCGCTGTCCACGTCCAGGTGAGTAGTCGACTGGTAGCCGCCGGCTTGTGCTCTTGTGACCAGGCTGCGGTAGACATTGCCACCCTCCTTTGTGACTGTGCCATTGCACAGCTCGCCCAACGTCTTCGCGACGACGCGGGCTGAGGAGACTGGTAAGGTGCTGTTCTTTCGCATGTCAGAGAATAGCGTAATGTGGAGAGCCCGAAGGTGGTGTCGTTAGGTGTTTAGGAGGTGGAGATTGAGGTTGAGGTTTGATATTGGAACTTGCGTAGACACTGATGACTTACCGCACCACCGCATTTTCCTCTCCACCAGCTTCATCACCACTAGTCTGCAACTTCAAAAACAAATGGCAAAACACCACGACTTAAAGAGATAGAGCTACCTGGATAGAAATGAAATGCAAAAAAAGTACTCCTCATTAGGACTCTGAGCGGATGCCGCCTTCACGGGTGTCGAACCCGGCTCTTGTGGTTGCAACTATGATAGGCGTTAGCGATGTTTCTTTCTTAACCACCCTCACCAGTGAACGGGTGAGGGCGAAAGACGGTCGAACTTACATCAATTATATAGTTAGGAACAAGCTACTTCGTGGTCTAAGCTATTAGGATATGAGCGGGGAGACGCCAGCCGGGTTCCTACATCGACGTCATAGCTTCTTAGCTACTCCTTGCGCTTAGTGGACACACGATGGTGGACGAAGATAGCTATCTAAGTAAGTAAGGGCAGCTACCTCTCTGCCTGAATGCTCTTTGGATATATCACTCTTCACTGGCAGCCGATGCTTGTCAAGAACCGCAACTCTCTACGGCAATGCCGGATTAGGCACGACGAGTCTTGAGGCTCCCTAATATAAGAAAGCATGATGTTTTTGAAAAGGTAGTATTCCACTTTCCGCGTTGTCCACGCCCACCAGATTGTACTTGCGCCGAAGCCTTCCCTCTGCACCTGGCGCCACTAGGCCTGCAGAATCTCCGCTGATTATGTTGGAGTTGGCTGCATGTTGGGTCGGAAAGCTCCACTAGCAACCACGCTTTCCTCCTCAAGCAACTACGTTCTCGCAAAAAAGAGCCTGACGAGGAACACTCTTGACGATACCTCCTGTAACCGGCAGCATGCTACCCAATCCGGTCAGGAGAGAGTCGACCACGGCTCTCCTCAACTCACGATAATTCATGTCTCAACCCCGGCTATTCTCTGCCTCTCATTTCTCCAAGGAGTCCCGGTCCCTGCCATGTTCCTCGACCCCCTAGGGTTTACCGCGTCCTCCAACGCGTCCTCCAACTCCACAGCTTTTCCTCTCCGGTCTGTCTTTCGTCGATCCATGACCGCTCCTCTCTGATGGGTGAGACTCGGTGCCATACAATGAGCGCCGCGACTGCTTCTGCACTCACCCGTGCACGCTGTTCCTTCTGGAGCATTTTAGCAGCAATTGCCTCCTTCCACATGCTGCAGACTAGACCCATTGAACCTCGTTGACGCCTCCATCTATGACCAACGAGAACCGACGACAAAGGCAGCTGAAAAGGCTCTTTTGACTAGCTCAGTACGTGCTAGCTGAGGCGCTCCTCACGGTGGCGTCGAGTGGGTAAGAAGAGAACCTGAGCAGTGAAATCTCAGGGCTTGCCAGTACTGGGCCGTCATCGCAGGAGACATGCCAGCGGTTCTGCCTGGGGCTCCCTGCTGTGCAGATTCCACAGGGCAGAGGCTCGGTGCTATGCTCAGGAGTAGGAGAGTCGAAAAAGTGGTTTCGACGCCTAATGGTCTGGGAACGGGGGCGTAGCGCGAGTGGCGCGCGTTTGCCCGGTTCCTCGAGGTAGTCGGATATGAAAGACGCGTGACGGTGGTCCAGCACCCGCCACACAGGCTCAGCCGGTACGCCTTTGTGCTCCGCGTTCATGCTCGGCATGCGGTAGACTTGTCCCAGGTTGAATTTGGCACGGAAGTTCTGCGCGAAGCGGCCTTGGCGTTGACGCTGAAGACGCCCTTGCCCTTTGCGTCAATAATTTGCTTTCACTGCTATATTGTTCGACAGAGTCCCGCGGAAAAAGAGGTGAAGGAGCCGCTTGAGGATTTTCATCTGATGGTTCTTCCATGAGGGATTGTCCGCACGGGAATGGGGTCCATCGTCCGACGCTCTGTACTTATGTGAGCGGATTGATTTGGCGACATCTGAGATCAGTTTATTCGAAAGGCGCTGTCTCCCCCAAGCCCGCCGCGGGATGTCGTCCAGGCCCTCGAGAAGGGGCAGTGGCGGAGATTCGTCACCCCCGCTGAGGAACTGTAGGGTCGGGAGGCCAGTAGTATCTGCGTAGGTGTGGTTAGCCACAGGGCAGTAAAGCGCTTTGCAAGACCCTACCTGTAAAATTCTCGTTCGCGATGTCACGACGACGGGAGGGACGCAGCGGACGGATCCGTGAGGCAGCGGATGGGCGTGATGCTGCACCCGGCTGGGGCGGAACGGGCAGTCCAGCGTGCTGGCAAGGAGGCGCGGGAGCGTCGTCGATATGGAGGGTGCTTCTCAAGGGTGGATTGGAGAGTGTGGATGCGGGATGGGTGCAAGGGAAACCATGCGGAGGAGCTGCACGTGCTTCCCGCAAAGCGATCTTTATCACCAAAGGAACAACATCCAAACTTCGAACAAACATCAAACATCCAAAACCTCCAGATCTACAAACACTTCCAATAGCACAAAATGCTCACCCTAACTCAAATCTCCTTCGCCGTCTTCATCGCCTTTATGCCCGTCCTGGTAATCATCCGCTGTTTCTACGGTCGTGCAGGCATTCTCTGGCTGCTCTACCGCATACGCCGACTCTTTGCCAGCTTCTGGACTGAGCTTTGGACGCCTGACTCCGAAGCCTCGGGGGCGTCGGTGGAGCTGGCCAACACCCCCCGCTAGCTGGAAGAAGGAGCTTCGCCTGCTGTCGGCCGTGAGCTCAGCGACGACAGCGACGACAACGCCGAGACGCCCTTGCCCGCAGGCTACCTAGTCGCATCGCCCTCACCCGCGGCTACTGGAATCTCTTCTTCCTCGCTCGCAGGCTACCCAGTCCCATTGTCCTCGCTCGCAGACGACCCGCCTTCTCCGTAGCTGTCCCCTCGGGGACGCCAACCGCTCAGACGCTTCGCCGCTGCCCAGGACCAGAGAGCGCCGTGACCTTTGGACTCACGAGGCAGAAGCCCTTTTGGCCAGTGAGACTGCCTAGGGCGGGTCTTCAGGTCACTGGACTCTTGGACTAATTTGAGGGATCTTTGCCCAAGTGACGGACCGGGACAGCGGGCGAGCCGGCAGGATTAAATCAGAGGGACGACGCCACAGAAGATGCGGAACACCTACAAAGCCAACTCGACGCCTTGGAAAACAAGCACTCACAGCTCCTCAGAGCCGAACAAGACCTCGGCGAACAGCGTGACGAGCTCCCCCGAAAGCGAGCTGAGCTTGACCAACAAAAGAACGACTTGATGGGTTAAGGACGACGCTTCTCCGGCCGTATCGAAGGATAGATCACGACGACAAGATGTTTTGCCAAAAGTCAGCGGACGGGCGCCGCGCTTCGGAGGTCATGATCGAAGACATTGGAGGCGTCGTGCCTGGAATCCTAAGCAACGAACGCGAGCCGCTGTGGGCTTTCTGGAGAACATATCGATCGCGAGCGCCGCCACCCATGTCCGACTTTGACCCAGACGACTGCCCTTCATTCCGGTAGCCTACTCGTCGTCATGCTCAAGGAGGTATATCTGTGTTTCCCTTTGCTATCGTCACCACCCGCTCCTTGGTAATGCCAATAGCGACGTGGGAACTTCACAACTCCACTCCCATTGAAATCGGCAGCGCCCTGGTCAATGCTGCCGCACGCCTCGTCGTTGTCTAGAGGATCCCTCCCCAGACCATGTTCAACGTGCCCGCGCTCGTAACAACGCATCGAGAGCCTCCATGCCTAGTTCTACGTCGTCCTCCGCGCCCCTCGCCCATTACTCATCTACGACGGCAATAGTGACGTGGGAGCAACACGATCCGGCTCTTTTCGAAGTTGGTCGCGCGTAGGTCAACTACTCGGCTACAGAGATTCGGAAGATTCGAGGGCTGAAGAGTACGGGCATTCATGAAGCACTCATATATGCGGATAGCTCGTATGTTGCATTGAGCGGGAACATAGCATTCTATGAGGACAAGCGGAGTAGGCCTGCGAGCCCGGTGCTCACGGATGGCAGCGTTGGTTCGGACTGCGGACGCTGCAAAAGACGGAGAAAATGGTACAATCAGTCTGCAAGGAATGAGCAGAGTCATTCTGTTGGTCCATGTCACACCGCATATTTCCGAGTAGATCCCGTGGAGCACGGCCAGCTCTCATATCATCCATTGTGTCGGCTAGGTCGCCTGTTCGCTTCGCAGCATGCTCCGGTGGGCGTATCCTACTGCTCCGGAACTCCTCCCCACCTACGTTGGTTAATGTCCGCGACACCACGCGGCACCAACAACCGCAGCGACCAGGTGAGCAACGTCTTTGTCGGAGCCCACTTCCAGCTTCAGCCACAACCGCACGAGAAAGAAGTACAGCTTCTTAGCTTCGCCCAGCCTCCTGTGCGCACGTACACAAGGCCAGGTAGGTTTTTTGGGGCTACCACGGCTAGAGAAATCAGGTAAAAGCGCACCTGACGCGGCGAAAGAAGTTTCCTCATGAGCCAGACTCCCATCCACAACTACGAACGAAACCACGATATCTGCTCTGCAGTACCAGCAGTGCCGTGCGTGCGTTAGACAAGACGCCTGTCATGCTGCCCGTCACTACCAAGGATGCGATATCTGCTCAAATTTATAGCGACTTGAAGCCTCCTCCTTTCGAAAGCGGCCGCCATGTACCTATCATCGCAAAGGACGGCATTGGAGCTACCATCAGAGACACTCCTGCGCCGTCAGCCGGGTAAACACGACTGTCCATCGCATAACTGACATCCGCAGCGTTCTATCGTGAGAGGCCATCCGAAATTCTTCGTCAATTCTCCTGGGGCACCTTGCTGAGATCCGTCAGCGCACGAAGGAAGTGGAGAGCGAGGACGATGGCAGAAAAGGAAGCAAAGTTGGTCGATAGATGTGCGACATTCTACAGGAACAGCGAGCATATCCTAATGGACAACCACCTCGTGGACGTCGCCAATACTGCCATCAATCGGCCAGACATGAGGGGTGAGCTTCACGGGCGACGTCGTCTACGTTCGCTCGTCCGTTTTCGGCAAATCCTACGCTCACGGCCAGTTGCTGAAGAAGTCAAAGCCAAAGGTGCGGTACAGGTACAATTGGATTAAGGTTTCGCCAGGTCCTTCAACAACGAGGTGTGCATTCGCGCTATGGAATTCGAAGATGGGGTCTCAAGGTCGACTCGGATTCGGATGTGCCGGCTCTCTCTTGGGCCTGATGACTGCGACGACTCCATCAGCGACCTTCTCGAAAACCTGGTTGAGATTGGTGCCACTCGCTGCATCCATGCTCTTGATGCAGAGGAGGGCCGAAGCATGCCCACCTTGACTCACATTGCTAGAGGCAAGGATCGCAAGGTTGAGAAGATGAGGCGGACTGGGATCGTCTGGTGTCCTACGGCTCCGGGCAGATAGGAATGTGTTTGAGCGTGGAAACAACGAGCTCAAAAGTTGAAGCAATTTGTCGGGTCCATCCATCAGCGGTGCCAATGAAAAACCCGTAAAGTGACACAAATAGACATCTATCACCAGTATGAAGGGTTCATGATCTGTTGCACCGAGATCGCCTTCGAGGATGTCACTGTGAATACTCTGAATTAGCCCTGGCCAAAGAAGCATGCGACGCCGGATTAAAAACCGAACACGAGAGCCTCCCGACAGCGTCGATAAGGTCACAAATGTGCTAGAGTAACAACTTGAATCCTGGTGGTACTGTCTGTAGTGTTTGGGGTGGATTGCAGTTGCGGACGGATCTGTGCCAAGTCTCGCACGTGACGACACGTGATTCCGCCCCACCCCCTGAAAATCACAACTTTGTTTTATACGGATGGTCTGCTCCCCGCCAAAATATCTTGGGCCCTCACGGTATTTTCCAGCACTACGAGGCTGATTGAAGCTGATATGCTCTCAAAATAACGTAGCTATACAGTCTCCGACCTCATTTTCGCTCTCTTCACTGTGACCGCCAAATGCAGTCTGCCATCGCAACATAGAACCACGCTTCAGCATATGATGCCCTAACCTGATGTATATTTACAACACCAATCGGCTGTTTGAGCTGCCTCGACTCGCCTTAGAATTACTAGCACAATCCCCAACACAGCCGTATGATATCGAATTCCTGGACCTCGATATTGTTGAATGTACCTCTCTTACTCCCATCACGGAAGCACTCCCGCAAATTAGCCCACTCCTTTCACCAAAATGCCCGGTGCTACGCCCCTTCCAGCTAGCGTCTACCCTTCACTCAACCCTTCCCGCACAGCCCAAAATCTTCCCAATCCCCAGCGACCACCACGAACCTTTAAACAGCGCCCTCAAACCATCCACGTCCGCCATCAACTCCGCTCTCGGCTGCAAACCGCACCCCCTAATCACATCCTCATAACCATCACCACGCCTCTCCTAGCCACCCCCAACGCCGCCATCATGAGCGCCGTTGTCTCTCGCCGTAAGCCCGATTCCGAGCCTGCTGTCCAAAGGGAGCAAGTTATCTGCTGATATGAACTTCTTTACCTTGTGGATTGAAGACCTGAATTGAAGCTGTTATGGCGTGTGTCTAGCACATCTCTGACCTTGTCGAGGCCCCTCTAGCTGTAGTCAATACGAGTGATTGAATATGTCAGAATCTACACAACGTGAATTGACATGAACCTTTTCGAATGATCATTCTACTTGCGAAGTGTTATTTGGATAATCTTCTAGTCCGCTTTGGAACGCTGAGATATGCTCTGAGACACCCCGGGATGAATTGAATCCAGTCGTTGAGAATGTAAAGTTCTCTGGGCTTTAAATTGAGACGAGGTTCTGCGCGTTGAGTTCTTTCCCGCAAGTACGAATTCAGGTTGATAGGGTTCGTTTTGCGGCGGTTTAGGAAGAGGTGAGACACCACTAAATACATGAGTCTGAGGGAATGAGTATGTAACGGCGGGCAGAGTTAAATTAGACCACAGTCTGAGGTCTTGCTTGTTATGTCAAGATACTAACAAAGTCCGGTTCATTTTGCGTTACTTCAGAAAAGCGTGAGACACCACAGTCCATATTGAAAATGATTGTTGACCATGTCAAGCTATCCAGGCTCCGAATCGGGATGAGGGCTTCCATATCAGAGAAATGCTCACGGAGCGAGAATCAGGGAATGCGGCCGCTCTTTTTGCAATGACCATCCATAATGTGAGACGCCCACCAACCCATGGTGTTGATTCCGTGAAGACGTCATAGATTACGGAGGAGAAAATAGGTCGAGGCTGGCTGTTTGGTAATAGCGACCGCTTTTTGAACGTCATAGAGGTTACGTGATAGACCAGACCCCTTACACTTAGTCATTTGCCAACCTCGAATATATCCTGTGATACCCGAGGCCATATCAACCCTCTCTATCAATTCGAGCCCATCCCATTTTCATTTTCATCCTCACAAGGCTTCTGCTCCCACGGATCCCTACCTCCGCACTCTCTATCATATCGCAGGTCTCGATTCGCCTTCTGGCGACGTCGATACTGCTCCTCGCACGCGGTACATTCATCATCAGTATCCGCGCCGTCGCAACATTTCTCGTACTGCCATTCACAAACGTCGAGACACGCCTTTATCAGATGCTCCGCCTTGTACACCGGGCATGTGTCGGTCCGTTTGTATGTGTAAAGCTTGAAAGGGAAGTCCCAGGCTTGCAGAGGGTTGTCGTTGCATCCGACACAGGGAAGCTTCGCACCGCGCCAAGAGCGAGGACCGGAGCAGAGACAGATCGGGGGTCGGGAGGATGCGGAGGTCTCGTTGATGGTGGAGACCATGGTTTTGTGGTTGAAGGTGGCGGTGGTCTGCGATGACTAGGTGAAGATGACGAGGAGCTTCTTCACGAGGACTTAGAACTGGAGCTAGAGCTGGAGCCAGAGCTGGAGGTTGAGGTTGGCGGCGGCTTGCAATCATCCGTAGATTCCAGAATTGGCGCTTCGTAGATCTGTATACTAGAAGTCCCGCCGCATTTTTAATGAGCAGGTAACGTCGCAGCTTCTTGGTGGGCGAGCAGCAGTTCCGTCCGTGAGAGCAACGTCGCATAAGCAGCTCGTTCCGTTCTCAACACCAGTGAGGGGGTAGCCCTTTGAACCGCAGATACCAGTACAAACCTGCGGGGTCGGCTTGGAAGAGTCAAACGCGCCAGCCTCAGAGATGTTTAAAGCTCTGTTGATTGGGTCCGTGTCTGACCAGCAGCCTGCATTGACATAGTTAATAGTCGAGGCCGTCTTGGCTAGGACAGTAGGGCCATGATACAAGGAGAGGTAGAAGGTACCACCACATATCTCCGACGGGTCACTGTTGCAACGGGTATCGCAGTACACATCGCTAACTTTTGTTGTGGAGATACTGGTGCCGCAAAAACATTGGGCCGTAAACTTCGAGCCCGGCGTAGGGGTAGTGGTTCTTTTTGCAGAGCGCTGTACAGCTCGCGATGGTGTCAACGTTAGGAAGGGTACCGTTGTCTGGATATGGGTTGAATGGCACGGAGCCCTTATAAACTGGTGGCCCGGGCGGGCATGGGGATATCGATGGTGCGATGGAGCTGGAGGAGGATGAAGATGAGCTCGTGGGGGAGCTTGTTGTTGAAGACGAGCTTGATGCTGAAGACGAGCTGGTTGTCGAAGACGAGCTTGAGGAAGGCGTTGTACGGGAGCTTGATGAACTTGAAGAGCTGGAAGAACTTGACAAGGTAGAAGTTGACGACGCCGAAGAAGATGACGAGCTAGAAGAAGGCGATGGAGATGTGCAAGGTTCCGTGGATTCCAGAATCTTAGCCTCATATGGGTCCATGAAGTTTGCGCCCCCGCATTTCTTTACTACATTTTTTTGCCCCCCAACTACTACGAGGGATTTCACACTACCAACGGGCTGGTAATGAGGCTGAATATTTGACCCCACAGTGCCTCGTACTTCGGGTAGAGCTCACAAACGGAGTCGACTCCGCGACTTTTTGCGCGTCGCAGGCGTCAACACAATGACGTCAAGTATCTACACATCTACCATGATGATCCCATCCCACAGCGTTCATGTTCTTCTCAAGTAAGCCGATTGGACTGGGGTAAGTTTGCGCTGCGAAGGACATGACATACGGCTGAATTCTTTTGAATCCGCTCGAGTCCTCCAGACGGCGGCGCCGACGCAGCGAATTCGACAGGGCTTGCTGGCGATATGTCCACGAATTCATGGAGCAATGAAAATGTAGTTCAGCTAGCTCGCCTGGAAGCGCCACCGGGAGAAGTTTTCAATTCGTGGCCTCGACTACATTGCATCTAAATAGGGAGCATTTGGTTCCTCCAGTAGTGCCTCAACACCTTTTCAGATAACGCATCTCTATTATTACCGTTGTTCAATCTAAGAGATGCCTCTTATCTAGTTACTCTAGTTAAATATTGTCTAGTTGAGCCGCTCTAGCCAGCGACACGGGTACATATTCATGGTATGCTATAAGGCCGCCAATTCATGCTCCTCGGCCTCTTACATTCAGATGTGGAAGAAGAAAACGCCTCAAGCCACTCCTGCCATTGTTATGGCAATGTCAATCTCAAGCAATGGTCAATCCAAGTCAGTGGCTGCAAATTGAGTGAGGGGAGACTTTCATATTGTACAGATAAAATACAAATACAAGTACAAGTACAAATACAAATACAAAATAAACACGAATCGCCCCAACACCAGGACATCCCTACGCCTGTAAAGGCCGAAAACTCTCACCCCCCGCAGCACAACCTCTTCGTCGTCGTCGTCGTCGTCGGCCGAACCTCAGTCCCAACCCAGAGAGTTTTCGGCCTTCACAGGCGCAGAGATATCCTCCTTCCGCACGCATCGTGGTGCGGCGGCGGCGGCCTTCTTCTCCTTCTCTGCCTTCTTCTCCTTCCTCTCCTTCTTCTTCTCCTCGATCAGGTCGAAGATGTGGTGGGTGTGGCGGGCCCACCACACCTTCGACCTCGCCTTCGCCTGCTCCACCCTCCAGCGGAGGGCGCTGCCCGTCATGGTGCTGGTACTGCTAAGGGGGTTAGATGTGGTGCATAGAGCAGTTGATGGAAGGATATCTTACAGGTGGTGGTGCGGGAGAGGCGGCGGCTGCTGGCGAGGTTGGTGGTGGCGCGGGCAACGATGAGAGCGAGGTGCGGGCGCGGGAGACGTTGAGGTTCTAGGAACGGGAACTTTAGCTTGAAGACATCCAGGAGATCAGGTTAGGACAGTACTTACAGTGTCTAGTGCTCCAGGAGCTGCACAAAAGCTGGAATGGAGGGTCTTGCGGTCCTTCTTGGAGATCTTGCGGGCGCAAACGCGGGCAGCGTTGAGGATCTTGATAGTAAAATTGTTAGCTTATAGGAGTTCGGGGTGTTCAATTAGCACGGGACGTACGGTTTCTGGGGCTCCAGGAGCTGCACGGTTGGTGGCTGTGAGGATGAGGCCGCTGGTCCGGTACCCAAGTACCCCCGATAGGAGTGACTTCTAGTACTTAGATAACTAGCTGTGGTAGCTTGACATGCTTCTATTGATACTGCTGGTAGTAGTGGCTCAAGGTGTTCTCATTTGTCAATTATGGACGTTAGGGACCAGAGAGCACGAACTGGCCATGGCAATCGGGCGTGTCTACATTACATGATGGTGACGCTACGATAATACTGTCACTGCATGACTGGAGACAACAAAGCTTCCAGTATATACATGTTTTAGAAGAAGTGAAGACCATCACGAGCGATTAAAGTTGAAGCATTATAACTGGTATCATTGCGCTATTGATATCGGCTATCTCTCACCCACGAATGCACTTCCGCACCACAAGGCTCCATCTTCAGGTCTTCCAATCCGCTCATCCGATGTCCCTGAATCTCCATCCTCATTTCATATCCTTTAATTGTGCTCCATGCGAAGTGCCAAAGCCACCTTAGGGATGCCGAGACTCATGAACTCGCTATGCTTCACGGCTTAGGTTCTTAAGCAATTTGGCGAGCAATGATCTGCAAGCGAAATTGGAATGCAGGCAAATGTCGACGTAGACGAAGGGCTTAAAGTAGTCGTACATGCGCCTTGAGGCCATGTGTAGATTGTACAGCGGGTTCAAGGTTGATGAATCTTCCGTGTTCGTCGGTAACGCAGCAGTTGTTAGGTCCATGATGAGATAATTGACGATATCGAAGAGGATCTCCTCTGGTGGGTTGTTGATGGAGCCTAGTGCGCAGTTGGGGCCATTCCAAGCTTGCATAAAAGCTGCCATCTCAGGACTGGCAGCGATCTGCATTTCTTCCACGGATCCGAAGCAAATCGATCTCGCTGACTTGGACAACAACAGACGCGTAGACGAGATGCGCGATGGCTCGGACGGTGCACGCAACCAAGTCTGCAAGGTGAGCAACACGGGCCGTTTGGCATGCCCTTCGTACCCGTGTCGCTCACTCTACAAACAGAAGTGAAGAAGAAGATGTCATCTTATATTAGCGTGTCAGTTCGTGTCTATGTAGTGAGGAGTGAGGTGGATGCTAACCACAGCGTAGAGGAAGACAAGTCTCATGCGATCTTCTTGCCTTGGATATTGATGAGATCGCGGTCATTCTTAAGGTATCAGATGGCTGCTGTTGCCAGAGAGCTTGGGGCGGAAGAATTTGTCTTCGAGGAATTCGGTCTCGTCGAAAAGGTGAATTGGTGGTGAAATGCGAGCAACACAGACCGTTAGACCAGACCAGGTATCTGTGCCGTCCGGGCAGAGAAAGACGGCTGTGGAGAACAAGTGAGAGAAAGGATGCACGGATGTCGATCCTGGAGGAACGCTCTGTATACAGCAGCAGGTTTGGTAGTTGTGATTAGGTTTTCTTAATAGTGGGTTGATTAATGATGCTACCACGGCTCAACTGACAGCTAGTTGGTGCCGTGAACTCTGGAACCGTGCTTTATAACCCACAGAAATGCTGTAGTGCGGCGGCTCTAGCTTGACTTCAACGTCGAGGCCATACCAATTCAGGTTTGGAATTGCGCTAAATCTCTACGGAGAATTAATTGGAATGGTTCCCGCTAGGGAGCTTTATATCCCTTAGACGATGCAAATTCTGTGCATCTAAATCTAAGCTCCTAGCCCATTACATCGGCACGGCGATATTATGCACTACTTAGGAGGACAATGTTTCATCAACTAAGAGTTCAATTATTTACTCAAGCATCCTTCAAATGGAGGGTTGTGACATGCTCATGAAATCCTAGGATGCTACCTTTGTGCTTCTGTAGTAGACGCTCGGGAAGACGAGACTTACTATTCAACTAAGTGCATAGTGCAGAAGGGGTTGGAAGTGGACCTCAATGATTCAGCAATCCTTGAGAATGCCCCTGATTTGAAGCTCGAGGCCGAAACGATGCCCTCCTCATATCATTTTGGCATGCTTCCATGTTGAAGGCCTTTGAACATTACATCCGCATTCTAAGTTCATGCACCGCTCAGGAGGACCATCGCAGTTTTTCGTCTTCAGAAATAGGTCATCGAACCTCCTTCAGTTTGAGGTCGAAGGGTATTCTCACGTCTTTACTTGATAGTATTTCCATGCTTTTGAATCAAAGGCTTCAGGGTGATACATCTAAATTGCTGTTTCATGCACTATTCAGAGGGACCACGAAGGTACCCATTAATTGGCAATAGATGAAGAAACTTGATGAATGTGAAGCTCAACCGCGTTCTTATATGTTTGAGTAATGTCTTTGTCGTGCTTCTAAGTTCAAGGCTCAAGATATTACATCCACTTGTCTGAATATTTAGAAGGCTCGGGAGTGGCATGAAAGATTTGCTACTATAGTAAACAAATTTGGACATTGCGTCGAGTTCAGGGGCCATGGGAAATATCATGTCTTTGTTGTGAGCCTTTTCTGCGTTCCTAAATCGAGGGTTGGAGATACAACATCAACAAGTTTTCATACCCAGTATATTCAGAGGTACCACGGTAGTATCAGCCCCTACGCAAAAGTACCATTCAAGGAATCTCAATCGAGATGTTGGAGAGTTTTAAGGAAATCAATACTGATTCACCGTTCTTCATCATAGAGATCCCCAAACCAGTCACATTTCAGGGGCATAGTAATAGGACGTCACGTATGTCAGGAATAGTTCAGAGGTGTCTCGCAACGGTCTCCATTCTCCCAAAAGCCCTCCTATGAGGCGCTGATGCTGCTCGTTTGGACAGCTGCCGCACAAATGTCTAAAGAACCCCCGAACCTGCTCGCCCCCTCTCCCTACGCGTCCCTCTCGAGCGCCACCCACTCCCCCCTCCACATCCTCGTCAACTCCCCAAGCTCCTCCGACGCCCCCTGCACCCGCCGCATATACCGCAAGAGCTCCACCTCCAACGCAGCACTCCGCTTCAGCACCATTTGCCTCAAATCCACCCACTCCTCCGGCCCCGCCACAGTGTGCCAGTCCTCGTACGGGCGCTCCTCCCACGGCAGCCAGTTCGCCGCAAAGCGGTACTTCTCCACCGGCTCGCCCCTAAACACCCCGGCAGCATCGAACAGGTCGTCGCGCAGGTACTCGAATGCGACCCTGTTGTACGCGTAGAAGTAGTCCACGTGCCAATCGGCGGTGCGGGTGGCGACGGGGGGCGATTCGTGCGCGTAGGTGGCCGAGGGGGGCGTCAGGGCGATGAAGTAAATGTGGGTGAGGTTGGGGAAGAGCAGGACGGCCCGGTAGAAAACGGCGCGGTCGTCGTGGTGGAAGATGAGTTGGTCCCAGTGGCGGACCCAGATGTTGGTGACGTTTTGGCGGGCGGCGAATGAGAGAGCGAGGGTCGTGGTGATGAAGTCCCACGGGGCGTTGAAGATTCTGTGGCCCTGGGACGGGTTAGTCGGGGGCATCATAGGGCGTAAAGAGGGCACTCACGGGCGGTGCAGAGGCAGACTCAGCGGCAGAGGTTCCGGCAAGCGGGCCAGCAGCCGACAAGTCGGCGGAGACAGTGTCGGGTGAGACAGTATAGGGTGAGGAGGCGGCCATCTTTCTGGAAATCTTGGTGATGAGGAAGAAGACGAGTGTGTGTGGTACGAGTCGGTTTGAGACTGTGGTGTTATTGGTTGGTTTGGTTGGACAGAGGAAATATATGGTGGACGGGGCGATAGATCTAGGACGCCGGGACGCCGTGACTACGGTTGGGAGATTGAGCCGAAGACGCAGTTGTTGGGGTTGAGATCTTGCTCCCAGTGTCGGCATTACCTTAAGTGAGCCGCACGCTAGTTGTTTAAGTGAGACATATAGCACAAGAGGCAAGCAAATGCGTACCAAATGAGGTTTGTTGGGGCTGAAAGCCATTCTCATATGATGGCCAGTAGCCGAAATGGTGAACCACGTCGGGGGCAAGAGAGGGTGCCATCGGTGCTCGCATATGATATTTTGTGTAACATATTGTAAATTCGGTTAGTGATGTTTCTTTACTGGGCATATAGATGACATCTCGAAGAACTTCTTGATGTAGATTCATGGGGCTGTAGACGTATCTGCGGATATCTAGGAATTGAGTGGTCGCGCTCAGAAGCTCGAAAGTATACCTACGATACTAAGCCATAAGTCTGGGCACACAGATACCATTGTTTGATTGCTACTTTTGGGAGCTAGTTACCACTTTCAGGAGAACCTCCGTTGCTAGGAAGCAGATCTTGCAAGAGGTAGTCTAGGTTTCGCTGTGTGAACCTTGAAATCATGTCAAGATCATGAAAATCACATGAAGTACCCCAAGCAGTAATAAGAGCGTGTGCCCAGACTTATGAATTGTAACTGTATGTCGTGCAAACTCCTGCTCGCTCATGCAAGCCTCCTGGCCCTACTGTAGCCCCTTTCTACTCTTCAGGACGTCCCAAAGTCGCCCACTCCTCCGTCCACATCCAATGTATGAGCACTAGGTCAGCAGGAAGCCCTTGCAGAAGACGAATGTTCTGGATCCAGCGAAACTCAACTTCACTCACACAGCGCTTGACCAGCTGCGTGAGTCTGGGGGTGTGCTGGGTCGTCCACAGGTTGTGCCAATCGGTGAGGGGTCGGCGACTGCTTTGCGGAAGCCAGTCGACGGCCAGACGATACTTCCAAAAGGGCTCCACACTGTGGCCAGCGGGACCGCTGAGACTGTTTCTGTAGGACCTCTCGATATCGCGGCCCAATGCTGAGGCTCGAGTTCGGTTGTAGCCGGTGAAGAAGGCTAGGTGTTCCTTGGGAGATGGGTTCCTCAGCAGGAGGAGAGAATCGAGGTACTCTTGAGCCGGGGGTGTGTAGGCGATGAAGAAGACGTTTTTAAGGTTCGAGAGGCGGAGAAGGATGGAGTAGAACGCTCGACGCTTGCCATCTTGACTTAAAAGCTCCTCCCATCCGTCAACAAATACATTGTGGACATATTGCAGGTATTGATCGGCGGTTGAACCCAACTGCTCAACCAGCTGTGTTGGTGAATCGAAGTACAATATGGCCTAAACTTGGTGAGCATAGGCACTGGGCCATTTGCCGTAGGTTCAACTAACCTCAAAGCCTTCCAGCAATCCCACGTGTTGCATTCCTTGTAGATGTGTCTGGGTTTCCCATGCGGTTTGCTGTTTTGTCGCTCGGATGGCGAACTGCGCCGCTTGCTCATTGAGGTGGCTGTAGGACATAGAGAGGATGATGCTTCTTCGAGGGGTGGAACTACAAGAGGAGTGGTGGTAGATGACGACGGAGGATGGAGAGGTTTTGAGTGTAGGAGTCGGTCAGTCAAGAGGACAAGACGGACGGCAGGATTTGAGAATGGAGCGCCACAGAGATGGTGGGTGTGTGTCATGCGGTTAGTGGAAGGTGTACGTTGGAAGGCGTGCTAGAAATGCAAAGGCTGCAGTGTGAGGTGTTTGGTGAATGCCAACCGGCTAATATACTGGCCTGGAGCACCCTCAGTCCAACGCAGTGCTTTGTTGGATTATGGCAATCACCTACAGCAATCACTGCCGGTAGCGCTTTCAAGTACATAATGTCGCGTTCTATCAATGTTCAGATGCTACGGCCTGCAAATTAACACGCTTCCGTCATTGCATGCAGATTCACCCAAATCTGCTCCCCGAATTGCAGATCATACCAATCACCATATCATTACTACAGAATACTAACATAGCGCAGGACATCCCGTTAGTACTCGCAATGCACATACTACAAAATTCATAGAGTGCTCCCCGTATTATCGAGTGTGAAAAGAAATCGCATGCAACCTGGGATCGTAGAAACTATTATAGGACCTTATGCTCGCGGGAGCGAGATAGGTCCTTGCTTGAGAAAGGCTCATCGCCAAAGCAACTCCATCATCCCATGTTCAAACCTCTCATATACATCAGATATCTGGTCCCGAAGGCTCTGTATCGTGAAATCGCATGCAACCTGGGATCGTAGAAACTATTATAGGACCTTATGCTCGCGGGAGCGAGATAGGTCCTTGCTTGAGAAAGGCTCATCGCCAAAGCAACTCCATCATCCCATGTTCAAACCTCTCGTATACATCAGATATCTGGTCCCGAAGGCTCTGTATCGTACGGCTGGTCTTGAACTCTTCCAAGTCCAGCCGCAAAAACATATCCTCCTCGTTCAAGCTGAATCGGAGCACTTTCTCCGGGTTCTGCACTCTACCTGGCCGTCTCAGGAACTCCTCGCAGTATACCAGGAGATGATCTTGCAGCCTCATGGCACCCTCCGCATACCGAGCTCGAGCCAAGTCAGCGAGTGCTTCCAGGAATATATTTCCTTGCAGCCGATTGTGCGGTACACTGAAGTACGGGAAGGAGGACTTGGATACGAATACCAAGCTCTTCAGATTTCTATACGTGCTCAAATCGTGCCAGCAGTGTCTGATTAGAGGCACGTCCGAGGGCTTCAACCAGACGACGACGCGCCGAATAAACGTGTTGTTGGCTTCCAGCTCCTCGCCGGACGCCAGTTTTGTCGTCGCTTGCAGGAAAAGATGAAAGCGTTTCGGACTGGAATAATCAAAAGTGTTCCGTTTGCAGAAGGTATCCCTAGCAAGGGGTGATAGTCCCCGTACTTCGAACGTCGATAAAACCTGGGTCTCGAATTTGCGAGCTTTGGTATAGTATTCATCGGAGGGACGCCATCGTATCTTTTCAACCAGGGTGTTCGAGGTCCATATATCTAATCTAATAGGGTGATCAGAGACTACGACATACACGAGAATGAGAATGAGGAGCTCTTCAGGAAGATCGAGGAGCTGTGGCCTAGTTCCTTTGCAGGTTTTAGCCGCACGACTCCGCTGGCATAGGCTCTTATTTGTTCAAGGCGAAACTTCCTTCCAAGTTGTCCGCGAACTGACATTGTGCTTCTGGAAGACTTTGCTAACCCAGAAAGAAAGAGAAGCCGTATTCTGTAACATTCTAGAGAGAGCCTGAACCACCTAGCATCGATTCTTGTTATGACTCCGAAGGCCGAATGACTTGTCAATCTCCGCCTACCTAGGAAGCTAACACTACTGTCAGGAGTGGCTCATCGCTTGAAAGTCTTTCCGACAAGAGGCAGCTCAGATACCGCTGCATGAACCTGAACATCGCGGGTAGGTTTGAAAATTTCGTGGGGGCACTGCTAGTAGTGGTGAATGAGTGTGCAAAGACTTGCGGTTCCCTGCTGTATGCGGAAGCTCATCATGCCCGTTATGGCCCGACCTTGTTGTGAATGTCGACTAAGCCCATTGTCGGCTAGGCCCATAACGGAGATTGTGCATTTAGCTGAATTCTCCGGACATGTACACGAATGAATATGGAGCTTATTTGACATAAAAGTTTGCTTAGTTCACAGTTTTGATCATGTAGGAAGTCTGCAGCGCTGGTTCTGTAAAGCACAGCATCAGTATTAGGATACAAGCGTGGGCGCACGGTCCTTTTTCGGCAGGTCCCAATTTGTTCCGAGATCTAGAAGATTTCAATCCAAAAGAAGCAAACCACAACTATTGTCTTATAATCACGCAAGAAACGTCTCAGAACTCACCTACACTCGTTACACGCAAATCAAGATGGGTCTCGCGGATCTCCGGGTGGAGCTCCTTCTGATATTCGGCGAGCTCATACCCTTTGACGGCGCGATCAAAGCAAAGACGCCGAGAGAGCCGTGGTGCCTAGGCGAAGACAGGTGGCCTAAGGAGAGCGTGTCATCACTGGGCAATCTTTCGTCTATACCTTGACAAGAAACTGCACCGTATCATTAGGGTGGGGGGAAGGGGGGGGGGATTTTACCAGAAGAGCGCCTTCCGCTTTCGGAGTCCCATGGCCATGAAGACGTTTCTCGAAAGACATTCCCCGAAAACGCTCAACGCCATTCATTATCTCAGAATGAGTATTCCTGCAGGAAAAGCTCAGCGCCTTAGAAATACCTAGGCTTCAGCTCGAGAGATGGAACGTATTGTCAAGCTGGAGCTTTGTCCCAGGATGTTTGCTTATCGACCCCTCTTCAATAGGTATCAGACCATGACGGAAATGCACGTTCCGCGATTTGGACACTAGTGCAATGAATGGAGTTTTGAGAAACTGTGGAGGGATCTTGGAAGATTCTGGCGCAGTTGATCTTTCCGAAACTGTTCTGTGCCTCGGAGCTGCGGAGGAAGATGATTCACGTATGAAACAGCACTTCCTTAGGTCTTGGGCTAATATCGGGAGAGGGCGGTCTGGACGTGTATTAGCCATAAAACAGGACGTCGAAGAGGAAACTAGTAGGCTTAAGGAGACCTGGATGAAGGATGAAAAAGAACGCCTTCACAATGGTAGTTCTGCAACCTGAGGTACTTCATATGTAGCTTAGCACGCGTCTGAGAAGCTCCAATAGTCGTATCTAGATACTAAGCATCCACATCGCAGCCCAGGGACTTTGAATTTCACATTTCGTGTCTATCTATGGTTTAGAATTGCTCCGAATACGTAAGAAGCTTTCCAGAACTAACGATTCAGTACTAAAGATGTGGCTAAAATGCGAAAAAGCATTAGGTCTCAGAGCTCTAGTACTGCGTATCTAACTAACGCCCTGTGAGAGTTCACTTTCTTAAAATCTCTACCGCTCAGAAGTCCCCTAAGGAGTGACAAATGCGATTCAAGTGGCTCTGGACTCTCAACTCGTAGGTCATATACCCATTCCAAGCTATAAGGAGTATTCCTCGATCTCTAGTCATTTATACTTTAGAAGCCCTCCATACGACTTCCTGTGTCCACATATAGCACGCGTAGGTAGCCCAGTACCTAGGGGAGGTATAAAAAGCTGTACTGGAGCGCTATGCGACCATGGTTTATTCCCACAGTTGCACAGGTGTTTGGCCTTTGGCCACTCATGGAGCAGCTAGGGTGCAAGAAGTTCAGAACCACAGACGTCAGGAAATGCAAGCATGTCCAAAAGGCACCACTACAAACATCACATTCAATATGATATTCTCATCTGATTATGGGTCACCATGACACCGCTGAAGGTCCTCCAGCTCATGCTTCCCGCTTTCCCTCTGATTCCTCGTGTTGTGCGGTGATCGAAATGTCGAGCGAAGGATCGTTGGCGACACGGGATGAAAATGTCAGGAGCTAGCTATTCGGCGGCTTCGCTCCTTCTCTCTAGAGACGATGGTGTTAGGGACAGTGAATATAGAGACGAGGACAGTAGGAGCGCGCTTACCAGAGATTGCATCAAAGCCTTCATGTTTCCTCCAAGTACCACACATCGGTTAGTACCAGCTCCGGTTTCTTCTCGCCGTCTTCGACGCTGTAAAACTGTTAGATAGTTGACGAGGATAAGTGTCGGCCAACGAAGAGAGCATACCTTTTCGAACCTCTTGAACCACAGCCTCTCATGCCTTAAGTTTCCTTAAGTCCACCGATGGTTCAATCCAGGGCCACGAGCGCCACGGACATCGTCTGTGATGACGGGCGCACCGGACGCGTCGGGAGCCTCGTCGCGAGACGCATCGCTGTCGTTCTGGCTGTAGCTAGACGGAGTCAGCAAAGACTATAGATAAGGCTCCCATGGAGAGCTTAAACAGTTTCGCAGGACTCCTTGGAACCAGCAAAGGACGTCTTGCTTCGGAGCCTTGTAAACGGTTGGACGGGAGTTGCAACTTACGGAAGCATCATGATGCGCACACGGATCTCTCAGACGAGGGTGTACAATAATGGCAATGGTGTACAGGAGTCAGGCGTGCTGATGGTGTGCGGCTGTCAACAGAGGTGGTGGATCTTGTGCTGTGCTGGAAGACGTCGTCTGCCGCTTCCAGGCGTTCCTCAAGGTCTCTCCCATGGCGGCAGAGCTCACCACCGGACGTACGATTGACGGTCTCCAAGAGAAGAAGAGACCGGAGAGGCCCGGAATCGTATTGGCTTTGGGTTGGGCCTTCGGTCAAGACCCACGGCGAAGGTTCGCACTAGCTTCACGGCCGGCGCTTTCCAGTATGCGATGGTGGGCGCGGAAGCAAGGACAAGACAGCAAGGTGAAAAGGGTGGAAACTTTTAATTGGGCGGAGTAGCTATCTGAGAGAAAATGAACCGCGGGAGCTTAGCGAGCGGCCGCCAAGAAGCCAAGGCTCGTCTATCTGCCGGACGAAAATTGAAGACGGGACACATGAAATCTGAGGGCTTCTGATCCGCAGGGACTTTAACATTGAGGATTTTATTTTATGAGTGATTGACGTATCTCAAACGATACCAAGTAGCTAGATAATGTCAAGAAAGCATCGATCGAGGGTGCTTCACTGCATTTTTCACCCCCTCAAGATTGCATACGTCACTATGTAATCCAGACAATAAGTATATTTTCACCGTGTCGGGCACTCTGCTGATGGTGCGACTAGCAATAGTGAAGCTACAAAAAGGTGAAGTTACAGGCTCGAGCGTCTACTTTCTATCATATATCAGCTCGAAAGTACCATGCTTATCCTTTTTCCCTGTCCGAAAGTCCTCATAATCATCATCACGCAACGCTCATAAAAGCACACAAATATACACACACAACCTACGCAAAATGGCCACTTCTAACCACGCCGACGACCACGAAGACGCAGACGAGCAGACGGGCGAGCACGACGCGGAGAGGCAGGTGGGCCTCCTGTACCAACTGGAGCCCCCTGAGGCTACCACCATAGAGGAAGCCTGGGTCTGGAATGACCATTGGTGCAAAGAGGAGACAAAGCGGCAGGCGCAGATGTATAAGAAGGGGTACTATCAGAAGTACAAGCTGGGTAAGTTTTCTTTCGTTGTGTAGTTGTAAACGCACGTAATTGACAGTGTTTTAGAGAATGAGCTAGCCAAGATCCGCATGGAGTACCCCTCTTCCGCCCCAAAGAAGACAAGTTGGTGGCGCGCCGCGTTCGGCCCCAAGGGGTACCAGCGCCTGGCTGATTGAAGGGCGCGGTATCGAGCAGTTCTACAGCACGCAAATTGAGGAGATGTCCTTCGTGGCGTAATTTGGAGTGTGCGGGAGAAGGATGGTAGAGAAGACCCATGATTTTGAAGCTTTCTGTAACGTGTTTGGAGCTGCTGGGCGGTGTGTGGGGGTGGAAGACTGATATATAATCAGCGACAGTCGTGTGGCCTGGGGTGCCTGGAATGGAGTCTTTGGATTCGCCGATAGCAAAGTGTTCTGAATCTGTGACCATGAAATTGATAAATGTTGAATTTCGTTCTGCATACCACCGTCTGAGACGCCCCATCCTTGGATATAAGTGCAGGCTTCGATGTCAACTTTTCAGGCGTACGTATTGAACAGGTGTGAGTGCCACGATTTTTCTGCCTCTTTACCGACGGCTGAGGCGCTCCGTACATGAATCGAAATCCAAGCTCCAATGTCATTTTCCCAGACGTAGGAATTGAACACAAGTCGAAACTACCGTTTTTCTACCTACTTACCACTGTAAGAGGTACTCCGTAATAAAATGAAAATTCAACAGTGAATGCCAGGTTTGCATAGGTGTGAATTTAGGATGCGCAGTTCTCCCTACGAATCTGCCTGGTCAGTACTGTCTGAAGTGTCTCAAAACTGGAAAAGGTTGAAAAATGATTGATGATGACTGGTACGATTTGGACCATGGTGAAATGAGCATTTACTCAGCCACGAAGCTGAGTCTGCCAGGCGACCTTCAGGGAGCGGCACAGAAGACCCATGTCGCCGGGCTGATTCACAGTAGTGATAGATAAACATTGCAATGAATTGATATTGCATCATTTCTGGGGTCTAATAGAGATATCACGACTGCAGCCTATTTTGGTTTAATTTTGATGGCTGGAAAGTATATAGCAGGCCTACACGTAGTAATTTTTCATTAGATTTCTCACTCTTGCCAAACTATCCAGCCGTATGGTGACTCTTTTCGCAAGCTTGCTCGGATGTTTCCCCTCTCTAGCTACTTTTCATTTGTGCGTGGCCAAAAGGCACCGGAATTCAAGGATCTCCAAAAGCCTCATTTGAACTTCGCCCAACTCCCAGAGCTTCCCAGCATGCCTGATCCTCTGTGGTCCCTAGTCGCAATTTGTCGAGAAGTGCGAGAAAGTCCTCGTTCTCCTGGTCAGGAAGTTGTTCCCCTTCAGGTCCTCTGGGTCGTCGAAACGGTCACTATGCGGGATACGGTAACGAGTCTTGCACGTGTCATCGTCTCTATCGCCTGGTGTTCATCGTCCCGAAAAGTGTCTGCGAGGTTCTTCTCGTAGCTGGAGCTCGAATCGTCGTTGGTTGTGTTGTTAAGCACGCTGGCGTGTGGTGCTTCGATTGATCACCGCCCCCAAAACTAATCATCACCAGGCACCTACCTCTAAGATCTAGCGTCGATAGTCGAGAAGTTGTTTTCTCAGCTCGGCCAGGGCCCGAAGCTTGAGCAGCGCGCGTGCTCATTGCCATGTTAGATAAACGTAAGTTGTAGTAAGTGCTGCAAAGGGAAAAGAGTGAGATTGCATACAGGAGCTTATAGCCAAAAAAGGAGTATCTCATTAACATATCGAGATCTCATAGCGGGTATTGCCAGAAAGGATGTGGACGAAAGAGAAATGCAAAAAAAATTGCCTAAATAGGACTTCGAGGCTCGAACCCCGCTCTCGGGGAGTGCAATGAGAGGCTAATGATACAGAAACTAGTAAGCTGTTAGCCCTATCCTTGTACCACCCTCACCACTGAACGGGGCGAGGGCGAAAGACGGTGTAGGTTATGGCCGTTATATAGTACTCAGGTTGAAATTGATGTGAACTCTGATTTCTATAGACGTCTAGCTAGTTGTATATATACTAGGGGAGGGAAGGGGGCCACCCCCAGGGTGGCGCGCTAGTAAGTTCAGATGAGCCCTGCACAGCTGAGGCTTCAGCTCGGTTCTCTACAGCTGAGATTTCAGCTGGGTTCTCTACAGCTGATGTTCGGAGAGTAGCTTTCTGGCATATGAGTTGTTGATCCTAGGTTGTAGTGCTGCAACCTGAGTATAGTCGAGGTGGACAATAGGTTAGTGTGGGTAACTAGTTTGGGTGCGGAAGTGTTTCGCCCAGGGAACGCCTGTACTGGCTTGGCTGCACTGCGAAATCCGCTAATCTGCCGGTGAGTTGAGAAAAGTATGCCAGCGATGCATTGCGCCCATAATCCGTTTCCCTTACCATATCATCGAAAATTCTGCACTGATGCATAGTAGGCTGGCGCTTTTCATTGACGAGACCTCAAATCCTGCTGTTACGAAAGGTATATTTGTCTCGTCTGTTTTTACATCACTGGAGCACCTCAAACGGTGATATACGAGCACAAAGGTACAAGAATCTTGACATTAATCCGTGGGACTGGAATAGCTACGCGCCAGCTCCTCCAAATGCAAAGACCGGAAAAGAGAAAGACCACGCTTGAACACAGAAATTTCCACCGCCAGTCCTATATGACTATATACTTAGTTCAACAGGTGGATAGACAAGAACTTGCTTAGCCAGTTCGCACATCTAGATAAACGTTGACTCAAGGCGTTGTTGCCAAATGGTCTTCCCCAGGCGGCTCGTCGCCGACACCGTCACTTCTCCAACTACATCCTCGTCCGCAGATTTATACCCAATGATATGCTGAATAGCATCAAGGCCAAGGACGTCTATATCATAGCCTTCCAGGAGCCTCTCCACCTCTTCATACCGATGCCTGAACCAGAGCTGCATGTAGTTCCGCGTTGTCTGGGTCGACCATTCGTGCGAGAGATTGCAGCCATCGTCCCCATGATGATGGCAGAACCACTTGACCATGACCAGATTGGTCTCCAGCTCGATCTCGATGTCCCATCCGTTGTTCTTGATGGCCATGATGAGGCGGACGGCGCAGGGTACGATTTTTTCTACAAGATCAGGGAATGTCTCGAAGAAATCACCCTCGTCGCAGTCGTAGTGCTTGAGGAGGTACTCGGTTATACAGCCGGCGGTAATTCGAACACGCCGTAGCGATGCAGGCTTCCTTTCGGACAGAATGTTGCACAGAATGTGGAAGGCCGCGGCGTCTTCCACACCCTCGCTGACGAAACTGGTGACAGCGATCTCCTCGATCCAGTCATAGCTCCTATTGTTAAGCTGGCGTAAAGATGCCGCAGTGAAGGGTGTAGGGAACGAGAATACGTTCTGGCGGTACATCGGCTCGAAGAAAAGGTTTCGCTGCTCTGCTGGAATGATCCATGATCCCTCTTCGTCGAATTCGCGTACTTGATTCAACAAATGCGAAAGATTAATACTGAATTCGCGTCGATCTCTAGGAATACATTTTCCAACAAGCTAGTACTGACCCATGTCTACACCCTCGACCTGGAACACGCTGGGCAGCTTGACGGCAGCAGAGATGTCGACCTTCACGGCTCGTGGAAGATCATCGAAGTTGACATAGGTTCGGTACTGGGCCTGTGACATCGATGTTAGGATGACACTTTTGGAAAAGTGAGCGGTGGTTAACTTACTCGTGTTCTAAGCATTGCTCCAGTAAGAGATGCTGCAACGACCTCCCCGGTGGACCACTTCATACGGCACGTGGGACAGTCCTTGTGCTGTGAGTAGTTAATCCAATCCCGGAAGCACTCCACGCAGATTGCGTTATGCCTACAAGAAGCCTGAAGGAAAACCCTGTCCGCCCGTTCCAAGTAGCAGACGCTGCACTCCTGCAGATGGACTGGAGCAAGTGTGTTCATCTTGGTGATATATTGCTGTACGAAGCGTTAGTGTGTAGGCGGAGAAAATCTCGAAGTGGTGGTGGTGGTGGTGTGGGTGGCTTGGAGGTTGAAGATGTAGAATTACGAGCATCCTTGGTGAACTTCTATACTACATATGGGCGCTCAGTGGAAGTTCACTGTCTAGGAAACCAACACGTGTTGAGTGCCTGGAATATTCTAGCAACAGTTCATCCGATGCCTGAGCCGCAATCCTAGAGGGAATCGATATGTGGTTGGGTTGCCCTAGTTTTGCCGGTCCGTCAAGCACATCGTCGGAATTAAAGGTGGCCGAATTTCGGCTTGATTCGTGTAGCATATCTCGATTTCTGCTGTTAAGGGAGGTATCTCAACCTTATTATTTTAAAGAACATTGTTGTACCTATAACGATTGCTTTGTAGTAGCAGAGCTTAGGAAGACTGGACCCGAAATTGACGTAGATATATATTTGCGCAACGCAAGAAACAGCGTATGATAGGGAAACTGATTGCGTACCTGTTCGTGGCTTCAACACCTGCGTTCACTGAGCATGAGGACGATAAGATGAGGGGGTATAGCAAACCCGGTCTGAATATCAGCCTTCGAGAGTTGTTCCTGTTTGTTGAAGAGAGATGTCAGCGAACTTGTAATGATAGTATGTAAGTGTAAAAGACTGAAATGCAATGCTGCGAGCTGAAGAAAGAGAAGTAATATTAGTGTAGGGGTTTGATACATCCGTATGTCTATTGGTGATGCCAAAGAACTACCTTTGCCATGTGAATAGAAGGTTTAGTTGATTTCTTTTCATCAGGAGCATATAGTTAACCAAGGACACGAAGTTGTATTATAATCGAAGGAAAGCCAGTCGATACATGTCCATGCCTTGAACCTTGCTTTCTTGTACCAAGTGTAGTCATCCTTCCACCCGAGCTGCATCCCCCGAACCCTCAATCATACCTCGACAGCTCATCCTTGTCGAGTTCCTGGATGAGTGTCATGTCCTTCGTGATGATTGCTTTGATTTGTTTGAGCGTGAGATTCTGCACGTCACGCCCATCGAGCAGGCGGCCAACTTGCTCGATTCTCTCCTGTAGTAGCGCTTGATTGCGAAGGCGATCCGCTTCCGAGGTGCTGTATCGATCATGGCAGAAAACGATTGGCTTCTCGCCATCGTAGTCCCACTCTACCGAAAGCCGCCACCCGTGCTGTCGAGTAGCGGCTATCAGCTTCGCTGCACGCAGGACTACCATGTCCACGAAGCCTTTGAGACCCACCGCGAATTGATGGGCCACGGTCGCAGGATCCTCATCCGTGTCCATGTCAATCCTATCCAAGACATACTCCTCCACACAGAGTTGCTCGATCCGGACACGTCGCAGCGATCGAGCGTGCGTCTTCGCTAACACGCTGCACATGTCGTAGAACCCATTACGCTCATACGCCTTGGCTAATGACGTTACGGCAATGTCTTGAATCCAGTTGTAGCTCTGTGGATCGATATTGGCGAGAATATACGCCTCGATGTCGGTCGGGAAGACGAAGATGTTGGCCCGGTAAAAGGCTTCCAGAAAGATTATCATTTCGTTATAGAAGATGGACTTGTCGTCTTTTCCCCGATAGCGCTGGAGAATGTCATTGATATCGACTGGGACCTTATGTGTGAACACACTCATGTGCGCGAAAGGCCAGTACGTGCCAGTGAGCTGATATTTAGGAGGCAGTGATTCGTCGTCCTTATGCATTATACTGTCGACGAGAAATATTGAGGGCACGCGCACGACATTCATTAATTCTTCTTTCAATTCATTCGGCAGTTCTGAGAATAATAGATATCCTTGGTGCGCATCCTGGATTTACCGTTAGTTTTTTCCTCTTAAATACTAATATATGCGAAGGGATACACTTAGAGTTGCTGGCATAGTAGCTGCCTATATACCTAGCCAGTTACAACTTCTACAGAGAGGGGTTAGGGTACGGTGGCCTACCGTGCCTACCGTGCCTACTGCTGTCTCTAATTAGTGCTTCTGCCTACGCGTACAGTTACTTCCTATATAGTATATAGTTTGGCCTTCGGGCCCCCGAAATAAAACAGAGTTTACGTTAATTTGCAACCTAAGTATTATAAGCCCGGATACTTATTAGGATCTGCCTTCCTTCCTGCCCTGTTGTTGTTATTATTGCTTTTTAAACCTTTTTAGTATTAAGTTAGTTATAATACTATAAAAACGCTATAGCCGAATCGACTATATAACAGCCTATGTTCTTTTACTAATATACTAACGTAATCCACAAGTTAGTGGCCCGCACAAGCTAGTGGCCCACCCAACTCAACACGCGACGCGTCGTCCAACAACCACCCCAATGGCAGCACCACAACAACAAGAAGCCATCTTTCAAGAAGGCAGAGTTATTCTAGGCGTTCAAGCCTACAAGACCGGCCAAATTACATCCTTCCGAGGCGTTGAGAAACTATACGATGTGCCCAGAAAGACGGTTACGCGTCGCGCCCGTGGTATTCCTCCACAACGCGGTGCTATCTCCAAAAATCGCCGTCTTACACCTGTACAAGAAGAGGTTCTTGTACAGAGGATTCTGTCG